AAAGATGCTGGAGAATTTAAAAAATTTATGGATCCAATTTATTTTAAAAATATTATTCAAGATAGAGAAAGATAAACAGTTAAGTCCTCCATTTTAATATGAATTCATTAGAGTAGATTTTTTAATATAGTGAGCCTTATTTTTCCATATGAAGTTGAATAGCAGTTTATCAATTTCCTTCTCACTCTTATTGTCAATGTCTGACGATTGTGCAGCATAAATCAGTCGGAGGCCTTCAGCCTTTGTAAGCAAAATATGGCCACATAAAGGAAGATCTCTAACTAACCACTAATTAAGTCTTTTTTTAGTCTTTTGAATTAGCGGGTCGAAGTTAAGAGAGCTTCTTTCTATTTGATTCTTTGTGATGTTTATACCTAAATAAACAACCTCATTCTTAACTGGTATAGCTTCAATTGAGGCTATGGAACAGTCCTTAATGGCCGTTATCTCACATTTTTAAGGTTAAGCGCAAGACCCGAAGCTTTGGAGAAAGTACCAATCTCCTTAACGACACACGGCAGGGTAGCTGACCTTAATATTTCCTGTGTTTTATTTTGGCCATTATTGTCATACTTAGTGTTGATACTTATTACAGGCATGTCTATCAGACAGTTATGTATGGGTTCAATACGGGACGCACATTTAATGTCCAAATATTGGACCACTCCATATTTTCCGGGATGGGTGGCAATCCTATTCAGGGGTGCTTAAGCACCCCTAAAACAGGGTTAGATACTTTGGATGAAAAACAATGACATCACAATTCATCACCAACATGTGATTGGTTGGTTGATGTGTCCCATTGGACAACACATGTCTTTATAAATAAACCCCACCCCAATAATTAATATTTTAATTCTGTATTAAAAAATGTATATAAAAATACATGCTCCATTAAAATATATTCATATGATATTGCTAATATGTAACATGTTCATATGTTAGGAACATTAATGAGGCACAGAACTTTTGTTTTTCTTTTTTTTTTCATATTATTTTTTCAATGTTTCTACTCAAAATAAGACACTTCTGGACCATCTGGCGGTGTTAGGACTTAGACATTTTGGTCACTTTGGAGAAACATTGGGTCTTTATTGAAGCCAGTTGGAGTAGGGTAAAGCTGAGAAATGAACATACAAACTTCAGAAATAACACACAGTAGCAAATGATACAGCACTTACGTACAATAAATTTGCTCCAGAGAAAATATTTAGCTCAAGGCTATAAAAGTTCTTACAAAAGAAATGCTGCTGTCTTACAAATGGCTGAATTACTCTTAATCAACAAAATATCCATTGCAAAATTGAATACATACCACCAGTGTTTTCAAAGACCAACTGAATCAAAGTTGCAGTGTTACTGAGAACAAACCATCATGCTTTCTCCTGTTTTGTCTGCTTTTAATGACATCATAAAAATCGTGACTCTTAAATGTAGTACCTAAATTCCGCTACTAGATGGCAACAACTGAACACTTCCATAGAATAAACTTGTGAAATATCCACAAACTGATATTGCTTATATTAATATCAGTTATTGATATAAGCAGTGCGCTGCTCATCCTTTAGGAAATTAGTACATATTAGTCTCAAACTGTTTTTATTTAAAGCAGCACATTTATAAGTAAAAAAGCAACACAAAATATTATGTGTATTTTTAATGGGACATTAATTTCCAATATGTTATGTCAGCTGCTGTTTGTTACTCCTGTTAACAGTTTTAAAATACCTGACTCCAAACTAAGCACTTAATTTTCTGTTTTCAAATTTAGTCAGTTCAAATCATAATCACAAGAACCTTATAAAATTGACATTTACATTTATTATTAAATATTATTCAATTTTACAATATATGATAAAACTGCTGCCTGAACTGATGCATTAAATTCAGCAAGGGCTTTTTCTTTTCTCAGAAGTTGACTTGAACTAAACGTGAAGGGTTTTGCGCCTCTGTTGCAAAAACATTAGATCTTGATACAAACACAGCTAAAGGCTGTGTTTTTTTGGTACTTGTTTGTATCAAGTATCTATGATAAATCAAGTATCTATGATAAAACATGTTTGTAAACATAGAAAACATAGATACATACAAAACATAAAACAGAAAACATAGATACATACAAAACATAAAACATAGATACATACTCATAATGATAAAACATATGAGTATGTTTTATCATTACTCATAATTGAATATGATTTCAAATGTAACTGAGTAACTTTACTCAAAACAAATTCAAGTAAATGGAGTGAACTTATATAGCGCTTCTTCCGTCATTTTTTCCACTAAAAGTGCTTTACAAATTGCAGACCGGTAGGCAATTTGGCCTTGCCCAGAGGCACATCGACATGTGGCAGGAGCAAGCTGGAATTGAACCTACAACCTCCTGCTTGCAAGACAACTACTCTGCCATACAGCCACAGGCACCATAATTGTTCAGGTTTTGTAAACAACTTAAGCTAATAGACCTTAAGTGTAATTACAGCAATATGAATAAATTTAACTAATTAATTTCCACCCTCTATGCCAGAACCAAAAAAATAAAATAAAAAATAAATATATATATAAAAACATAAAAAATAAAAAAATTCCCTTCTCACCCACCGCGGGTGGTTCTTATCCTCTGAGCTCGGGTCCTCTACCAGAGGCCTGGGATCTTGAGGGTCCTGCAGTATCTTGGCTGTGCCAAGGACTGCTGCACATTTCTGGACTGAGATGTCTGATGTTGTTCCTGGGATCTGTTGTAGCCACTGCTCCAGTTTGGGGGTTACTGCCCCGAGGGCCCCGATGACCACAGGCACCACTGTGGTCTTCACCTTCCAGGCCCTCTCCAGTTCTTCCCTGAGGCCCTGGTATTTCTCCAGTTTCTCGTGCTCCTTTTTCCTGATGTTGCAATCACTTGGTATTGCTACATCTACCACAACAGCTTTCCGCTGTTGTTTATCCACTACGACAATGTCTGGTTGGTTCGCCATTACCATTCTGTCTGTCTGGATCTGGAAGTCCCACAGGATCTTAGCTCTGGCGTTCTCCACCACCTTTGGGGGTGTTTCCCACTTTGATCTTGGGGTTTCCAGTCCATATTCTGCACAGATGTTTCTGTACACTATGCCTGCCACTTGGTTATGTCGCTCCATGTACGCTTTCCCTGCCAGTATCTTGCACCCTGCTGTGATGTGCTGGACTGTCTCAGGGGCCTCCTTGCACAACCTACACCTTGGGTCTTGTCTGGTGTGGTAGATCTGGGCCTCTATTGCTCTGGTGTTTAGGGCCTGTTCCTGTGCGGCCAGGATGAGGGCCTCTGTGCTGTCCTTGAGTCCAGCTTTTTCCAGCCATTGGTAGGATTTACTGATATCAGCCACTTGGGTTATTTGCTGGTGGTACATCCCATGTAGGGGCTTGTCCTCCCATGATGGTATCTCTGGCACCTCAACCTCCGTTCCCTGTTGTCTGAGACATTCACTGAGCACATTGTCTGTTGAGGCTTTGTCCCTGATGTATTTATGGATCTTAGTTGTTTCGTCCTGGACAGTGGTTCTCACACTCACTAGTCCTCTGCCTCCTTCCTTGCGGCTCGTGTACAGTCTCAGGGTGCTGGATTTGGGATGGAACCCTCCATGCATGGTTAGTAGCTTTCTAGTCTTAATATCTGTGGCTTTTATCTCCTCCTTTGGCCAGCTAATTATTCCAGCAGGGTATTTGATTACTGGCAGGGCATAGCTGTTTATCGCACAGATTTTGTTCCTGCCATTGAGTTGGCTTCTCAGGACTTGCCTTATTCGTTGGAGGTATTTAGCTGTGGCTCCTTTCCTTGTGGCCTCATCGAGGTTGCCATTTGCTTGTGGTATACCTAGGTACTTGTAACTGTCCTCTATGTCTGCTATTGTTCTTTGTGGGAGTGAGACCCCTTTTGTGCGGATCACCTTCCCCCTCTTTGTGACCAGCCGACCACACTTCTCTAGTCCGAATGACATCCCAATGTCCGTGCTGTAGATCCTGGTGGTGTGGATCAGTGAGTCGATGTCTCGCTCACTCTTGGCATACAGCTTGATGTCATCCATGTAGAGAAGGTGACTGATGTTGGCCCCATTTTTGAGTCGTTGGCTCCTCTGCTATTTACACCGATACCCTTCTGTGCCGTGCTCATGTATTTATTCATGTGTTTGCTTATCTTGGCCGCTATGATGCCTGACATGAGCTTCCAGGTTGTGGAGAGGCAGGTTATTGGTCGGTAGTTGGGTGGGACTGGACCCTTTGATGGATCCTTCTGGATTAGGATTGTCCGCCCTTCAGTTAACCATTCAGGATGAGTCCCACTTTGTAGCAGCTGGTTCATTTGGTTCATATATACACACACACACACTGGATCAATGGCTACAACAGATCCCAGGAACAACATCAGACATCTCAGTCCAGAAATGTGCAGCAGTCCTTGGCACAGCCAAGATACTGCAGGACCCTCAAGCTGAAAACCACCCGCAGTGGGTGAGAAGGGAATTTGTATATATATTTATAATTATTGTTATTTTATATTTTTTTATTTATATTTTTTTTACATAGTGTAGGGCTTATAGGCTACTTTCTGCATTATCCATACAGGTTGTAAACTATTTATGTTTTTACTTGTTTTGGTTTGCGAAATGAGACCCTCAAAAATCAATATCTGTAGGAAGCAGCTTTTTTTTTTTCGAAAAAGTTTATTGACACTTGATACATTTTAAAATCATGGCAGAGAAAAAAACTTGCTGGTAAGTGAAGTTGTTCCCATATTATGGAGGGGAACAGACTATTTCAGGCAGCTGAATTATCCATTTTCTCCTTCTCCCATAACCTTGGGGAATAAAGAGCAACTGTTTCCAAATTCTCAAAAATCTTTACATACACACTACGTGTTGGGAAACTGTGTTTGGTGCCTGACTTTTATTTCTGCCAGGCTTAAGTGAGAAAAGTTGGAAAAAGAGCGATTCTTTTGGCCTTTGAAATAACACAAAACAGCATCAGAAGATCTCCTTTATTTATTTATATTACAATTTTTTTAAACAACAGCTGCCAATTAAACTGAATGTTACAACCTTGACATGATTATATGAGTTGTTTTACCGAGAAATTGATCAGAAGCAACGTGAAAATGGTCAGATCCACCTCTCTGGCTGCAATGCGCGCTCCCGACACAGAGGGAACAAATTTTCACAGGCAGTGGCAAGTGACACCGCCGAGGACTGAGCTTTGTTCCCACTCCAGTTGCTGCACAATCCGTTAGGTCTGCCTCCGTCAGAGCTCCAGGGAGAACATAGAGCTGGCGTCATCCTTTCGGCAAGCCAACAGAAGGAAGGGGGAGGGTAAGTCAAAAATGGGTAGGAGCAGGAGCGTGCTGTGCGTTTCTACTGCATCAGCGCCAACATTACTGCCTTCGTCACCGGAAAACAACAAGGACTGACGAGCTGAGACTAAAGAGAAAAAATACTGTTAGCAACAGCAAATCTTTTTCCATCAAATACGGATTACCACATTAGGCCACTGCATCTTCACCTTCCTTAGCCAGAGGCATCATCTCCCGAGAGAGAAAGAGGTCTTCTAGGCATGACTTGAGAAGAGAGGACGACAGCCATCGCTCCATCCCGTCAAGATGGGAAATCAGGAGGCAAAGCAAAAGAGAGCTGCGCCTTCATCGGGTAATGGAAGCTACCCTTCGCTAAATGAAGGATGGAGGGAAGGAGGAGGGGATCTGACTAAACGGGGAGGCAAGAAACAAGGCAAGCAGGGAGGTAAAGGAACAAACAGCAGTGGAGGAGGGACTCATGGCACTGGCCCAGGAAAAAAACGAAATAAATCTGATTCCAAATCTTCAGTTTTTTCCCTCCGAAAAAGAAAGATAAACCTGAAAGGAAAGGGGGATACATGCTCATCAACACCAGGTTTAAATGAAGATGATTGGGTTTCTCAACATGATGATCTGGACAGCACCAAAACACCTGACCTGTCTGCAGATGAGCTAGGACACTCAGATTCTGAGGCTGCATTTCCTGAAAAGAGAAAAAAACCACAACACGAAAACAGGAACAAAGATAGAAGTGAAGAGGAAAAGTCACATGTGCAACTGAAAGCCTCAACAGAAACCACATCACCCACAGAAGAAGCAGGACAAAAGGGGGGTAGCTCAGGATCGGACACTGATATCTACAGTTTTCATTCAGCAGCTGACCATGAGGATTTACTTGCAGACATCCAGCTTGCTATTAGGCTACAGCATCAGCAGGAACATGATGGTGAGAATGCAATCTCAGATGCAGGTGGAGCAGGGGACCTGAATTGGAGAGCAGCGGAGGAATGGACTAAGAAAAGAAATGGGGTGGAAAAAGAAACTCATCAGGAGGTGCTTGGAATTACCCCAGAATTAGAGGTGGGCTCTGATGCGCTATCATTCTTAGAGACAGAAAGTCATGTTTCTGACAATCACACAGACTCGCTTCCAATGCTGTCAAGTAGAGAGACACATCTGTCCTTTCACAAAGAAATGAAGGGACAGGGGGAGATCCAAGAAGGGCTGGGACCACCAAAGCTAAGTATGAAGAAGAAGCGAGACGGAAAAGCCTTTCTTTGTATTGCTACAGGCACAAAAGATCAGCATGTGGACATCTCCATGGCAACTGGAAGTCTGACAGTCAGCCCAATCACTATGGCAACCTGTGACAATTGTTCACCTATAGTCTCAGTTGACAGTAAAGAGAAATGTCTGGGAAGGGTGGAGGAAGCAGAGTTCAGTCCCTCTCCAGTCAGCAACAGTAAAAGTACTGAACATGCAGATGGACTTAGCTCAGGGGCAATGTTTGATGAAGGTGATGGTCAGTTAGGCTCAGGTACCAGTGCAGAGTCCCCCGAGGACTGTGTTTTGACTGGTTCCAAGTCCAATCAATGTGCTGCTTTCTGTAATGGTTCCTCACCCTCTGACCAGGTCTGCAGCAGGGGCAGCATCTGCTTTATCACACTGACTCCCCAGGGGAGCCCAAAGTTGGCAAAGCAGCTCCTCAAGTCCACTCATTCCTCCAACTTTTATAGCCATGTGGTGAAATCCTACCCCACTATCTTTCCATCCTACATCAAGACCACTACGCGACAGCTCAGCACCCCAGGACACTCCCCAGCTTTATCTCCTTCCCACAGCCCACTTTCTCCACGGAGAGCCAATCTTCACAATCGCAGGTACATATACTACTCCTCATGCTTGTCATTTTATGTTTCATATTTGTACTCCATCTTTTATTTTTACAGAAAATTATCCCAAAAATGAGAATGCACATTTATAATCTGATTCTTAGTTCTTCACACAAAGTAATGTAACTGAAACAGAATTAAACAGATTTTCAGAAATATCTTAGGATGCAATCTTTAAGCCATGGAGTTGGTAAACAATAACTCATATCATCACTTCATTAACTGTACATTGAATCGTTTCTAATAATGGTATTTAAGAACATTAACAAAATAAAATTTAAAAAATAAAAAGGGAAATTCAATTTTGTAACTCATTAAATCTTCTTCACAGTTGGTAGATTGTGACAGTTGTTGGCAGGAAAGATCTGTAGGGGTCTGTATTACAACAAATTTGAAGAAGCCTCTGACTGAAGACACTATGTTTTTCCAATACAGTCTTATGAAGAGGATGGCCAGGCTTGTCCACAAATTTCATGATTTTATGGAGAATCCTTCTTTGCAACATCATCTTTCGATAATTTTTAAACAAATTAACGTTAAATAAAGCTTGTAAAAATTATGTTTTTCTCGTGAATGAAGAGATATCTAGTTACAGAATAGCTAAGCCTACCCAGTTGTATTGTGTATCAACAATCTTATCAGTCTGGTTAAATAATATATGTAGCAGCTCCCCAGTATTTGAATTAATCAGTCAATTTAGTGTTTTCATTTTCTTTGATCATGATCATCACCTCAGTCACTTCAGTCACCACAGTCATTGTGAAAACTAAAATATATACAAATATTAGGATACAAAACATAAACTTACAATACAAACAACAAAACAAAATGTACCCTCTGCTTTCACTGGGGAACAACATTTTGACAATTCAAGTCATTCATTAGCACAATGATTCTACCTGCTTTTATAGGCCTGCCATCATTAGCTATGGCAGCCCGTGAAGTACATACAAACCCCCTCCCCCAAAACATTACAAAGTGCAAATACCATTAAACAAATAAAATATAAACCACCAACAATGCTAATCAAAACAGACAAACAGACTGCTCTCAATTAACAATCTTAAACATTCTTAATTTAGAAAATTTATTTAATTTAAATAGTCTACAAAAATAAGTTATTTAAGCAATTCATTTTAAATAGGTCACAATCCATTACAATATATCATGTTTTTCTATCAGTTTCAAATCTATCAGTAATCAGTCTAAATGGCAATTAACTTATGGAGTCCTAATCAAATACTTGATTGAATGGCGTGAGAGTGTGGCATTTTTGTCAGATGACAACTGCAAGGTGCTGGAGAGATGCATGGTACAAGGTCATAGCAAGAATGTTAATTTCTACATTCAGTTTCTGGACAGGTTGATATAATCAAGTATGATTTATCAGTTTATGAAGTGGTGAAAAGCCAGTTTTCATAATTAATTACATACACATCTGATAAGTTATTAAACAGACCTCACTAAACCAAAGCAAACAAACAATTCACAAAACAATTCCTTTGCCTTCATCAATTATGAGTACAAATCTGCTCATTTATCAGCCACATTTCTTCCAAATCTGTAAACATTTTAAAACTAGAACATGTTATAATCTCATTTGGCAAACTCTGAGCAACACATATACAATATCATATGCACACCTTCCACATAAGATCAGCTTCAGCTCTTGGTGTTGACCATCTCCATTTGCTGGAATCCATATGTACCCTCATTTACTCAGTTGGGGTGACTTTTGCTTAGAGTGTTTTCCAAGCACAACAAACATCATTTGTGTAGTCAGACATTACAAGAAAAATATATTTTTAAAACTATATTTTCAAAATTACAATGTTGGTACTGTTGAAATAAATTTTAAAAGTAGCACAATAGTACACAAGTTAACTTTTACGTTAAGATAAACTTAGATACAAATCCAAACTAAGACAACTGGTGATTCTCTGAACTTACATAAATTCCTAATCAGAAAGCAGTCTTATACTCCCTAAGGAACATTTCAGACAGGGAGTGTATTGGCTATCAGGGCAATACATTCTTTACTCAGGGTTGAATAGTTCAGGCAAACACTAAAAACTATAGAAGTCTGTTACAACATATAATCAAACATATTGGTATATTTCTTTAAGCATTAAAAAGCATGTTTTTAATGAGTTAGTTTTAGATCCAACTTATAGTTAGTATTAAGCAATACATTTTGTGTGAGTTTGTTTAAAAACACCAACTGGTTTCTAGTTGAATCATTTTGAGGCAGAGATAACGTTCCATACCCACGCTGTAAATCAGATCACCTATAGGAGCCTGGTACGAGAAGAGCTGGGTGTTTCAGTGGGTCTCAGAGGTAATAAAATTAACATTAAGACAGCCCACACAAAGGAAAACACACCTCCTAATGCATATATTTAAATGAGGAGAATACACATTCTTATAAAATGGTTTGTTTTACAGCAGAAGTTCGAATCTCTTTGTGCTGAGGAGTTTCCCAGAAGATGCATCTTTTGTTTGTTTCTGTTTCCCTTTTTACTCAGTTAATTGTTTCTGTTTTGTCATGTCTTGGATTTTTGATGATCTAGGTGAGATGCTTATTGTAACATTCTTCTTGCATTGAATTTTCTCTGGATAAAACTCTGGATATCTGAAGTCTGACGTCGTATGATTGCTCTTTCTCACTGCACATATATTGAGACACAGGAATTCAGGAAAAGAGGAATGAATTAACAAGCTAAATCAAGCTAATCCTCTTTTTAATTCTTAACAGTATCTAATTTGAAGTTGAATATTTAACGTTTACAATCAATAATTAAATTATTAAAGTCATATACCGTTATTTGGCGAGCAATTTAGTCAAGAAATAAAACATGAACATCAAACATAAATACTTCAAAGGACTTTCCAAAAGGAACTGAATGAATATTATTAACTCAATAAAAGTAGTCTTGATTCAGAAAGATGGCTTTACCAATATCTATCACTACAATAGTTGCTCAGAAGCAAAACAATCAACAAACCTTGGTGAAATTTTGAAAAGTAGATGGTAAACCAATAATTGTTCTTTAGAAGGTTTTTGTTGGCTGTATGGCCTTTACTTTGCACCTTTCAGAGAAAAAGTGCAAAAGGGGAGAGGGGGGCAACATCAGGCCGAGATTCGAACCTGCAATGACTGTGTCGAGGACTAAGGCCTATATATAATAGTTGCATTTACCCCTGTGGAGCCACCTTGTCTGTTTATAGATATTCTTAACCAGTTTTATCAGAACTGATCAATTTAATTGGATATTTACTTTGATTCTGGATATATTTACCTACCTGGCTTTGTTTTTTGGCAGGTAAACATCCAGGGTCATTATCTCTGCGTATCCTGTTGAGCTCAGTCAAATAGTCTGTGGAATAAAAATTGTTTGAGTTCTGTCTGAAGCCAAGGTAAAGGGTGTAAATATGTACACAAATTCATTTAGATTTACAAAAATATATATCGCTACAGATATATTGTTGCTGTATTTCTTCCTTTAAATATGAGTAAAGCCTGAAAAAAGACCTTTGCACATCAATAAGATGTCGATATATATGAGAACGAGTGTTTAACAAAAATAAAGGTGGTGAACAAAGGGAATTCCTCCACAAAAGCAATTGAAGCCTACACAGAAGTTAACCAAAAATGTAAATGCTGACAGGATGGTGGCTGGAGAACACGAAACGCGCAAACAACGGTCACTGAGCCTTACTGGAGCTCTAAGCCGATCAGCTGACTGGACAGAGGAGCTTGAAAAGAGGCTGAGAAGCAGAGAAGTGGATGGAGGAGAGTATCTGACGGGCTACAGAGGAGGAGGCAGTCAACCTATCTGTGCTACCAGAAGATCCTCATGTGGACAGGTCTCCCTCTGTGCTTTTCAGGATGTCTTCACAGGTGAGCTAAGAAAGAACATGCAACAGTAACATTTTGAGAAGTTGTCACTTTCCTACTTTAATAGAGTAGAAGAAGCAAGATATTCCCAGATGACCTCCTTTGAGTAAGTAGTATGATGTTATACAATTAACTTAACACTTCAAAGTAATGATTGAAAAAAACTAGCCAAATGTGAGATCTGTTCATAGTACACTTCATCTGTCTCAATTTTGGTATTTATGTCTGTTTCAATGTTTTCTTCATGTCACGATTTCTACAATACATGAGTTTTAGATTTTGGCCTCGTTTTTAGCATAGTATTAATGGCTCATGAGCCACATTGAAGTTCACCCACTCCCCCATTAAAGTGTCTTTTTGCGAGTGAAAATGTGTAGGAGTAATACTTTTGTAATTAACTATGGCGCCATGTATTCTGACCACCACATGTCCATAGTCTTTTCTGGGTCATAGGTAGAATTATTCTTCCACTATACTTTAAATTTTGCTTGTTGGTTGTAAGGTTAATTTGCATACCAGATAACTTAATAAAAAAATAAACAAACAAAAGAACACCCTCCATCTTAAAGACTTAGCAACATTTAATTCTCTCTAAGAAACCAGAGTCACACAAGCCAGTTTCTGACAAGAGTCCTTATGCGAGAAAATTCTTCACTGAGTAGAATGAAGTCAGTTATACAAATCAATTGGCTGGTTTGCATATGCAGCTACAGACCTTAACACAGTGGCCGCGTTTCATTGGCTGATGCCCATTCTATGTAGTAGCTGCACTACCATGTGCGTGGCTGTCTCACAAACACAAGCTAATGTACATGCATTAGTAAACACATGCTAATGTAGCGCCAGAATATATTGTGGACTAGCAGACCGGCAGAAAGTTTTCGCATCAACAATAGAAAAATAATGGTTCTTTATTGCCAGTGGGGTATCTGTACTGGTGATCTCAGGTATCCTGATCATATTTGTGATAGTAAAATTTACAGATTTCCAAAATCAGAAGCAGAATGACTTGCTTGGATCAAAGCTTGTGCACGACCGCATGAACAGCTCAACCTTAGTAGGATCAACAAGAACAAAGAAGTGTGTGCTGGTGTAAGTATTATTGATTTGCTTTCTTTCTGTCAGAAAAAAGTATCAATCATAAACACATCCATCATGAACACCTTTTAGCTTAGTACAGCACAATGGCAGTACTGATACAACTTCTACATCTTGAAGCCTGTCTGCTACACAGTCTTACATTAGCTAAACAGATCAATATGCAATGTGTACTGTTTCTGACATACATTAAAGACTTTATTTTAGCAGAAAAGGCTTTTGACTAAACTGTTAGTCGTGTTGGCCACTCTAGCATCAAGTACAGTTTATCAGGCCTAGGCACACTCAAACATTTGCTGACAAACCACAGGAATCAGCCACTGATTTCAAAAGTAATCTACAAAACAATGAATGCCCGACTTACCCAGCCTTGCAAGAGCAATAGGCAGTGATCTTGTCCACAGCTATACTGATGCTGAGGGTGTGAGGATCTGCCGTTTTCCTCATCGACCAAAAGCATTTTGCTGTGCTGTGCAAAATGTTGGAGGCATCGCTTGGCTCAAACACCTTGATGTCATCCAAAAAGATGACATGAACTTGTTAGTTTCTCTATCCATTGTTGTAGCTGATATTTGGTAAAAAAAAATCCAGCAGAAACAAGCACTAATCTACTCAGAAATACTCCATCAGTCCAAGTGGAAGACCCCATGTTTACATAGAACAAAGCGCTGCGAGGCTTTGTTTGTAAGACTTGCCGCCACGTGGGATTTTCTAGGCCGGTTGTGGGTGGAGCTTGGTATGGTCCATTGGAGATCCAACTATTATCGGAAACCCAGCAGAGCCACACCAAGCTGAATGTAACAGCTGCTCTGTCTGTGTAGGCTAGATTTGTGAAGTGCACAATTTACAGCTGTCCAATTAAAAATGTATCTTTTAATCTCTGCTGCTTCTATGTAGTCACCATTATACTCACGGTTGGTTCTCTAATCTGTTGATTAACAGATTTAATAGAGAATCTGGCTGTAAGTTTGTGACCCAAAACTTACAGCCAGGCCTGTAAATTTGGGTAACAGCTGTTGAACACTTTTTGCCAAAGGGCCAGTGACCTGCAAACTTTAGATGTGTCTGATTCAGAACACCTGAATAAAAAAATTATTTTTATCATGACTGTAGAACTTGACTTCAGACTGAGGAGGCACTTTTGGCATTTGAGTCAGATTTGGTGAATAAATTATATAAGCTACAGTAAAAAGGCCCTGAATGACTATAATTTAGTACACCTAGTTTAGGTGAAAGGCATGAACTAGGAGTGGGTAGGTTTTCAGCAAGTCATAGCATTTTCTTTTTTTTCATTTTTTAGCAGATATTGCATTGCACATGACTGTGTATGATATTCAATGTCTGAGATATTGTTTTAAAACCTAACCACCATTATTTTATTCCTGACAGGACTTCTGGAATTCTCAATCAAGTTTATTGGCATATCACATTTCAACAACAAAGTGCTTCATGTTATGAAAACATCAGTTCATAGTAGACTTCATTAGTCTACTACATATAACTTTATCATTTCCAGAGGACTCCAATGCACTTCACACTACACTACACTTCACATGCACTGATGGTGGTAGCTTCAGCTGCCCTGGGCAGAGGTGGGGCTGCAATGCACAGGAACCACTGAGCCCTCTGAGCTTCACCAGCAGGCAAGGAGGGTGAAGTTTCTTGCCTACAAACACAATGACAGAGGTGGGCAGAGCAGGGTTTGAACCGGCAACCAGTCAATTGCAGAGCAAATTTCTACCACCATCGTTCCTCGAAAAATCACAAAACATCATAGACATGTCATAGAGTCAACAATTCTGAAACCAATAACAGTTATTGCATTTTGCCAAATGTCAGTTAAAAATCATCATTGTATATCAAAAATGTTTGCAAATATTCCATTTATTATGTTTGAAAAGGTTCTTAGTCTAGGTTTAAAGGAACTCAGTGTTCCAACTGTTTTGCAGTTTTCTGGAAGGTTGTCCCAGGTTTGTGGCGTGTAGAAGCTGAATGCTACTTCTCCATGCTTGGTTCTGGTTCTGCGAATGAAGAGCAGATCAGAAACAGAAGACCTGAGCGGTCTGGAAGGTTGATACAAAAGCAGATCTTTTATGAATTGTGATGCTACACTATTCAGTAATAGAAGCATTTTAAAGTCTATTCTCTGAGCTCCAAGGAGTCAGTGGAAAGATTTTAGATCTGCTCTATCTTCCTGGTTTCATTCAGAATGCCAGCAGCAGAGTTTTGAATCAGCTGAAGCTGGAGGACTAATTTTTTAGGCAGACCTGTGACGACACTGTTGCAGTGATTAATACGACTAAGGTTAAATGCATGCATGACTTTCTCTAGAATTAATTCTAGCCGAATTTCTTTTATGGAACACTGTATCATTCTGAAGTGAGCATGTTGATGTGATTTTGACCATTGTTCTGGTTTTGCTCTTTAACTCTCCTCCCATGGATGCCATTTTTGTAGTCTTTCTTCTTGTAGAATCAAAAATCATTGGCTTTAGTTAGACAGAGGATGTCTCGAATACTGTAGATATAGTCTTGATTCTCCTCCCCTCACATGGTGAATGTGCTTTTGGAAAGGTCCATGTCAGCAATAGCTATCATCTTGACTAACTCCATTCAGCATGCATAAGTTAGCAATTACTTAAAGCATTGTTCATGCTTGTTCATATTGATCATTTCTCTTACACCTGGCGTCTCAAAGCTTTAGAAATGGCTTTGTTGACTGTTGTATGTGAATAACTATTTGTATTTGCATTTATTTTAACTGAGTCACTGCTTTTGAAATTTTTTTATGCTTTGTTATGGTTTTTGGTGGTTTGCTGACATAACTTGAGGAGGGCTTTCAAAGCAAAATATGCTAAGGGTCACAGACCATCTTTGCTTAGAACTGAACCTAGAACATAAGAAATTTAAGGTGATTTACAAAGTGTAGTGGCTATAAATATTATCAAAGTGTTTATTGGGGGGTTCTTTTGCCCCATCTATTCTATGGCTATGCAGGTCGCACCCTTCTTGAGAAGCTGTTTTTGCAGCAGCAGCAGGAGGAGCCAGAGGAGGCTGAGAGGCTCTGCTCCAAGATCTTGGCCATGGGTCTCCTGCTTCCTTTCACTGACTGCTTCAGAGAACAGTTAGGCGGCAGCACGGCTCAAATTTCATCCACTGCATCAGCCAAGTTTGACGTAGGTACTTTTATTTTTACACAACTTTTTGACAAGTTTTAAAGTTTTCTGATGGTCATGTGTAATTTATCATCAGTTTTTCTGCAACAGAGTCAATCCCATTCGACATTTAAATACTACTGTTGTCAGGAGACACGATAGTATTTTTATACCCACAGGCCCATCACTCATGATGGGCATGAATGTCAGATAAATATTTTTAAAAATTTATTCTGTATTAAAGCCAGGGTTTGTCATGCAATATTTTTGTGTTGAATGATAACTTGCATCCAGAAAGTCAGGAATAACCACTAACTATTTGGTGTCATTGCCAAATTTTCTTGACCTGTAAGTTATTATAGGTGTCTGATGACATTCTTTTGCTGATTCCCCAGTTGCTTCCAGCTTCACCCATATAGTTTTATGCACTCAATTCACTGGAGGCTATGTCACCCCCTCTCCATGGATGTCTTATGAAACTTCTGAAATGAGGTGACAATTCCTGTCCTTCAGCCAAGCGATCAGTGAAATTTGTTTATGTGAAATTTGTTCATGTGAAATTTCAAGCTTGTAAACATGAATACATCATAGCAACACAATACAAAAAGTTAAAAATTTTTCAACTTTTGTCATCGCTGCCTTCATGTGTTGGGTTCAACCAGAGTGACAGGAACCTGGCGAGTCTCACTGTCGTTCATTAGTCCCCGTGTGTCAAGCGCATTAAAATTGAGCTGGTGTTGAAAATATTAAAGGGAATTCACATACTTCAATACCTTGAAGCCCATCACCCACAGCCCCAAACCAAGATGCCAACTCTGCCATGCTTAACATTTGGTATAATCTTTTTACCTTTGAAACCTGGAAGGGTAACAGTGGGTATCTATTTAACCACATTGTTATCAATACGGCTTTGTTCACATCCTGAATCTATTAAAACAAATATCTGAAAAGACTGTTTTCTTGTTATCAAAGAACATGTTAGGGTTAGATAGGACATTTTCCTTAAATTGCCCACCACTCCATCCACAGTGTCTTTTGGCAGATTTGACAGTTTGCAATGTAGTGTCCTCTTTGACCACAGTAAAGGTGTGCCAGAGACCTCATGTGACCCTGTTGTTCTTCAGGAGTGTGTCTGGTTTTTCCTATTTGCATAGGTTCCTCAGGGCTCTGTTTAATGGGGGTAGTACTACATTTGACTCTGTTTGGGCAAAAAAACACTTATATTTTAATCAAGTTCTGTCTCTGATCCTATTGTTGATTTTAATGGCCATGGAAATGAAATCGCCTAATGAACGTGGGATCATATCCGTAGGCAAATTCATCTTTAATGTGTTCATTAAGAGCTTGTAGAAGGGCTCTGTCATGTTGGATTTCAATTTCTTTACCCACATGCAGGTTCAGACGCAAGTCCAGGAAAGGTCTCAGTTTCACTGATTTATTTACAAGTAAATATGTTTTACTGAATGCTCCCGGGAATCGGTGAGTCAGCAGGCTGGCCTGGGCAAGTGGCTGGAGGAGGGAGGGATCCGTGCGGTGCTGAGGTTCCGAGGAGGCGGTAGGAGCGCGGGCGGCTGGCTGAAGCGGTGGGTCCTGTGAGAAGCTGTAGACAGCGTTGGGTGGGCGTGATTCCCGGCTTGGTCCAGACTGCTTATCCAAATCTGCGCGGAAACAGAGATCATTAACTTGGATTCTCAAACAGAACACGAACAGGCAAATTCCTGGCTTAGACTCTGACCAACAGGTTGGACCATCGAGCGATGAACGGCTGCTCCACCGCGTCTTAAGACTCCTGCAGCCGATTGCCGCAATCCGCTACAGGTGCGCCAGCCTGTCAGGACACTCCCACGAAGATCGTTTATGTACAGAGCGCTCACACCAACAGGCTCCTTTTTAATGCTTTTGCATTCCAACCAGAAGAGGCCACCAGTGTTTTAAAATCAATCGGAAAATCTGCTACTGCTTGACAACTCTGCTTTAAATTCCATAGTTTAAGGGTTATATCTGAATCTGTCTCAGAATACCAGAATATCTGTTTAAATGCAAACAATTTTATATACATGTACATTATAAAGTGAACCATAGGTGCCCTGAAATAGGACTTGCAGCTTGGTTGCCGCCCATTTGAGCGCTATTCCTGTTCATTATCAGTTACGTAAGAGTTCTTAACTGCACAAATACGTTTCTAACCAAGATTTTTGAGCGTTTCAGCTAACTGATCTAATCGTTTTATTCACTTGTTGATCACATAACCCTTTCATGTATGAACTATGATCCTGTCAGTCTGGATTTTCCAAACAGGTTTTGATTATCTTAGGGCATTAAAAAAAAGGTGGGAAAATTTTTTTGTAATTTTTTTTTCTAGGATTTGTCCAAGTGTCCACTCAAGTGGACAACATGCGCTCACATTTTTTGACTAATGAATTGCTACATATTATAAAGTGAATTTTTTTCTTTTTTTGTTTTTTTTTTTACATTTTTTACTTAATATTTTGACATTAGTTAACAGAATGCAAAAATATATAACATTGTATTCAACTCTCATCCTAATCTAATATTCACTACTATCTCATCCCTTTATTCACTCCCTCTCATTCAACTGCTAAATCTAATTTTAGTCATATTTTGGCTCCTTCTCAAACAGTATGATATTATTATGGGCATTTTTAATTTGACAAAACTAAAGATTGAATATGATAGTTCAGTCATTTTGTTGTTTTCTGTGACATAATAGTACAGTATCTTCAGTTTCAGATTTATAAAAATCAAGGCTATCTTATTTGAAAATGCACAAAGCACCCAGGTTGGAAACAATCCATTAGGCGCAGATGAATTTAGTTTTGTCTGTGGCCTGGATCATTGCATGTTGACATTATTGGTGGCAGTGAGGTATGGCCAGTTTTATCCAGATCTCAGCCTGACCACATGGGGTGTCTATGACCATTGGCATCCAAAGTCAGTCTTGGAGGGCTGGCATCCTACATGATCTAGTTCTCTCCCTTGTTCAAGACACCAGGATCAAATGATGCCTCTTTAGAAGACATCAGGAGACATACTGAGGAGGAAGTTACTACCATCAGGCAAAGAACTAGAACATGCAGGATGCCGGTCCTAGGGGACCAACTTTGGACACCACTGCCTTAGACGCCAGTCTGCATATTATTGGTGATGAGATGGCACTAGCACTCTTGAGCGTGTCTGGATTGAACCCTCATTCATTATCACACAGGCTAAAGATTCCTTGAAATGCAGAAGAGTCACCTTCACCAAGAAGAGTAAAAACTCTTGGTATCATGTCAAGATGAAGACCTGGCTCAAATGATAAATACATTCTTCTCTTTGTGTATATGATGTATGACATGATTCCAAATTTATTACTGGAATTGTCTTCAATCTTTGTTCTGTAAAGGCAAGAATTTCTTTTCTTTTTTTGGAATGCATACAAGTTTGTATTCTGTTAAATGCTGCAGCTTCAGTCATGTCATGACCTTCAAAATCTTGATTTATCTCAATAATCACAGATTCTTCATCTTCTGCTACCTTTGGCCTGTAAAGTATAAGAATTTTACTTAATAGCAACAATGGGCTTCAAGTTTGGAATTAAAATATGTCTGTTTATTTACAGTCAAAATACTTGCTGGAAATGGTGCATATTGTAAATCTACAGTCAGAGTACTGATATCAATACTTGTCAAAATATCGCCACTGATGCATGACATCCACTTTAGCGGACAGGTGATTAGTTGTAATTTTCTCCAAATATAAAGTTGTTATTTGGAAAATATGTCAGTAGTAGCAGTCTGTATTTTTTTTTCTTCCTGCAAGAGGTCTCCACAGTAGGAGGAGGGACTGGATATTCTTGAGTTAGTCTGATCAGGGCGGCCTGGGCGGCATGATTCCCCCTCACCCCAACTCCGCACCCCCCCACCCCCTCCTTGGTTGTCAAATCAGGTCAGGTTAGTGGTCAGCCAAACACTCAATAAAGTTCCCTCAGAATGTAGTTAAGCTATGCGAATGTTAGAGAAAGAGTCATAATGTGATTTATAGACACTTTTTTTACCTTAAAAAAGTCTGTTTCACTTCGCCGCTCTTGGTAGTGCACGCTCGTGGGTTAATTTGCCCTTTTCAGTGTTTGAGCAGGGGTTTAGCGTCCACCTTTCTGGGGGCGCCGGAAAGGTGTTTCGCCTTGGGCTCCAAACAGGCTAGAACTGCCTCAGAGCCTGATACTTTTTTTGTCTGCCATGTTGGATTTAAAGAAGAAGTTCTTGTCCTTTTAGTGGATGTACAGTAGTTGTCAGTTACCTGATGCACTACTGTGCATCAGAGGTCTGTGTGCATTTCTGACATAAAAATCCACAAGAAACATAAGAAAATGGCTTTTAGATAGCTGTCCACTGTAGTGACTGCTATGCATGAAAGGATGTTCATCTAAATAGGATTCGGGCATGGGTGGAGAAACTTCTCAGGAGCATACAGGGACAGGTGAAGTTTGTGCAGGACTGCGTAAACAAGTTTCTGGTGAAGAGGTTTGAGAGTCTCAGAAAACTGATCTAAACGTTTGTTTGTATTCACTTGCTGATCACATGAAGATTGGAGCATGGAATCATAACAAACAAGTACTGTATGATCCAGATTGGGATCAGGACATCTCCTGACATCTCTGGTGGATCAGGCTGGCTGGACGAATCTGGATTCTGCCATGTTCTGGTTTAGCTTTCTGACCTATATGCAGAATCAAATGGAGTTCATGTAAAGGAACTGGGTTTTTTTACATCCAGTCTTTGGCAAGCACAGATTATTGTTGGCAACTAAAGTTAGCATAATGCTAACAGCCTAGCTTATGTGGCATTAGCAGTGTAATAAAATGTTATGACCAACAACCCTAACCCTGTGGTTTTTGTTCCAGGACTATTCAGCTTCACAATATTTACAAAAGGCTATGCCAGGTCAGGACAATAAGGAGAGGTGGATTATTATATTTTAGAAATAATGGTTTATTTTCTCCAAAGTTTAAAATAGGCCTACAACAATAGAATACCTGCATAAAAGACAACTTACAAAATTCACATGTATATTGCACAATAGCTCTTCAACAGCTAGTTGTATTCTCCAACCTAATTTTAAAAAATCACACAGATAAAAGAAAACACTTCAAACCAAATAGCAAATTAAAATTGCAAAACAAATGAAAAAACAAAATAGCAAAACAAAGCCTGCAAGCAAATGACAAACACATACAAAAAGGGGAAAACATCTATAAACCGCAAATGAACATGCAGTAGAATTAGAAAAGGGATTCACCATGAGCAGGTGGAGCCCAATAATAAAATGATTAATTGATTGAACGGCATCTCAGCTGAAAAAGGTATGAAACAAAAGGACAGGGACCAAACAACAGGTGTGATATGGCTAAAACTAGTTTGGACTTTCTTTTCACTCATTACTTACATTTTTTTGTCTAACATCTGAAAGGAAAGTTGTGACTGACTAACTTGGCAAGAACGTTGGAGGAGAATAGTGAATTACATAGTAAACACCTGTTGCTTGAGAAAGTGTTTAAAGTAGTTTTGTTTCTGCAGCATGACCAGCTGTATACATGGGCCACAGTCAACCAGCCGCCACACTCACTGGATCTACTTGAAGGGAAACTAGCAGGCCAACTCAAGACGCAATGGTCTCCATTAAGGCTAGGAGGAGAAAACAGAACTGGTCATAAATCTATGGAAGCAGGTAAGCTCAACATTCAAATATTAATTATGAGGAAATCAAAATAGTTCTGTTTTCCACATTCATTTATTCTGAACATGTGGAAAGAAATTACTGTATTTGTTCATTTATAAAAATTCATTTCATGTATGAAAAATTGTGCAGCATTTTGAAGAGATTCGCATTGCTATTCGTCAGGAAGTTTAAAGCCTTGGTGATTTTACTGAGTCATATATTTTCATCAGTTTTCACTGAAATGCTGCTATAGAGAATTCTTTGTCAGTATTTCAATTGTTGTTGCGCAACACCCCTGCCCCTTCTCTCTTTACTCTCTTACACTCTTTCTCTTCTGAGGGGGTAGATGTGCTACCAGCTTAACGGGTGAATTGAATTTCCTAAATCTGCTGGGATTTACCCTGTCCACAACTGAAGTAAACTCTGTTTAAGCTGGTGTCGAGAAAGACTCACCTGGTTTCTGACGATCTCCATTCAGATGCCCCTTTCTCCTTATTACAACTTGCACTTGTTACTGAACCAGGTTGGTTTTAGTGACTTGAGCGAGTCCCAAGAATGTTGGTTTACATACAGTTTTGGACTAAAAGCAACCTATAGAATTTTTTCCACCTTGTCCTCCCCAGAATCATAACTATTTGACGACCATCAAAGAACTTTGAGGTGACTCATTAATTGAATTTCCACAACATCTTTAATATTTTCTTTATGCTATTTATTTTATTAGTAAAGCAATTATGCAATAGCAGAAATAATCAAATAAGTAAAATCAGTCATCTGGCCTATCTTTTCCTAACACTGACACTGAGAACTAAAAAGGGAGACAGACAGAGCATAGGATTTTTTAACCCCAGCACTAGCCTGATGATGAAGAAGGTGTTCCACAGCATTAATTTATTCTGAACATGTGGAAAGATGTTCAGAATAAATTAATGAATTTATTGATCAATGAAGGCAGGGATTTCTGTTGGTCTGATGACCTTTCGTATCCGCAGGGATGGTGAGGTCACACAGGACTTGGGTCTTTATCTTTGCCTTGATCTTCATTTTTGTCTTTGGGGTCTGAACCCAGCCAATGAGAGAAGACCAATTTGAAACCGCATGTTGCGGGGCTGACGGATTGGTCCCCATGTGCAGGACAGTCTTCGGCTCTGTGTCTCTGGCTCTTCTTCAGCTGCAGAGTTCTTTGTCCATCTTGGTCTTGGCTGGAAGCTGCCTGGAGGATCCAACCAAAGATTCCTCTTTTGCTCTCACCTTTTATCGGGTTTATCCATCCTTTTGGTGTATTTGCATTGGCTAACACTGTTGCTGTGCTTGTTTCATTGGCTGACAGCTTGGACAGATGATCTCATATCCATCACTGTCTTAGAGACATTATGTCCTCATGTCTGTGCTAATGTCTCAAGGTTGCTCAATGTTCCTCCCATGTCTTTTCTTTGAAATTTTTAAGTTGTTCAAAAATCCGTTTCCAAGTAACCCTAACCCTACCCCAACCCCTAACCGTTCACCTTCCATCCACCTCCAACACTTCAGTGATCTTTAATTGCAGTTACACGTTTTTCACCATTTCAAGTTCAATGTCAAAATCAGATTCATACCATTTTTTAGCTTCTTTGATTTAGCATGCATTTATAATATTATGATAACCACAACTTATTAGTTACTTTTACTATAATCATAATACAGATGTTCTGAAAAGAAACCAAGAATAATCTATAATTGTAATTATTTGATACCAAAGTTACAGCTACTTGTTTTACTTTAAGTGTGAGTGTAAATGTAAGTATTGTTATAAGTAAACCAATATTAATATAAGTACTTTACTTTAAATCTTATCCAATTACTCAAAATGTTTAGATTTCATTCTTTGAAACTTTCATGCTTTGAAACAAGGAATAGTCTCAGCTATATTTATAAATCTGCAAGCTGGAAACTTATTTCCTCGTTCTTCAGGAAACCTGCTCTTCCTGTCTCATGACTCACTCTGCCTGACTATGATTTCTTATCATTAGATAGAAAAAAGACGTATAATTAAAGCTAAGTTTGCAGGAGACAACAACAACACACACAACCAGATTTATTTGATTGAAGTCTAAGTCTACTGTTGGCTGAAATGTGTGATTCATTTTAAACTTTATTTATTGTTAAACTAAAATCCCCAGCATGAGTAAGTGGGATGATCTCAGGTTTTCTTGACACAATGTAAAACCTTAAACTTAGTTTAACTCAAATTATTTGAGGAAACAAATTGTCTTAAACAGTTTAAGTTTATCAACCTAAACAACTCAGTTAAAAAAATATTCACTTTAGGTACATTTAGCTCAAATGTACTTAGGATAACATGGGTAAATAAAGTTAATAATACCATTTTATTCAGGAAACTGAACTTAAAGTAGTAAGTATCCTAAACTCATATTTGTTTGTTGAAGTTTGTTACTTCTAGCTTATTTGAGATGTTTTGACTCAACTCAACTATATTGAGCCAGAGTATTTTAGATAATAAAATTTATTTCAAGAAGATCCCATTCAGCTCAAGTTACTGTTGTATTCCTCCAAATCAAATTATAACATTATAATTGTCACAACTGTTAACTACTCAAGTAATTTGAGGATGTTGTTTAAGTTACCTTAACTCAATACAAACAGATGTTATACACTGTAAAACAAAATAAGTATCATTTAACTTAAAACTTATGCAAGCTTGCCTAAAATAATCAAGTTCTAAAAACTTAAGTCTGTACTGATCGAGTAACATTAACTTGTGCAATTTTAGGGAGGAAAACCTAAGTTCATAATATTATTATTAAGTTAATATTAGTATGTTCTAAATACTTAAATAACACCCAAAACTTAAGTTTTCTTTTAAGTAGAAACTACTTGCTAAAAAGAAAACAACTTCTTGAGACAGTTCCAGCTTTATATTTGTTTCTTTGCACAAATCTATACAGGAAATACAGAAAACAAGGACAGTTTGCTTATGTTTATCAGTAAAACAAACTCAATCACATACCAAGCTGCACTTGTTTTCAATAATAAGATCATATTCAACAAATATGGCAACAGTATTAGATATACTCAAACCTGAAAAGGTCAGCACAGGCTACTTCCAAACCTACAAAAGTAAAGAAAAAAGACAACCACAAACTCAATGAAAATTAATCTAATGACAAAATAATAAGAATGAAAAATAACAACTTGCTATTTTAGAGGAGTTTCAGATGATTTATCATATGATACCGATCGGCATTTTGTTGTTTGACCATAAATTTTACAGATGTGAAGAGGTGGCAGGGATCTTTGTGAAAAGTGGGGGGAAAAAAACAGCATTACTGGATGAAAGCCTTGCCCATAGCGATGATTACATTTAATATCTTTGCAAATTTATTTTTCCTTGTCAGACTTAAAAATAATGTAATTTTTAAAAAAATTCAAGAAAGTTTGGAATTTTAGGGAATCCCAAACTCAAAAAAAAAACATGGACATCCCGATTCCAGAAGAAAATCTAGCAAAACCCCCAACACACCATATTTTAGAATGATAAAACACAATGATTATGTAGAAGCAGTAAGGACAGTTTGTGGATCATTTTAAGTAATAAAAGATTAAACAAAAATAAAAAGAGTTTGATAAAAGATGGCGGGAGCAGCTGCTCTATCTGTTGCACTATAATTTGGAGGTGAGTTATGTTTTTTCGTCATTAACATTTTTAACTGAATAAGCATAACCACATAGAGTAAATATATATAAAAATGTCTTTTACTTGTAGTAAACATTTCCACATATGACCTCCGACATCCACTGGTCTCTCATCTGCGACATGTCAACTGTTTGGGATTCCCCTCTGTTCTCACGTTACGTCACCCCGTTTTCTGATTGTCACACACATTTACTATCTGTCACATTCAACAGGCTGCATTCTCTCTCCCCGTCAGGAAAACCTCACAGGCTGCGATAATCGAGCCAGGACAATGCTGAATATTCGCGATTTTAGATCGCACCCTTTCCCCCAAAATTGTTACAGCCGTAACAAAATTGCCAAGTCTTGACCAGTCCGTGGTAATAAAAAGGTTGGGGACCACCGCACTAGATCATTGAACGCACTTGCCATTGACAAAGGAATTTTAAAAAGCATTGCCTGGTCGTTAATGCTTTGAATAGAACGTGCAGCTGCTGAGTTACATAGTTCTGGCACATAAAGAAAAAAAGGTGCAGGAAATATTGGTGGGGACTGAGTTGGAGGGGACATGTCCACACCAGTCCTTCAGGAAGTTATGCCTTTGCTTTAAAGTAATAAAGTTATCTCCTGCTGCTTTAATGTTACTTCTTACTATTACGACTTTCTTTCACTGTTCCATAGTGTTTTAACTGAAGTATAATTGCTGTACTGTGATATGTTTTGTATAGATAATTGTGAAGCTGACTCCACAAGACAAGACAATGAGGAGAAATCAGAGGTCTGTATTTTATTTCTCTCTACATTCTATAACTTTGTTGTGTGACAAAATGAGTCTTCTAGTTCTGTTTGGTAGAGAGTACAAGTGAACAAACTATTTTTAATTTGATTTTGGATTTTTCCTTTATGCAGGGGGAATATGTGCTGCCATCAAAAAAACTAAAGGAGAAACACATTGATGTTATCCAGCAGCTTGAGCAAACTATAGAAGATCTCAGGACTAAGATTGCTGAGTTGGAACGTCAGCCCCCTCTTCTGGAGGAGAAGGGTATAATAACCACCACCTCCACCACCGACAGAGAATGTGGAGGAGATGAGAGCCTATTGAGGTCTCTTTGTGATGCTCATCTGCAAACAGAGGCAGGGACTTCTCTGGGATGCCAGCAGGTCAAGTCAGTGCAGACCTCGCCAATGGATGATGGTTTTAGGTTCAACATTCTCTGTAGAGGGCTGGATGGAGGTTCTCTGCCGCCACCATCCAATCAAGATTGTTCATGTCAACTAGAGCCTTGGACTTCACCTCTTGTGCATCAAAGAGAAACTGTAATTCTTCACTCATGCCTGAATTTGGTCCCACCTCCTCCTCCACCTTTACCAGGATTTCCAGACCCTCCTCCCCCCCCACCTCCTCCTATCCCTGGACTTCCAGGCCCTCCTCCTTCTTCAGGATTTCCAGGCCCTCCACCTCCACCGCCTCCTCCTTTACCAGGATTTCCAGGGCCTCCCCCTCCACCGCCTCCTCCTTTACCAGGATTTCCAGGCCCCACCTCCACCACCGCCTCCTCCTTTACCAGGATTTCCAGGCCCTCCCCCTCCACCGCCTCCTCCTTTACCAGGATTTCCAGGGCCTCCCCCTCCACCGCCTCCTCCTTTACCAGGATTTCCAGGGCCTCCCCCTCCACCGCCTCTTCCTTTACCAGGACGTTCAGGCCCTCCACATCCACCTCCTCCTCCAGGATGTGGGCCTCCTCCACCACCACCAGGAGCAACTGGCATACCCCCAAGTCTTCCAGCAACAATGGGTTCATTGCCCCCTCCAATACCACTGGGTTTGTATTCTCTACCTTTAACTCAGGATAAACCAGCCAGAAAAGCTGCAGTGGAGCCACCCCAGCCAATGAAGCCCCTTTATTGGACCAGGATCCAGCTACACACAAAAAGGTACTGATGTTGACCAACAACTGTGATGTTTTTGGCAAGACATTACTATAGATTTGGTTGTGCTTACTTAAAATTAGGGGTTGCATGACTTCATATTTTTAAAAGTTGACCACAACATGACAAAGTTGAGTCAAGCGGGATCAGTGCTTCCAAATTTGAGGCCATGGTCTTAAGCAGGAAAAGGATAGAGTGTCTTCTCCGGGTCGGGGGGAATGTCCTGTACCAAGTGGAAGAGTTTAATTATCTCAGGACCTTGTTCAGGAATGAGGGAAAAATGGAGCAGGAGATTGACAGAGGGATTGACACAGCGTCTGCAGTGAAGCGAGCGTCTGTAGTGAAGCGAGCGTCTGTAGTGAGTAGTTAAATTCAGTGCACCCACCTGCTGCCCCTCTGCCCCAATGTGCAGCAGGACTCTCTGCTGACTCAGCAATGGCTCTCTGACTTGCTGGATAAACCAACATGCCGACAATGACCAGTGTTGTATAGTAACAAAGTAAAAATACTTCACTACTTTACTTAAGTATATTTTGGAGTACTTCATACTTTCCTCGAGTATGAACATTTTTGATAACTTTCACTTTTACTTCACTACATTTCCGAACTTAATTGCACTTTTATTCCGATACATTTTCAATGTATGGTTTAGTTACTGGTTACAAAAAAGTGAGAGAGAAACGCAAATGTTTTGACCCAACCTACTGACCGACTGCAACAAAGCCTGTTTGCCTGGGTTGTTCATCACCACCAATAGGATGTACAAGTTTCGCTTCTCCCCACTACATCAAAAAGTCCAGCAAACAGTGTGATTGGTCAGTTCTCCGTTTCTGTGGGTTTGTGCCGTTAAATTTTTTGTTTGTGCAGCTTTGGTTTCCGAGATATTAAAATGATTTTTTAGGTCATCCAGAGTTCACCATCCCCGCATTTTGCTCCAAACCAAACCAAAGTGGGCTGGTTCGTTAGTGCTCCGTTTTGTGCAGGTTTGTGCCGTTAAAACAAACGCAGCAAAGTTGTTTTCAATTTGGATTTTGGCTTTTCCAATATCCGGTGAGCGGCGTCTAGCTCGAGGTTGATCCGATTTATGAACGCTAATTTCGGCCAGCCGTTCTCTGGTCTCCTCCTTCCTCAAGGTGTCGGAGTTTCACTCAGGGAGAGTCAACAAATTTTACATCCAAACTCTCCTGAGAAACTAATGGAAATAGATTTCTTGCCTTATGACCAACTGACACAACAATCATGCTGTTACACGAGACACACTGTTCTCTAGTGAATTTTTAGTCATATTCAATATATTCAGTAATTGTAATCTTAAAAAGTATATATTTTGGATGGCCTAAAATAATATCTCGGAAGCCAAAGCTGCACAAACAAACATTTTAACGGCACAAACGGAGCACAAACCAATCAGACTATTTGCTGGATTATTTGAGTAGGTGGTGTCAGCTTCATGGAGGTCTGTTTCACTTCTCCCATTAAACACCAAGTTAACTAAAATCTCTCCCTCTTCAGATGCCAAATAAGCTGCATTTCCCTCCCAATTCTTTTTTCTTTTGCATAATGACCAGTTGTTGCACCTATAGTGTGTGAAGTAGAGGAATCCTAACGGCTTTTTTTCTTCATGTTGGCCGCATTTTCTGTACTATTTATTTTTCTCATTTTCAGCACTGACCTTACTGAAAGGAAAAACGTAAGGCTTACAAAAACTTTGTATTTTCTGTCCTGGAGGGTTTACTAAAAAGCTGGTTCAGTTGTAAAGCAGGTTAAGTTAACCTAAAGCAGGTTAAGTTAACCTTGTGGTTTAGGTAAAGCACCTAATTTTCTTAACTAAATGATGCCTGCAGGTTTATCTATTAGCAGGTTTCATTTTGCCTGCACTTGCTTGTGTACATTATTTTAAGTGTATTTGACAAGTTTACTAAAATATAACAAAAATGTCATTCAAACTGCATTTGCCTTGTTTTACTTTTTACTTGTACTTTTCATTACATTGCTTGAGTTCATCCATTTTTACAGTAATTTCAGATACTTTAAGACTTTAACCCAAGTAATATTTCAGTCAGTGACTTGGACTTTTACCAAAGTCATATTTTGGAGAGGTACCGATACTTTTACTTGACTCCGAGATTTCAGTACTTTATGCAACACTGACAATGACAGAGATTGTCTCTGTCAGATCCTCAGAGTGCAACTTGAATTTCATTTCCAGATGTTGTAAAACAGTATTTTTAAGTTAGAAAGTTCAACAGGCAGGGTGATGCTGATCAGTTGAATGGTTAAAAATACGACATCATGACACATTGCCGCACATTGTCTTTGTGTAGACAACCAGAAGGTCATTACATTGTTCATACCGGTCATGGAAAACCTGGAAGGTTATGGAATTTCATTTCAGGTCATGGAATGTCATGGAACTTACAAATACAGGCAAAAAAAAGCTGTTTTTCTCTCTGTGGTGCATATGTTTCTATGGTTCTCCTCTCAGACTCAACAGCATTTGGTCTTGGACATTGAGAATTTGTTTTCAAAGCCTGTGTTCTGGCTATCAGGGGGTAAATAAACTACTCACCCTGACTATCTGAGCTTGGTAAGGATATAAACCTGATAATTACAGAGAAAGATACAGTTGATAAAAATTGAAAGAGAAATGGAGACATAAAAGTTAGATATGTGTAGGGAACATTGTAAAGTTTTCTTTCTTAGGAATGTTTTGTTGAATATGTATACATATTCAAGACGTTCAAGTATTTCTTTAATCACTAATGTATTTTGTTTGTAATAATGGTAATCAACTATTCTGCAGACCGTTCAAAAAGAAGGCAGCGGTGCAGTGATTGCAATTTTCTTAGACTTAGACTTAGACTTAGACTTCCTTTATTGTCATTGTACAAAAAAAACACAAGGTGAATCTTGACAACGAAATGTCGTTACTTGGCTACTAGTGTAGCAGAGCTAAAACCTTAAACTACCCAATAAATAAATAAATACAATACAAGTGCCATAGAATACACAGGTTCAGTGTTGTGAACAAAACTAAACTAAAGTGCATGTATTGACCATGTCCATGGGGGGGTGGTTTGGTTTGTGAGTGTGTTTGTGTGTGTTATGTGGCGTTAAGCAGTCTGATGGCCCGGGGAAAGAAACTGTTCAGTAATCTGGTTGTTCTGCACAAGATGCTGCGGAACCTTCTTCCAGACGCCAGGGGGGAAAACAGTCCATGGTTGGGGTGGGTGGGGTCGAAGAGGATCTGGTGAGCGCGAGATAGGCAGCGCCTCTCTGCGATGTCCTTGATGCAGGGGAGCAGAGCCCCCGTGATCTTCTCCCCTGTCCTCACCACCCTCTGTAGAGACTTCCAGTCAGAGGCCCTGCAGCTCCCAGACCAGATGGAGATGTAGCTGGTCAGTTGGCTCTCGATGGTCCCTCTGTAGAAGGTCTGAAGGATGGGGGGCGGGAGGGATGCTCTCTTCATCTGACGCAGGAAGTGCTGTGTTTTCAAATTTGTGTCATTTATATTCCTCCCTGTTGGCCTGCACTACAGTTTTACATGTTTGCTGACTGAAAGACGAACTTGGTGGGTCAGTCTTTCAGTCATATACTTTTCTTTCTGAATTTGTTGTACATGGGTCATGGAAAATTATACTGCACCTTGCAGTGCTGCTGTGTTTCTGACCACCTGGTTAGACACACAGTCCTTCAGTCTCAGAAACTGTGGTAGTCATAGAACCAGGTGATTGTCAAGGTTTCCATCTGTCTTCTGTAGTTACTGAGAAAGTAAATGATGCTGAATTGTGTTAATGCACAGAAGAAATCAAAGAACGTGGTCCTCTCATCGCTGCCTGTTTTATCCAGATGACAGTGGGTTTGTTGAAGCAGGTCTATGATAGTGTCTTCAACTCCACGACGATAAGCAAACTGCAGGGGGTTCTGATTTGTGCTTCACACTTCATTCTATATTATTCACCCATTCACACACTGAATTCTACAACTACTGGCATCGTTCCTGAGGGAGTTTGACAGAGCACTAGTACCACCAGGCTATCTGACTACCACCCGCAGGCAAGGCGGGTGAAGTGAATCTTACGCAAGGACACTCGGGTAGATAGAGCAGAAGTCAAATCGGCAACTCAAGAGTTGCAGGACAAACTCCTACCACTGTTACCACCATCATTCCTAGAAATTATGTGATGTTGACTCCCACACAAGGATCACCAATAATAATTGGTGAATATTGCAATAGCATCAGTTGTGATAAATCCACTTTTTCATTTCTCTTTATCTGATCACTGCTTCCAGCCTACCAACGATTAATGCATTCTTTTAGGCAAGGCAAGGCAAGGCAACTTTATTTATATAGCACCTTTCAGTCAAAGACAACTCAAAGTGCTTGTACAAGAAAAATAAGGAAAACATACTGTTAGAATAAAAATAAATAAAGAAAGAAAATATAGACAAAGTAAACATTAAAATTGTAATTATAGTAAATGAGTGGGATTAAAAATTTAAGAATAGACAACTTCAAATAAGAAGGTTTTTAACCTTGTTTTAAATAAACTCAAGGTAGGCGCAGACTTCTTTTGTGAGAATAATATTGCACACAGAAATTATGACCAAGTTTGCAATTTATAGTGCATTCCTGGAAATGTGCATGTACTGTTTTAACTGCTATGAAATATCTACTGTGAAATTGGTTTATGCTTACTAAAAACAGGAACATTTAATTTGACTGTAAATCTCAATTCTGTTCAATTTAATTCAAAGGGCAGTCTGGATTTGCTCCCCTGGACTCAGATCATCCCCAGTCAATTTTTGACAGGGCCAATCAGTGAACAGAAGAAGTTGTAAACAATAAAATTGTTTTTTTGTGCCATTTTGTACGAAAAAATTGTATTGTATTGTAGTCTGCCTGTAGTTTTATCATTGGCAGTGGAGGAAGTTAACTAAATCGTTCATGATTTAGTTAAGCATGAAGTGTAGAGCTGAAGCATGCTCAGCTCTACACTTCACTTTTTGCAGTGGAGGATAGTTGTTTACAGCGCAGGCGAGTTCCAGGAAGCTTCTTACTATCAAACTTGTACATTACATACGTCACATACAAACAAACGGTATTGGGTAGAAGTTAAAACATCAACATAGTCCACACCTCCAGAGAGTAATGGTTTCTCAACCTGATTTTCTATTGACAGAAGAAAGATTACTTTAAACTTATGTCTGCCAAGGGTATTTTGGCTTGTTGATAGATTGGTATGTTTTAAGCTACATACAATTAAGAAAATAGTTTTCTAGTTAGTTCTCAAAGTTTTGGTTTGTTACATGAAACTCTTGAGACCTTTTGTGTTTTTCAGGGATATTCCTTCTTCACTTGTGTGGGAGTCGGTTGAGGAACCTGATGTGGACTTTGACGAATTTGTGGCACTGTTTTCGAAAACAGCAGTTAAAGAAAAAAAGCAGCCACTCTCTGACACCATAACAAAATCCAAGGCAAAACAGGTCTGTGTGTTAAGAATGTTTTATATCTTGTATATTATATAAAGCAAAATCATAAAGAGTTAATATGCTTTCAAAATTGGCAACAATTGAATAAATAAATTCAAGTTTCTAAGAGACAAAGTCACTGAAGTTCACATTTTTTCTTTCTATTTTCATCTTTTAAAGAAACATGATTCACACTTCTCCATTGTTTAGATGTCTCTGTTGCAGAACAGCTTATTCAAATGATCATATGACCTCCTCTGCAGCCATCAAGTGCTGGAGAAGCTTGTTAATCACTGACTTATTGTGTGGCAGAAGGGAAACACCTAAAATATACAGGGCAGATTACGCTTACCATCAATCAGTGTTTACCTCTGACCTACACTGTCAATTGTTGCATTTTATATAGACAGGTATGTGCTTCTCCAAATCAAGTCATATAAACCAAATGTACCAAATTTAAGTTGTGGATACATCTCAAGGATCATCAGTGGAAACAGCTCAGTTTTGAGCTCATGGCTGAAAGGTTATGAATAGTTATGTAAAAAAGTTATTTCTTGTTTTGTTTTTTAAAGGTTTTGTGGCACCATTTGCATTTTTTTAAATTAAGTGACTCATATAGTGCTTTAAGGACACTCAAAGAACCTTTTCAATAAAACCAGTCATTTCCATTTACATGATAATAATGGCAAGCAACTGAAGCTTCATTTCTCTGACAGAAGCGAGGCTGCTGCATTGCGCTGACGGCTCTTCTAATCAAGGCAAACTTGATTAGATGTTTTCTGTTTTGATAAACTAACAAAGTCGTCAAAAACATCAGTCCACCTCGTATTGAGGAAAGATATTCATTTAATACAATGTGGAAAAAGTGAAATGCTGCAAATTTTTCCTGAATGCACATGTATCTGTTACAATTTGTTACTGACTTGTTACTGGTTTTTTAGGTTGCAAAGTTGCTGAATAACAAGCGCTCTCAGGCTGTTGGGATCCTCATGTCTTCCTTGCACCTCGACATGAAAGATATACAACATGGTGAGCAGAGAAATTGATTTAACTGTGCTCAGCATTGAACCTTTTTATATTCAGGAATTACAATTCCTGAATATGGAATTGTAATTACATAGTTGACTTTATAAAACCAAGACTAAATTAAGTACCTGTGTAGACAGCTTAGGCTGTGATTTTTCAATGCTGAAGCACTGTGACTTTGTAAGACATCCTTCTGACTGATGAATGGTCAGGGCCACCATCCACAGCATAAACCAATCACCATTCAGAAGATTTTTTTACCCATGTCAGAACATCAAGAAGCAAATGTCATGATTCTTCCACACATGGGTTTTCTAGGTTGAATGTGGTTTTGGAAAAAACTTTTACCAAATGATGCCATAGATCAATGTTTCCCAATCCCTGTGCACACTGGTCTGCATATGTTAAATGTTTCTCTGCTTTAATATACCTGATTCAACTGATTGAAATCAGCTGGGCTAAAGCAAGGAAACATATAAAACATGCAACTCTGGTCCTTGAGGACCAGAGTTGGGAAACAACCAAACACCTTAAATTTAGATTGTAATGTGTAGAAACGGTAACCCATGCATACTAGAATTTTATGATGTGGGTTAGGGTTAAACACTTGAAAGAAGCTAGAATTATAAATTACATATTTAGAAGCTTTCTCATTTGTAACTAGACAGATGCCATATTTACCCAATTGATGTGATCAATATTATCAAATAGAATATTCAAAAATATCCTGTACTGTTTTGGAATGAAGTTTCTTCTTTACAATGGATTGTCCTATGAAAACAGCTGTGAGCAATGGCTTTTCTTTTTGTTTTCTAGCTGTCTTGAACTTGGACAACAATGTGGTGGACACAGAGACCCTGCAAGCACTTTATGAAAATGTAAGTTGCTAACAGAAATTTCCTCTATTCAGGTAGTGTTGCTTGTTATGTCAATCATTGGTTCTTAAAGCTTTCATGATTTTGTCTATAAATCTTGCTTAGAATCAGGTCTGTTTTTCTAAGCTGCTTGTGTACACCCTTTCATCTGAGATGTATTTTCTATAGTAGGCATGACTGGAAATAAAAGAAATTCCTAAAAAGTAATAGTTATTTTTAAATGTTGAATGTTTTGACCAAGGCATTCAAGCCTTAAGAATACATACATTTCTTCAATATAATCAATTAAAAACAATCCATCAAATCAAAAATAGCCATCAATAACTTTCACCAAGGACAACCATGCATACTTGATAATACATCAAAAAAAATTTAAAGTCTCCAAAAACACTTTCAAAGCTATACAAACTGAAATCTTCACCCAATAATGTACCTCAAATTCTGATTACTAAATGAAAAAAAAGATGTTTTGTTTTGAATGTATCTTTTTAATGTATACTTATTAGTTTGTTTGTTTTATTTGTTCTTTTTGTCTGGTTATTTGAGCTCTCTTGCTGTTATTCGTTTTATTATGTGGTTAATTATTTTGTATATCAATATCCTTTTGTGCTTTTTGTCACTCTATAATGTTTGTCCTATATACACCTGCTGGTGAATAATTAATATATATAAAAGAAAGAAAAGAAGCAAAATCATACACAAGAGATTCTACCATGTCTATATATATATATAAATGCTCCATATTCAGTTTTAAAGAAAGCTAATTGTACAAACCTCAGACATGGATTAAAAAAAATGTATGAAACTACAATTGAAGGTAAATGTGTTTTCACTGTACCATTACTGTAGTAGTCTATAAAATGTATTCTTCTAATTTTGTTTTTCTTTCATTTCTTCTAGTTTTTATGGGTTGTTTTCTTGCATGGTGATTGCTGCAGTGGAACAGGAACAAAAACACTAAATTTTTTTTGCTGTTACAATGATTCCTCCATATTGTGCATGGAATCTTGTATTTTTTTCACAGAGAGCACAACAGGAGGAACTGGACAAAATTGAAAAGCACATAAGGTCATCTAAAGACAAAGAGAATGCTAAGCCTCTGGATAAACCTGAACAGTGAGTACTTCTCCCACCAACTGAAGTTTAATTTCAGGCCTAAGTTGTTCCTTGAACTTGAATTATGTCCTTTGCTCTGCTCACATGTGAATTGATTATGAGGAAATAGTGCATTGTTGACTAGTCTTTATTATGACTAACCATGGCAAGATGGCTAATTGTTGTATTTAGTTATGACCTTTACTGAAACATGAAATTGATATAAAAATGTATGTATTAAATTTTAAACAATTGACAGATATTCCAGAGTTGTTTTGTTAATTAAAACGCACATCTCCAATCCTATCCTCTGTTGGGAAAAGCAATCTTACTGCTTTTCATTTGGTTTGTTCCAGATTTCTCTACCAGCTCTCCCTGATACCAGACTTCTCCAGCAGAGTCTTCTGCATTCTCTTCCAGTCCAGCTTCTGTGAGTGTATGTCATCAATCACAAGGAAAATTAACACACTGCAAAGGGTATGCAAGGTGAGTCATCAGAGCTTTTTCCAAAAGTTTTTTTTTTTTTTTTTCAAAAAGCTTTTGGTAAAAATTATTAAGAGTAATTATGTAGAATTCAGAACATGCTTTGGAAAATAGAATGACTTGTTGGAGCCATGCTCCAAGTCACAACGACTAAGGGACAATCACTAGCACATGAGCATCAAATGACGATTAAAAATGCTGAAATTGAGAGAAATGTATTGGCAGTGGTCCTGCACTATTCTATCAGATAATTATACACCGTCAGAATAGCATTCATGCAGTGAGTATGGATGCGCGCGCATGCGCATTAAGAAGTCTGACCATCAGAGGAGCTGTCAGTTCAGCATACACGTCAAGTTATGATGAAAATAAGTCATTAAATTGTTTTCAATAATAACTAGAAAGATTGTCAGACTTGCTATGGCTTCAAAGTGTATTTAAAGCAATTGCCGTCACCTACAACACACGCCCATGTAAAACTCAGTAGCGTACTTAACTGCTAAATCAGGATGTCATACAGCTGTTAATAGCAAAGCTTATGACGATCTACGTCATGATTCTACGTTGCTGATGACAGTGTATACTTGTCTGAAAGATACAGCTGTCAATTTGTGCTAAGCATGACGATGTGGCCCATCATCGCTACAAAAACAATGTGGGGAAATTATTTTTCTAGTCAGCATTTTCTGTACTTAACAGTGCTTCCCACACAGGTCGCTTGTTGATTTTTTCACTGCCTTATGTCTGTTAAGGTTGAGATGGAACTGGACATGAAGACAGCTCTTTAAACTATTCAGACAACCAGCACAATAGAGACATAATCAAAACTGTTAGATGACTGATTATCTCGCGATAATAACTCAGAAATAGTCCATATTAGGATATATTTTTATTTCTTTCCTACTTACAGAACGTTTCTGTTTATATGATAGGTTTGTGGTGCCTTTCTATCCTAAAGAAAAAGATATAAAACTTCAGATATTTCACAAAGAGATATTAATGTTCATGGAAAAACCTTACATAACCTTATTATTAAAGTTGAAAGTATGGCAGTCACCGTAAGAAAGGCTTACAGTATAGTGGTCAATATTATTTCACAGTTTTATTCATGTGGGTTGCCAGTTTGGATAACCTGAGTTTCCATCAAGCCATAAGAATGATGGAATATATGCTAACAAAATGACTCAGACACAGACCTGCAGTCCATAAGGTGGTTCTAGACACAGGCTAACAGAAGTAGCTCTTTGGCTCACTTATATATTAAATGATAAAATATTGCCCTGGTTTTTGTTTCATTCTTTTTTAATTGCTCTCTAGGCAGTAATTTATTCACACATATGTACATTTATTGTTATTGATACTTTAATTAAAGATGAGATGTAAAAATGTATGTGTATCAAACACATGAACTTGTGTTTATGTGTGTCTTCTGTGTCACTTAGCTCTTTGACTCAAAAATGTTGGAGACCCTCATTATAGAACTTGGCAGGGGGGCACTTGAGGTTAAATCTATTTACCCAATATAACATTACTTCAGTGGTGTTATATTGTACACTACATATTGTAGTGTACAAGATACATGTATTTGACTTATGAATCTGATAGCAGATACATCACAGTGTTTAGTTAGTAACTGTACATACACCTCAGAAAGTATGTAGTTGTGCCCCAGGATAGTGCTCCATATATTGAGCCACTGATGTCACATTAGGAGCCTGAAAGAACATGGGCCAAGATGGACCTAGATTTGTTTCACTTAAGTTGATCATCTTTATTTTGTTTAGGATTTTTGAGGCTCTAGTGGTCTTCATCATGGTAATTGATAGGAAAGTTTATTGTGTGAGAGTGGGAAGACATGTAACAAAGGTAAACAGGCTGGAAGTCACAACAAGCCAGGCTTGTTTGGAGCAGAAATATTAGTTCATTCTGTTGGAACCAAGCCTTGCTTTTGTTTTTGTTGCTCCTTTTCAGGAGGAGGTTTGTTTTTTATTTAATATTGAATTTTTATCTGGATGGAAGTTAGTTGGTTTAACAAATTACTGTTGATTGTTTAGTTCCTTTACAATTAATGTACTATATAAATAAAATAATCAAATTTTCATATTATCTTTGTTTATCTCCTTATTCCGATAGATTTAAAAAAAAAAAAATTCTATCTATGTAATATCAGAAAAAGAAACCAAACCATTGCATTATTTGCCTTTGTTTTCAACCTTTTTGACAGACTCTCCAGGACAATGTCTCAGTAAAGAAGATTCTAGGTTTGGTTCTGGCATTTGGTAATTTCATGAATGGTGGGAATCGAACAAGAGGTCAAGCTGATGGCTTCACTCTTGAGATTTTGCCAAAACTCAAAGATGTCAAGAGCAATGTGAGTGAAGAAATCATATTTTGTTAAAACATTCCAATTTGAAATTATATTTGGGCCTCTTGAATTTTTTTGTTCATTTGTCTTGTTTTGTGCCAAATGTACTAAAACACTTTGCAATTTTAACGTAGCCAGGGTTTCCCCCAGAAAACTTGCTGAGCACGGTGGTTGGGGCGCCGAGGCGGTCCACCGTGTTTTTGTATTAAAAGATGTTAAGTAGACAGGACATGTAGATATATTACTAGGTAATTATAAGTTACTGGAAAACGTCATCAGTGAAACGCTATTTAAACCCAATTAGTCTTAAAAACAACACATCAAAAAATACAATTAAAATGAAATCAATTATTTGCACATCTGTTTAATCCAAATTAAGTCAGTGGCTCTATCAGGCCCCTGACTAATGGCCAGTCAGTGGCCATCTTTGTTCTGCAACTTCACAGGTTTCAACAGTTGTTTGATTGGGATGAGGCCATCAATACATTCTATATGGTAGTAATAAAGATAAAGACTCTGGACATAAATGTAACATTTGTTTATTGAGACTATCAACGCTACTAAATTTGATTTAGTGGTTTCAGCACACATAGATTAAAAGCTTTTAAATTGTTTAACATTTATATGTAAATTTTAAGCATCTGGCAAGTTTACTTTGTGAAAGTTCAAGGAACAATATTCTTTTTTTTTTGTTACCATAGCAACAATCTGATGCTATGAGTTTAATCTTTTAGTTTGAGCTCTGTTTGCTCACAAATACAAATTAGTGAACTGCGATTATAAATTCTTGCTTTTTAGGTTGGTCATTTAAACTACTCCCCTTCTCCCAGATTTGATTAAATCTACAAAGCAGTTAGAGGTGCTGATGTTTTTAGCAGCAAGAGGGGCCCTGATGTTTACTATTTCCAACAGCTGTTGGAAATAGTAAACATCAGTTTATTGTTTGTACTGTTATCTCCACGCTGTTAAAGATGTCAGTGTCCCTTCTTGTTTTTCTACATGCAGGATGGCGCTAAAAGTCTTCTGTCATACATTGTAGCCTACTACCTCCGACACTTTGATGAGGTAAACGTCTTCCTTTCTTTTTTAAGCTCAAACTTCTTTCAGCTTTTTTTCCTTTGCAGCATTTTACATGCGCAATGCCCAGTTTCCTTACAATCAGATGGTTACTGTGCATTCCATGTCTATTAACCACACACACAAAACACATTTTATTGAGCTTTTATGTGACAGACGAATACAAAGTAGGGCACAATTATTAAATGAAAGAAAAACAATACAACCTTAAATGTCATAGAAATAAAAGGCATTTGAATTCAGCTCCTTTTATTCTAAGACATAAGCAAAATCTTGTGCAAGAAATTGCTTTCAGAAGTAACGTTTATATTAAATAAAGCCAAGTTATGTGAATTTTACCTTTGTACAAACTGGCCGTGACAAAATTTATGTGCTTTTTGTTTTTATTTTTTTTCCACTTTACAATTATGCACACATTTTTTTTGTCTAAAGTCCTAATAAGATTAACTGAACTTTGTCGATATGCATTGTTTAGTGAGCATAGAATAGATATGACGTTTAAAAAACTCAGTTTATCACTGACACCTTCAAGATTAATGGCACAAAGCAATGCGTGCTGATTTAGAAATCTATAAAATTTATGAAGGTAATATATTGGGTATTGCTTTTGAAGTCAACAATGTCAAAAGAAGGCCACTGGTATCAGTAATCAAGTGATGCCCAGTCTTTGTCCTGCAACTTCACAGGTTTCAACAGTTGTTTGACTGAGATGAGACCATTAATACATTGTATTTGGTAGTAATAAAGATAAAACATACTTTTATTTTATGATTTCCACCCAGTTCCTCTCTTTGGGATTATAAGAATTGGGACGAGGGTTCCCTCTAGTGAACCCTGGTACAAACAGTTTCTGACTTCAACAGCTATTGAAGTCAGAAAGCAGCAAAACAAAGACTGGAGTTCACTGTTTTCATAACCATGATTTATTATTTCTGTGCTCAAGTTATTAAATCCATTATCCTCATTTATCAAAATGACCACCTGTTAAAACTGGTAAGTAGTCATTACTACATTTTTTGACACATTGTATCCATATACTTCTCTATAAACATTTAAAAATGAACATTTTACCCGCAATGTTTTTGTTATAGTGATAAATCTGTGCATTTTTTATTTGGTATTTTTACTTTGCTGTTGTCAATCTTTCATACTGTTTAATGTGTTGATCAAAAGGATGCTGGAAAGGAGACATCTGTGTTTCCTCTTCCTGAGCCTCATGACCTGTTCCAAGTTTCACAGATGAAATTTGAAGATTTTCAGAAGGACTTCATTCGACTTCGGAAGGACCTCAGAGGTAACGCACACGTCAAAATAAAATCAACAAGATATAATGCTCCATTAAATCAGAATATTGAAGAAAAAGAAGGGGAAAAAAGTAAAATAAAAACAAATCCAAATGCCAGATTGCTATGACACAGAGAGTCCAGTCATGATGATCCAAGGATCTGAGAGACATTATTTTAATCTGCTTGATCTGCCATCAGAAGCTGTATGCACAATTATTACAATTATTACTTTTAACTACGAAGTTGTAGTTTTGAGGATTAATTTAATTACTAAACAACTACAGTGCTCTCAAACAATAACCTCTCAAATCTGAATATTTAAGAAAGTAAAAGTGAGATTTAGACTTTTTTAAGCCTATCGATGTGTGCACAATTATTGGGCAACTATTAGTTTGCACAATTATTATGCAACTGAAAATTCTCCCATCTCAATAATGACAAAAAACGGATGTTTATTGTCATCCGTTAAAGTGAGAATAGTCTGGATACAATGTTCTTAGACAATGTCAGGAACATGAATATTACATCATACAAAGGCAAAATTTGCTAATCTTATTTTATTATTAATAAATGTTGCTTGTGTAACCCAGATGTTTTACACTCATCACTTTAACTAGCATGTACATCGGAAGTGGAAAAGGTGTGCAAGGTGTCTGATGAGGATAACTTGCAGCCTTTCAAAGAGAAGATGGATGAGTTTCTTGCACAAGGTATGCTGTAAATCTATCAACCAACCATGATTAGGCTGTCAGAAGATCCATCTTTCCTCATTTTCCAGCAGAATTCTTCTTTTAGCCTCTTTCCTGAAAGGCTATTTCCTGTTCATCTTTGAAAAATAACAGACTGTCTGAGGAAGGCAAGATATAAGATTACAATACAGTATTTTCAGTACTGGTTCTGTAATGAAATGCAAGAACAGGGCGCGAAATAGACTCTGCCTGAACCGCTACTGTATTTATCGGAGTGAATGTGTGTACTGACATTTGCTGTGTGCTACCAAAAATAAACAAAAGAAAGGAAACTGAGTTTCAAACTTTTCTTCCTTTGTTAGCTAAAGGTGAACTAGAGATCCTGGATGCTCAACTCAGCAGCACTCACAAACTGTAAGCTCAGGCTTTGTTTTTTCTGATCAACACTCATTGATGTCATAGTTTCCTACATATCACTGTGATGATTACTTTGTGTATCTTTAAAAATCAATTTTTTCACAAAAGCTTCTTTAAAAAAGTAAGACAAATTTAGGAACTGTAGCTGTATCTCTCCTGGTTGTTGAGTATGAAAAAAATGACATTGTGGATGTGTCTGTTCTCTTTAGGTTCCTGGAGCTGACAGTGTTTTATTCGGTGAAGCCCAAAGCAGGAGAAAAGGAGGTTTCCCCCAACACTTTATTTTCCATCTGGCATGAATTCTCCTCTGATTTCAAGGACCAATGGAAAAAAGAGAACAAAACTATTCTCAAGGAAAGGTAGAATACTACCTTCTCACTTCTTCACCATAGAAATTTCTTGTTTCCTCAAACTTTTATTTTTTACTTCCATTCCTATCTTATTTTTCTCTTATCCTATTTATGGATTTTAGGTTTAGATTCTAAAAATATATTTCTATTTTATCTTATGAAAATAGAAGCTTTTGCCTGAGTCAAAAAGGATTGTGAGTGTATACTGTTAAATCTGATAAAGTCATTGAAGTTGATTTGAGAAAACTTATTGCCTTAAACTATTTAAGTTACCTTAGCATGCTATGCTACACTAAAACAAAATTAGTGGAGCTTACTTGAGAATTGTATGCAAACCTGCCTGAAAAAATTTATTTTCAAAACTTAAAAGCGTTAATATGTACTGATTGAATAACATTGACTTTCTTTATAACTTTATCTTTAGTGACATGTTTAGGTACAATCAAGAAAAAGGTAAAACAATACATGGAGATGATAAGAGACAGAAAAAACAAAATGAGAAAAAAACAAACTGAATTCTAAGGGGAGACTTTTAGTTAAGTAAGAGTCTCTTGTTATTTAACTAAGAGTTGAATGACAACCCTTTATATCCAAAATTAGTCCTATACTGTTGATGTGACATTTGTTTTTTTTTTCCAATTTATCCTGGCATTGCTCTTCCTAACACACAGAGTAAGGACTATGTGTGTTAAAATCTCTGTCTCAAATAATGAGTTTGCAGTCTGTAGCCATTCCTTTGTCTTAGGAGGTTCAGGTTGGCACTACTTTCTGGTAATTACCTTTTTGGCTGCCATTAGCAGAATTTTAAATAAACAGTCTTTTTTTAAGTGCAGTAGTTTCCAAGCGGCAGTAGTGTATTGGGCTACACAGTACCTAAAACCAAACAGGTCTTAGGTACTGTGTAGCCCAATACTGCTACAATCTCCTTGTGTATTTTGTCCCAGAAGTGTATGATTCTGGGACAAAGCTAGAAAACAATCTCTCCAACATGGTTGAACTCTAGATTTGAATTGACTGGTGATTTTGGGTGTTACAAAAAATCTGATTGTGTTCTTCAAAACAATGTTCTCCAAATTATAGAAGAGGATGTTGTAATTTGGGCCTTCCAGATATTCAGCTAATCGTCTTCTGTAAGTAAAATTCCCAAGTCCCTTTCCCATTTTGTTTTAGTATCCAATTTTTAAGTGCCTCTATTTTCTAACAGATATAGTGGCTTGCGAAAGAATACTCTCCTTTTATCAATTTGTGTTATTGTCGTTTTTGTTGCAGCGCTTTGGTGCAGTTTTACACCTGTTTTTAAACTGCTATATAAATAAATTTGACATTGACATATTCGGCCCCCTTGAACTTTTCAACCGTTTGCCGCTTTTCAGGCTTCAAATGTAAAGATCTAAAATTTTTATTATTTTGTGAAGAATATACAATAAGCAAGACACAATCATGAAGTTGAATAAAATTTGTTGGATATTTTAAACTTTAACAAATGATAAACTGCAAAATGGGGCGTGAAATGTTATTCGGCCTCTTTGCTCTCACTCAGGAAGTACAGTGAAATCTCTGAATGATCCTATGTTGGATGACTGATGATGATAAGTACCACCTGTGTGTAATCAAGTCCCACCATAAAGGCACCTGCTCTTTGGTCATCTAAGGTTGTGTTTAATCTCCAATACTGTTGTGGAGAAGTTTAAAACCGGATTTGGATACAAAAAGATTTTCTGAACTTTAAGCATCTCAAAGAGCACTGTGCAAGTGATCATATTGAAATGGAAGGAGTATCAGGCCACTGCGACTACACTAAGACCTGGCCAACCTTCTAAACTTTCATCTGGAACAAGGAAAAACTGATCAGAGATGCAACCAAGAGGCTCATGATCACTATGGATGAACTGCAGAGATCTACTGCTGAGGTGGGAGAGTCTGTCCGTGGGACAACAATCAGTCATACACTGCACAAATATGGCCTTTAGAGCAACAAGAAAAAAGCCATTCCTCAAAGATATCCAAAAAAAAAGTCTTGTTTAAAGTTTGCCACAAGCCACCTGGGAGACACACCAAACATGTGGAAGAAGGTGCTCTGGTCAAATGAAACCAAAATCAAACTTTTTGGCTACAATGTAAAAAGATATGTTTGGCATACAAGCAACACTGCTTGTATGCCAAACAGCTCATCACCTTGAAAATAACATGAATATACAGAGGACACTTCAAACATCAGGATTTGAGTTGTTGTTCAGATGTGAATCCATATTATTCTTGGTATATTAGTATTCAGAATTAAGGTGGTGGCTCATCACCACTGTAAAACATGATGGTGGCAGCATCATGGTTTGGGCCTGCTTTTCTTCAACAGGGATAAGAAAGATGGTTAAAACTCATGGGAAGATGGATGGAGCCAAAATACAGGATCATGCTAGAAAAAAATCTGTTGGAGTCTGCAACTGGGACAGAGATTTATTGTCCAACAAGACAATGACCCCAAACATAAAGCAAAATCTACAATGTAATGGTTCACCAATATGCATACCCAGGTGTTAGAATGGACAATTTAAAGTCCAGTCCTGATTATAATTGAGAATCTGTGGAAAGAGCTGAAAACTGATGTTCACAAGTGCTGATACAAAAAGGTAGAAAGAAGTAGATTTGAGTTGTACTTTAACGGTTTTCCCTTTGCTGTGCAGCACAGCACAAAATTAATAATGTCTACATGTCCAAAATTGATTGAGTTAACAAAATGATTCTGCTGCGGCAGTGCGGCTATTGATGGCATGTAAAAGAATTGTCTTTTTGCCATCCAGCGATGTCCGCAAGCAAGAAATTTCCTTATGTCAGCAGGGAGTATATATTTGTAAAAAAGACTAATTAAATCAGTGCCTGACAAATGGGCTACTGGAACAAGACGGAAATGGGCGAGAGGTGAAAATGTGGATCTGTTGGAATGCTACTACTCAAGTAACCCTAGTCAGAGAGGTTACATGCAAAGACTGGGGAAGGAATGGTTACTTCGACATCCCCAGTCAACACTAAGCGCTAAACAACTAGTAGCTCAGTGTTCCAACATCCGCAAACGGCAACTGCTATCACAACTTGAGATTGACGAGATACAACACAAATGCTATGGCAAAAGGGAGGAACCCGGATGTCAGGACTGTGGGGACTTAACTACAAGTCCCCACCCAGTGAGGGGATACACGGCCCCAATGAGCGAAACAGAGCTGAACGAGACAGCTGCTGACCTGAGAGAGAGAATCATGACCCGAATGACAACCAGACCTCCTCCGCGCCAATTACAAGGCTGAGTGAAGTACCATCAGAAAGTCTCATTGAGAATGTGAATGCAGCATTGAGAACGATCCCTACCAACACCATAACAGAAACCAATGAGCTGATCTACAACTCAGCATCAGTGATCCTTGAGATACTTGGCTATGAGAGCAACCATGAGACCCAATACCCACCATGGAAAAGACGGTTAGAGGCTAAAATCAAGGTAACAAGGAGGGAAGTGAGCCAACTGTCAGAGCTCCACAAGGGTGCAATGAAAAGACCAAAGTACAGGCAGATGCCCATACCTGAAACACTCGAAACTGCCAAACAGAGGCTCCAAGCCTTGGCCAGCCGCCTAAAGAGATACACAAGGGAGAATGAATCCAGAAGGATTAACCGGCTCTTCTCCACTCAACCAGCTAAGGTGTACTCTCAATGGCAGGGTAACAATAACAACAGAGCAGACCCACCAAGGCTGGAGACGGAACAATACTGGAAAGGCATATGGGAAAGGGAGGCGTCCCACAACAGCAATGCACAGTGGCTGATCTCTCTACGAGAGGACCACAGCAACCTCCCTGAGCAAGCCCCGGCAACCATCACTGTGACAGATGTCCAAGAAAGAGTCTCAGGTATGAAAAACTGGACAGCACCAGGGCCTGACATGATCCATGCCTACTGGCTAAAGAAACTCACTGCTCTCCATGAGCGAATGGCAGCCCAAATGAACCAGCTGCTACAAAGTGGGACTCACCCTGAATGGTTAACTGAAGGGCGGACAATCCTAATCCAGAAGGATCCATCAAAGGGTCCAGTCCCACCCAACTACCGACCAATAACCTGCCTCTCCACAACCTGGAAGCTCATGTCAGGCATCATAGCGGCCAAGATAAGCAAACACATGGATAAACACATGAGCACTGCACAGAAGGGTATTGGTGTAAATAGTAGAGGAGAAGGCCTGGAAGGTGAAGACCACAGTGGTGCCTGTGGTCATTGGGGCCCTCGGGGCAGTAACCCCCAATCTGGATCAATGGCTACAACAAATCCCGGGAACAACATCAGACATCTCAGTCCAGAAATGTACAGCAGTCCTTGGCACAGCCAAGATACTGCGCAGGACCCTCAAGCTCCCAGGCCTCTGGTAGAGGACCCGAGCTCAGAGGATAAGAACCACCCGCAGTCAGTGAGAAGAATTTTTTTTTCATTTAAATATATGACTACACATTTCTCGCCTGAGATGTCTGATGTTGTTCCTGGGATCTGTTGTAGCCACTGCTCCAGTTTGGGGGTTACTGCCCCGAGGGCCCCGATGACCACAGGCACCACTGTGGTCTTCACCTTCCAGGCCTTCTCCAGTTCTTCCTTGAGGCCCTGGTATTTCTCCAGTTTCTCCTTTTTCCTGATGTTGCAGTCACTTGGTATTGCTACATCTACAACAACGGCTTTCCTCTGTTGTTTATCCATTACGACAATGTCTGGTTGGTTCGCCATTACCATTTTGTCTGTCTGGATCTGGAAGTCCCACAGGATCTTAGCTCTGGCATTCTCCACCACCTTTGGGGTGTTTCCCACTTTGATCTTGGGGTTTCTAGTCCATATTCTGCACAGATGTTTCTGTACACTATGCCTGCCACTTGGTTATGTCGTTCCATGTACGCTTTCCCTGCCAGTATCTTGCACCCTGCTGTGATGTGTGGACTGTCTCAGGGGCCTCCTTGCACAACCTACACCTTGGGTCTTGTCTGGTGTGGTAGATCTGGGCCTCTATTGCTCTGGTGTTTAGGGCCTGTTCCTGGGCAGCCAGGATGAGGGCCTCTGTGCTGTCCTTGAGTCCAGCTTTTTCCAGCCATTGGTAGGATTTACTGATATCAGCCACTTGGGTTATTTGCTGGTGGTACATCCCATGTAGGGGCTTGCTCCCATGATGGTACCTCTGGCACCTCAACCTCTGTTCCCTGTTGTCTGAGACATTCACTGAGCACATTGTCTTAGGATTAGTTTCATCCTGGACAGTGGTTCTCACACTCACTAGTCCTCTGCCTCCTTCCTTACAGCTCGTGTACAGTCTCAGGGTGCTGGATTTGGGGTGGTACCCTGCAGGGTATCTGATTACTGGCAAGGCATAGCTGTTTATCGCACAGATTTTGTTCCTGCCATTGAGTTGACTTCTCAGGACTTGCCTTATTCGTTGGAGGTATTTAGCTGTGGCTCCTTTCCTTGTGACCTCATCGAGGTTGCCATTTGCTTGTGGTATACCTAGGTACTTGTAACTGTCCTCTATGTCTGCTATTGTTCCTTGTGGGAGTGAGACTCCTTCTGTGCGGATCACCTTCCCCCTCTTTGTGATCAGCCGACCACACTTCTCTAGTCCGAATGACATCCCAATGTCCGTGCTGTAGATCCTGGTGGTGTGGATCAGTGAGTCGATGTCTCGCTCACTCTTGCTGTACAGCTTGATGTCATCCATGTAGAGAAGGTGACTGATGTTGGCCCCATTTTTGAGTCGGTATCCGTAGCCAGTCTTGTTGATAACTTGGCTGAGGGGGTTCAGGCCTATGCAGAACAGTAGCGGGGACAGAGCATCTCCTTGGTATATGCCACATTTGATGGACACTTGTGCAAGTGGTTTGCAGTTGGCTTCCAGGGTGGTTTTCCACAACCTCATTGAGTTTGCAATGAAGGCTCTTAGAATCCTGTTGATGTTAACATCTCTAAGCATTCAATGATCCAAGTATGCGGCATTGACTCATAGACTTTCTTGTAATCAATCCAAACCATGCACAGAGATGACCTGACTGGATGGCTCAATACATAATACATAAGTCATCAGTCTTTTACCCGAGAGGGCGGGGTTCAAATCCAGTTTGGGTCCTTAGGTAAGAGCCTTCAAACTACTGCCTTCCTCATACCATGAGAGATACCATAATAGATACTAAGATGCGTAATATGCCGGCTCAGATGTCGTCCGGCCAAACAAGGTCTGCGTCAGGTGCTGCCAAACCAGAGCACCTTGATGACAAATGGGCTACTGGAACAAGATGGAAATGGACGAGAGGTGAAAACTTGGATCTGTTGGAATGCTACTACTCAAGTAACCCTAACCAGAGAGGTTACATGCAAATACTGGGGAAGGAATAGTTACTTTGACATACCCAGTCAACATTAAGTGCTAAACAACTACTGTTCCAACATCCGCAAATAACAATTGCTGTCACAACTTGAGATTGATGAGGTACAACACAAATGCTACAGCAAAAAGGAGGAACCTGGATGTGAGAACTGTGGGGACTTAACTAGAGAGAGGGGATATGAGGCCCTGATGAATGAATCATAGCTGAACGAGACAGCTGCTGACCTGAGAGAGAGAATCATGACCCAAATGACAAGGGCCTGGAAGGTGAAGACCACAGTGGTGCCTGTGGTCATCGGGGCCCTCGGGGCCCTCGGGGCAGTAACCCCCAAACTGGAGCAGTGGCTACAACAGATTCCAGGAACAACATCAGACATCTCAGTCCAGAAATGTGCAGCAGTCCTTGGCACAGCCAAGATACTGCAGGACCCTCAAGCTCCCAGGCCTCTGGTAGAGGACCCGAGCTCAGAGGATAAGAACTACCCGCGGTGGGTGAGAAGGGAACTTTTTATTTTATTTTATTTTTTATATATATATATAATAGCATTCACTTCTCCTGGAATGGCTTGCCATTCTTCCTACCAAACATGCCGGCTCAGTCGTAGATTGAAACTGTAAATAATTGATTGAGCATACTGTAGTCTATTGTTTCATCAATATGTTTGAACTGAAATTATTTTTTTTGCTTTGAAGTTGTGAATTGGTGCTATGGAAATAAACTGAATTTAATTGTGTTGTGCACCTCATAAAAATGCACTTGACACCCTTATCTTTTAATTTAAAAAAAGATGACATACTATCTTTCCAGAAAGAACAAAGTCATGCCTTTTTTTGTTTTAGGCTATCACATAATGTTATGTGAAATAACATTAAACTTTAAAATTTGAAACGGCTTCATAAGTAGGAATAATTTTGCCAATCTGTGTACTTATGTTCACTTTAAAATTTGTGTTTTTCAGGCTAAAAGCAGCAGAAGAGTATTTCAGACAAGCCAAGGAGAAGACTTCTTATAGTGTTAAACCAAAACATGCTTCTGGTATTGTAAGTTTCCTTGAGATTTTTCTGGTTTATTTAAAGGGGTAAAGGTCAGATTATCATGAACTCATTCTTTTTTCCTATTGGTTTGTGGTTGCATCTTTCAGGAATTTCAAAGTAAAGAACATAAGCAACTTCTTTACAGTACATTGAAAAACAGTTCTCATTTTCTATGCATTTGTGAAGTACCTTTGTGCCGCAGAGACCACACAAAGAAGCAAAGGAATGTTCCTATATCGGGGTGTGCCCAAACTTTTTGAGATCAAGATCTACTTTTTCTCTCAACAGACGGCTGAGATCTTCCTAATGACATAAACATAACATTGTAAATTAAACTTTATTGACTTATTTTATATACAAATATATATCAGTTTTATCAGAAATGATAAAGTGATAGAAAACCTAGTGGAGTTTCTTCCTTAGTGAGATTCTGACACTGGGAGCAGGTTACTGGTTTCTCAGTCAGAAGCTGGTTGCAAACCGGAGGCCAGCAGCTGTCAGTCAGTTATTGTAGGTCTGATTACTACATTACTACAACATAGATAGGTAAACTATTTGCAGCGGTCTACACAAACCACATTAAAAACATGGTTTGACCAAACTAGGGTATAAAAATAATACATCTTACCTTATACATGAACAGGGGTTTCATATAGGGGGGAAAGGTATCACAATTCCAAGGGCCCCTGACCAACAGGGGGCCCTCCACAATTTCTTTTTTTTTTTCCATAGAAATTTAGAAAACTGGGGCCCTGTCAATAACAAAATTAAGTATATGGCGTTTTCTAAAAAATTTAATGTTACCTCTCCCAGACAAAAAAGCACACGTCCTGAAAACCCTTCACAAAATGGTTCGTTCCTGCTTGGAGCGCGTGACGGTGTTCAGCAGTGTCAGTGGAAGACAAGAACGAGCGTGAGTTACTATGCTGCTAAGAAAAATAATAAAATTAGGTTTTCAAAAAATAGAGAAAGAAAAAGATATGTGTTAATTTGTTACACAGTTTTTCTCCAAGACAGATGGGTAGACTGTCTTGTAGAAAAAGTCAATTTCACCAACATTTAATGAAGGAAAGAAATGACCAACATATTCGTATATTTAACTTGTACCTGTACCTTTTACCACTTAACAGGAGAGTCAGTCAGAAGCAGCTCTAACCCACATCCCTTCTGACCTGCCCTCTCCTCAGTGAAATTAAAGCTGCATTATGTAACTTTTATATTTTTATATATATATATTTATTGATTGATTTTTTAACGTATTTGTTAAAACTGTCATTATGTTGTGACATTATGGCATGAGAGATAATCTGGGAAAAATCTATTTCCTCTGCCCTCTCCCAATACAATCTAGAAACAACCAATCAGTGGCAGGAGAGTTTTTAGTGCTGTCAATCACAGTCTCATGTGGCTGCTCATCCCTAGGCTGCAGTGTAGTTAGCATAGCTACCCATGACGCACGCACACACACACACACACGCACACACACACACACACACAGACACACACACACACGGTACTGCAGTAGATCTTCCATATAAATGTGCACAATAATCCTAAATTTCCCCACTGGTCAGCACAGTGTCTGACTGACAAACATTTAAAAAGTCCATGGTTTGATTGTTTGTGTATTTGAGGTGAAAATGTCCAAGTGCAATTTGTTTCCAATGGAGAAGAGATGAATAATGAGTTGTGTGTCTATATAGTGAGATGGAGGGGGAAATACTACCAACCATCAGCCTTCTACCAGACCAGTATGAAGTCAATTTCAGGTTCTCCTGGCTCCAGCCAGTTATCAGAAGCTCGCCATCCTTTAGCCCTAAAAAAGGGTCACCTGGCCTGTATTAAAATAAACAGGGCCAGTAAATTACCATCCTGCTAGTTAACTAGGTGGTTTTTCAGTTATATCCAGAAATAAAGGCATTTATATCCATAGACAAAATAAAGATATCAGCATTTATCTCATTATCTTAAACTCATATCTTGAATTTAAATTAGATTATGTGACAATTGATGATCAAACAATTATTCTAAGGTACCACCACCAACATACCAAACAAATAAAGCAACATTGTGTTCACTACTCACCAATTCCATATGTAGTTCAATGCACAACAGCTTCATGGCTCCAAGCTCACTGGGTATTCAGAACTACATGACTTTTATATTGTGAATTTTAAAAGTGCACAATAAACAAAGAAATGAACAAATTGTTTGGAAGCACAAACCTGTAGCTCTTTTGTCTCAAGCTCTCCCCCTCACACCTGATTGGGAAAAGCTGGAGCACTTCAGATGCAGTGATTGGCTGAATGCACTGTGTGACTGACTGTCTCTGTAAACAATGGAGCAGCAAAGACGGGATTAAAGGCAGTTTTTACCCTGGGTTATACATGTAAAATTTATGAGCAGTAAATACCGTGCTAGTATGACCAAAAAAAGCAATGCAGTCACATGCTTTTGATGCATAGAGTCAAAACAAACTCAGACAGACACAAAAAATTGTAACAACAGCTGCCTGGGGGGCCCAATTAATTTTTTTGTCATGGGGCCGAAGATTTCTGGCGGCGCCCCTGCATCTGAATACTTATCTTTCTAAATAACTGTCCAAAAATAATCTGAAAATACAATTCAAACGATGCAATTCTTACCTGTTAGAAAGTGGCCCTGCAAACTCTAGCATTGTTAGTTTGTGCACCTCCTGTTTTTAGCTGTAGATTCTTGATCCACTTTTTCAGTAAGTTTTTTAAAAATAACTTCCTAATGACCAACTATCTTTGTAACAAAAAAATAACGTTTATCTTTCTATTAGAATGGTTGGAAAAACTGTACACGTAACAGATTTTAGGCATTTTGAAGCTGGGTCAACAGTAAATGAGTGGCAGGATTTACTGGATTACTCTTGTTTTAAAACTTGTTGTATCCCAAAATAAAAAGGTAGCCACTGATGTCAAATTAAATTGTTCCCTATTGAAGAAACAAATGGGGTGACATATTTTATATTCTATTAATTTCACAAATTAACCCAAATCAAGTTCATAGGAAAAGCACATTATACAACAATTATTATTTTAATTCTTGAATGTGCTTTCAAAAGAACAAACCAAACTCGGGTGGAAGTGAGAGTGCTTGACAGTCATTGATACATGCAATGGGTATCAATGAAATTGGTAGAAATTTGACCGATCTTTTGTCAAGTATTTTTTTTCTATGATATGACAGGTCATGATCAGAAAAAGACAATATGTGAAGTGCCTCACCCATATGCGCTTCATTGTTAGACTATTTAGTTTGCAGATTTTTATTAATACACAACTGCACATTGTATGATTACCAATAAAGGAAGACACTTTTTTCAGTTGTGAAAATGGAAATCCAGTTTATTTGTATCAAACATTTTAACAACAAGCCATTTCGGAGTACTTAACATGATAGAAACAAAATATCAAACAAAATATTAGTTTTGATTTATGGAAACCCTATAAATCAAAACTAAAACTGTGTTGAGTTTGCAGTTTTTTGGAAGTTTGTTTCAGACTAAAGGAGAATAAAAACTGAATGCAATTTTTCCATGTTTTTGGTCTTGAAGGTTGATATGCCAACATGTCTTTAATGTATTGTGGTGCAATGCATTAAAGACATGTTTAATGGATTGCATGCATTTTTGCTAGTTTATGAACTAGCAAAAATATTTTCAAGTCTGTTAGGTAGTGTTAGGACTTTAGAAGGAGGATGATTCTCTCTATTTTTCTAGTGTTTATGAACATGTGAGCCTGATGGTTAGTTTCTAGCTTGGAGCTGTGTGCTACATAGATTGTTCCTTTGTAGGTCCAGAAATAACATCAGTTTTGTTTCTGTTCAACTGGAGACAGTTGTGGCACATTCGCACATTGATCTGTTTTAAGCACTGACTTAGGAATCTGAAAACTTTGGATCTCTGACTCACAAAGAGATCATCCCAACACAAACAGTGCATTGCAAAAGTATTGATACCTCATAAACTTTTCTTCAGTCATAGCATACACTTTCTTGGTTTTTTAATTATATGTTGAAAAAAAATATAATGCATAATCGTATGAATGGAATGAAAATTATACAACAATTTAGAACTAGTGGCTTCTCTTTGTACTCTTTCCCTTTTAGAATCATGATTAGTTCAGATTAATCTCTTAATGTAATGTAAGAGTTGTGTATCAGTGGCATAGTTATAGTAACTTATTCTGCTTATTAATGCTTATTATGTGAGCTAGAGGGAGCCTGTCTATAGGAGGTTTCCAAAGTCAGTTTTCAATAGCTGATATCCTGCATGTTTTAGGGTGTTTTCACACCAAGGAGTCCGATAGACTCTGTTCGATTGGGGATCAAAATTGCAACATTTGTTACATTTTCAGGACTGTAATTTGCATTCACGCTACACTGTGTCAAACGACACAAACTAACTGAAAGCCCCGTTCCCCCTATCGCCTGTGGTGGCACTGCACTCAGAAATACCGAAGGAATCAACACAAAAACCTCTAAAGAAGACATAGAGTGGAGTCTTTTTGGTAGGTCTCCACAACATGTTGCAGGCTGCTCCTGGATCGAGTGCCCAGAGTATCATCTAGTGCATCATACCAAGGAAACTTGGCTATTAGCGACTGTCAAACCAGGTCGCCGAGCGGCTGAATAGGAGAATCTTTGTTGACGCGCCAGCTGATCAAAAACGCAATCCAAGTTGCATTTAAGTTGATTTATTTTGCCAATATCCAAAGTGTCACAGTGTCCACACAGCATAAAAACGGATCCGTAGAAAAAACAGTGAATAAAGGCAAAATGTGCTAAATTGATGCGGTCAGCAAAAAGTAAACCTTCCCTCATCACCCACTCACTAAGATCACCCAGGTGAGCAACAGCTGATCTATAATCACTGACAACATCACGTGATCCCGCGCTACGCCTGTCCACAACTTTGTCCTTTGCATCTTCTGAACTTCCAATTGCCCTTAGCATGCCAATTTTTGATGTATTGTTGGCAAAGTCTTTTTACCTGAGTGTGGTGCTGTGCAACTGTAAGAGGGAATCTCAGTGTCTCCTTCACATTAATTAGCTTAAAAACATTGTTTTTGTGAGCGGTTACAAGTCTCTGTGATATATTTTCTTCTGACCATATTTGCACGAGGGCCTTTACTTCCTCTTCACTCCACACCTGACCACAAGCCATTTTTTCCATAACAAATGCATGTTTGTTATGGTTGTATTGACGCAGAATGTCCTGCGCTGTAGTTCACTTCCTGCTTTGGGAATGGCTTCCAGTCACGTTGCATTCAGATATTTTTTCAACCCTGCAAGAGTTCACTTCAGCCAGCTCGAGATCGAGGTTTTTAGGTGGATCAGAGTTTGCTTTTTTTAGTCAGTTTTGGATTTCAAATTTGCATTGTCGCTTCCCAAACGAACCAGATCTTTTGAACAAATGAAAACGGGTCTGATTCACAACTCTAGTTCTGGACCTTAGTTCACTCCCTGATTCAACATAGCTGGATAAAATGATGGCTCATTAGCAGGAGTAGGAAGCAACTACCACCAGGGACAGAACTAAAATCTGGAGGATGTTGGCCCTCAAGGATTGGCTTTAGACACCACTGATCTAGATATTAATTAAGGGGAGCCCAAATATTGAACCTTGTGGTATCCTACATGTGAATTCTGTCCCCTCCGATGAAAAGTTATCAGTTGACACAAAGAAGTCCCTGTTACTTGGGTAAGATTCAAACTGAGAGACCCTCCAGTCACTTGAATAATGATGGTCAATAATAATTATGGTCAACGGTGTGTGGTGATGGTGTGTTAACCACAGTGATGTGTCTTCCACAGAAAGCCAAGCTTGGTATGAAGATTTAACATCGTCACCCTGGGAGGTCATGAAAATGGAACGAGAGTGAAGTGGGTGGCAGCAGATGAGTCGTCACTCGACATCATGTTTGATTTTTTGATTATTTTTATGCAGTTTGATTACTTTTGTCATATGTTTCATGATGTTTGAATCAAATACAGTCGGGGTCTTTCTATCAGCCCGTTAAACACATTATTCATTAGTTCAGATATCAACTCACAATATAATATAGTTCTGAAATTTTCATTCATCATGTCTAATAAAGTCTCTTTACATCTGCATCATAATTATTATGAACAGAACTGCTCAGATGTTTAAGCCTGACTACCAACTGACTAACTCTGCTCTCTTCCAACAGTATGCTGCCAACTTTTGTTTTACTTTCATTTTGTTTTGGTTGCACTTTACTACCCTTGTATCTAAATACATCACCTATGCACATCATCTCTTGCCATAACTTAAGTTTTACCTAAATTGGAGAAACTTTTTTTTTCCAAGAAAATATCCATGTCCAAAAAAAAATTAATTTTCCCTTTTGTTTGATTTGAAAATGTTCAACACACCTTTGTGGTGCGTTTCAGCTGTCAGACATTATACTTTGCCGAAGAACACTTATGAACACTATTCACTTCATTCCTCCATTTTTCATCTGTGAACAGTCTCAGAATCTGTAGGCTGTAATATAGCCACTTACAGGTTTCTGTGCATTGTGTAAATCTGTCAGTACTACCGAGTGGCTATAAGCTGAATACAAAAAGAATGGTGGTTTCAGTCCTTGTTGATACATCTTGAAACAATTAAAATATAACACTTGGATTATGTATGTCTTCCAAGCAACAGTGAAAGTTACTTTTCAACCCTAGATTTAAAGATTACATGCTGAAGCATTTGACTTGGGTGTCACCACCACACGGTGAACACATAATATCTGTAATGCCACAAAGGATTTGAAATTAAAATAAAGCATGACTAGTGTGAGAAAAATATGTAGTGGAGTTGTCATCAGAATTATTTAGCACTATCCTGTTACATCCTATGAATTTTACACATTTTAAATTACAGCCAGTACATTGTTATTCTTATTAATATCTCACCCATTAGCCACAGGATATTGGCACCAACAACATGTTGCAGGCTGCTCCTGGATCGACCTGTACTTACAGTACATTTTCTACAATTTTTGAACTGTGAGACATGATCAATACTATCAACATTTCCAATTGAACTAAGAAGACCGGAGTGACTGGTGGCAAGAAAGGACAATATGCCAACACCACAACATGACAAGGGTGGTAGATATAGTCTTGAATTACTCTCAGTTTGAGTTATTTAGTGCAATGTCAGTAAAGGTCACAGGAAAAGTATATTTTTTTAGGCTCTAAAATGTTATAAACACAAGTATTGCTCTAAAAATGAAACTTGTCTGAAACAGGCTTGATCACTTCAATTACATGTTCAATTCAACATTCTCAGCTAGACATGCTGAATATGTATTTTCAGTCATACATTTAAAATAGTAAATATTCTTCCATAACCGGTCTTGGTAAAATGGAACAAACAAACCAATCATTTGTTTGTTTGTCAGTAATTCAGATTACTGTCAAACATAATCTCAATTTAAAATAAAATGTAGAAATTTTGTTATGCATTTTCACACTAAAAGTCAGGCGCAATAAAAACATTATTTGCTACAATATGTACAACAACAAAAAAACTAACATTGTGAAAAGTAGGGTTTATTTAATGTAGCCTTTACTGATCTTTTCAAGATTCTACATTGTTCTGTCCAATAAAATTTTATCTCTAGGACAAAAAATAAATGAAATCAGTGTCTAGCCCTGTCCATCTACAGCGTTGAACAGGATCAACATCTCATTGTAAACTGTCATTTTGCTGTAAAGGCTGTGTAGCACTGAATTATCTTGGACGTTTCTTTTAATGTTCCATAATGTAGATACAGGCATACAGCTTTTCTCATCATAAGGTCTCAGTTGTAACCCATGTCTTGTAGAATATGTACAGTGTATAAATACCTTCTGTAAAACTCTGCTGCAGAAACCCTGTAAAGGAATAAATTGTTGTATTTCTTTCAAAATGTCCTTTCACCTTTCTCGAACCTTTAGAGGGGTTTGATTTACATTAGTAGGTTTTGTGCACAATCATTGCTGATGCTTTTGTCTTGGGAATCAATGGAATCTACATTTTGTAATATAAATAGAAATTGTTAAATATTTTCTTTATATTTCATATTTTAAACAAACTACTGCTTCGCCTGGAATTAAAGGACAATCGTTTGGTCAAAACTGATATTTAAAAACATTTCTTCTTCAGCGCAGTTTCCCTTCTTTGAGGCTAAAAACAGAATCAGTCTAGAACTTAAAGCTACTGAACTCCTAAAGTAGGAAAGGAGGAGAAGCTATGGGTAAAAATGAATGTCCTTGAAATACTGTCAGCATCAAGCAGCTTCTATATACAATCTGGCTCTGGTGCTGCTACCATCTGAGTCAAATGGTAGAGCACAGGAAGGGCCGCTTAGGACAAAAACTACGTTTTGTCTCTGACACTCTATTAAAGACAAAATATTGTTACGGGAAAACATTTTCAGTGAAACACTATTTAAACCCACAACTAGTCCTAAAAACAATAATTTCAGCATACATTGATTCAAATATTTAAAATTGTTTAACATTTAAATTTAAGATGCTAAGGAGCTGGCAAGTTTACGTTGTAGAAGTTCAAAGAACAATATTTATAACTTATTGCTTTTTAGGTTGGCCATTTCAAATACTCCCTTCTCCCAGAGTAAATCTAACACCGAAGCTGTTAGAGGTGCTGATGTTTTTAGCAACAAGAGGGGTCCCTAGGTCAAATTCACTGGGAAATGGAAGAGCACATACTGCTGCAAAAAATGCAGCCACACCCTCTTGACCCCCTGCTAATTTGTGTCCTTAGTCTCGTTTCCACCGGTGAGAAGTATATGTGGCAGATTGCAGGCACAACCCTCTCAGGATGTTGTAAAGAGGCCTTGATACTGAATCAATCTTTACTCAACTTTTTCTTTCCATATTTTACCAAATCATGCCTAGTTTGCACCACACACAATGTGGTAAGAAACCTTTCAACCTCCACTGCTTTGTGATGATGCAGTGTTTCATACTGCACAACCTCTTCACTGTTCTTTAAATCATATAGGCTATGAAAGCTTAACACTCAATTCCTGCAAATTCCTTTGCTACAGTTCTTTACCATTGTCCAGTCAGCAGGGTTCAGTCAATGCAAACACTGGCGAATTGACAAGGAATTATGTCTGGGCTGTTCATGATTTAGGTTGCTGAACCAGCCAGTTGGATCCACACAAGCCAGTGCAGACAAGTTCCAGATCCAGTAGATGACCTCCAACCAGATGTCAACCAACATGACTGCACCCACAGAAGGGATAGTATAAATTTATCTCCACAGGTGTGTTCAAGTCTAGAATCCTCTGACACAAAAGGAAGAAATCCAGAGATCAGTTTCAACTCTTGCAAGATCCCAAAAAGACTCGTCGGCAGCTCGTGTGTAAGGCCTGCACAAACTTTCATCAGCATCATATTCCTTTGATGAGAGTTGTGGTTGCTGCTGCCATTGCTTCACTTTTCATAAAACAAAGAGATTCGCATTTCTGAGAATGGAAAAAAAAAACAATGTCAGTGGCCTATGGTTTTTTTAAACCAACCCAGACTCCTCAAGAAAAATAATCAATTTCCTTCACTCTGTGTGCTGACCCATTATTGTGACTGATTGTTACAGCCCCTGGCCTCTGTGTAGGGTTTTGTTATGCAGGTTCAGCTCTGATGACTCATCATCTCCTGATTGGCTACCTGGAAGCTGCAGGAACTACACCCCATTGGACCAGAAGAGAACTGCAAGCCTACCAGATGTTAATGATCCTATAAAAAGCTCCTGAAATCATTTCCTCAGTGGGACAGCTTGTAGGAGGAGGTTTTGCTCCGCTGTTCCCCACCTTTGATTGTAATTGTCGTTGACAATTTTGTAAACATTTTGTTGTTTGCTCTGCTAGAGCAGGTTGACTTTGGTTTCCTGGACTTCAGCTCAGCGTTCAACACCTTCATCCCCCAAGACCTGGTGGGCAAACTGGGCCCCTTAGGAATTAACACCCCCCTCTGCAACTGGCTACTGGACTTCCTCACTGACAGAACCCAGAACAACACCTCCGATGTCATCACCCTGAACACCGGCACCCCTCAGGGCTGTGTCCTGAGCCCCCTGCTGTTCACCCTGATGACCCACGACTGCCGTCCACACTTCAGATCCAACCATCCGGGACAACAACGAGACGGCCTATAGGGAGGAGGTGCAGCATCTGGTGGACCGGTGCAGTGGAAACAACCTGATCCTGAATGTCAACAAGACCAAGGAGATCATCGTAGACTTCAGGAAATCCAGACCCACCCACACACCACTCCTCATCAATGACTCAGCTGTGGAGGTCGTCAGCAGCATCAAGTTCCTGGGGGTGCACATCAACGAAAACCTCAGCTGGTCTCCCCACATCTCCTCACTGGTGAAGAAGGGCCAGCAGCGCATGCATTTCCTGCGTCAGATGAAGAGAGCATCCCTCCCGCCCCCCATCCTTCAGACCTTCTACAGAGAGACCATCAAGAGCCAACTGACCAGCTACATCTCCATCTGGTCTGGGAGCTGCAGGGCCTCTGACTGGAAGTCTCTACAGAGGGTGGTGAGGACAGGGGAGAAGATCACGGGGGCTCTGCTCCCCTGCATCAAGGACATCGCAGAGAGGCGCTGCCTATCTCGCGCTCACCAGATCCTCTCCGACCCCACCCACCCCAACCATGGACTGTTTTCCCCCCTGGCGTCTGGAAGAAGGTTCCGCAGCATCTTGTGCAGAACAACCAGACTACTGACCAGTTTCTTCCCCCGGGCCATCAGACTGCTTAACGCCACGTAACACCCCTCCACACACTCACAAACCAAATCACCCCCCATGGACATGGTCAATACATGCACTTTAGTTTAGTTTTTTTCACAACACTGAACCTGTGTATTTTATGGCACTTGTATTGTATTTATTTATTTATTGGGTAGTATAAGGTTTTAGCTCTGCTACACTGGTAGCCAAGTAACGACATTTCGTTGTCAAGATTCACCTTGAGTTTTTTTTGTACAATGACAATAAAGGAAGTCTAAGTTTGGTTGTCTTCACAAGCCAGATGCTAGTATTTAGGAGGCTTGCTGCTCCCTGTGTGTGTTTGTTCTTTTTTTTTTCATTTTCCTTTTGGTTTATTTGAGTTACTTTAGACTAACTAGTTTGGGCATTTTGTAATTTACTTCGCACTTAACCTTTCTTAATGCTGTCAGCCCCTATCTTTTGTTTTAATTGGATTAAGTTGTATTGTGTCTTGGTTTTGTGAGAACTTTTTTTTGTAATAAATCACCTTTTCATTATCCCTGCTATTCTCTGGATATTTTTTTTTTGTTACCGCCCTGAACCCCAAGACCAATAGGGGCGTAACACTGATCTTCAGCCTGTAATGGCTTACTTTGATTTTTCTACATAAGTGTAGACATTTTTATGTATTATCAAAATTTTCATCGTTTTTTGAGTGATTAATATAAATGTTTATTATAATCAAAAGAAGGGAATGAAATGGAAAATAGTATATGCTCCTCACTGGTTTAGGTTATTAAAGTAAATCTTTTCCACAATACCCTCCAGTTTAGCTGAATGCTAAAGTCTAGTTGTTTTTAAAATGCCTCAAATTAAGAATTTGACCTACTGTCCCACACACTGACACCAGCCAACATTTCAGGTATGAAAAACTTTATTACAAAATATATTCATTGAAACATGGCCAACCTGCTGTGTCACCTTGCTTTACAGTAACAAAATCAAACCTAGAATGTGTCCTAAAGGGTTTTACTACAAAAAAGAACACAATCCATTCTGCACCAACTCCATGTAAAAACAGAATCAATCTGAAACAGGTGGAAAAACCTGAAATCAGAGGGTGTAATATCACATCAATATTCTACTCCAAGAGATTTTAAATGGTGTCAGAATCTTAAGCCAAATTTATTTTGACTCATGAAAACTAAAGCAAAATATCAACATTTTTTGGTCTTATTGTTCTTCCTACAACCCAGCGGGTGTTTGGTTTCCGTCTGATAGAGTCAACAGAGGTCAGACTGAAAATCTGAGGAAAAACTCAATCTGATGAGAGGAGCAGAAACCAGAGAGGGCCTATCAGTAATGACAATTTAATCCTGAGTTTGTGGCTTTATCGGCCACTATTAGAAACATGATGCAGACAAAGCATTTGGTCCTCCTGGATACTAAGAAAATGTTCTGAGGACTAAAACATCACATCATCACCCTGATCAATGTTTTCACCCTTCTGACTCACCTTCAGTCTGGATTGTCTCCAGCCATTTGATCCAGCTGTTGTCAATGAACAAAGTCTCATTACACTGCTTCTGATTTAATCACAAATGCCAGAATGAAGAACCTATAATGACATTGCCCTCTCAGATCTTCTTACTATAACTGTAAGTGATGCAACTATTCTCAAAACCAGCTATCAATTTTCATATCAAACATAAGTCCAAGAATCAGAACCCGACAGCACGGGTCACTTTCTACGGTTGGAGCGCAGATGTCTTCTGATGATCAGGTGATCACTGTCCTTGTCTTCCTCTTTTCCACCTGGCAGCTGACAAAATACAAACTGATATTAGACCAGGGCTCTCATTTGTAAAGCTGGCATGCACACACAAAACAGGGCCTGGAACTTGTTTTTGTCACCTTCCACGCCATGGTTGTGATTTATAAAACGTGTCATATGTAACTTGACTGGGGAAAAGATGTGAGATGAAACACTGAAGCCACACTTCATGATTCCTCTCAGACATTTGATTTCACTCACTCTAAAACTACATATTACATTTATTATAAGCTTTCAAAACAACTGATATATTCATCACACTCACCAGTGGAAACATAACACTGCTGTTATTTATGAATATCAGTGTGTGCATTCATCATCACACTCATCGATATCAGTAACATTACTGGAAGACCTGGGAAATGGAAAAATCACGAAGGAAATTTAAACATTTCAGGCCTGATGTGATAATGCACTCTTCCCCTATAATCTTCAGGAGGCAGTCGTTTTTTTTTCCTTTTTATGAAATAACATGATGAGCTGGCACATTTAATTACACCTTAAAATTCATGAGGTGCTTTGACTTGACCATTTCTGGTTAAATGTGGGTTTGTAGAGGACAGAACTTGAGGCACGACCTTATTCAGGTGCGATTCATAAAGAGAAATTGCTTGTTGGTGTGCATGTGTATTGTTCCATAATTCAGAGTATATTTTGGTCGTGCATAAACTTTTATCATTGAATCCCACACAATCCTTTATAAATGGGACCCCTAAACACTACAAAAGAAAACCTCCATACCAAGTGTTGTGAAATGGATGCCATTCAACTATAAACTAAGATTAGGACAAACTTCAACCTCTACAGAAAAGAATTGCAACATTTCTCCTCAAAAGGTGACTAAAGTGTTTACATTGTGTGCACAAGTGAATCTGTCTGTCTGTGGAGGCCTGTTGCTGTCAACGCAGGAGTCAACACTGCCAAAAGGACTCACGCTGTGCGGAGAGTCTTGCAGCGGAGATGAGACATCCAGCTTAAACAGCTTCTTTCGTCCTCGCCGAGGTCTGGTTGCCGCAGTGACGGTCTGCATGAATGAGGCAGGATCAGCTGCAGGGACAGAAAACTGCTGTTCATGACCCAGAATCACTACTTCACCTGAAATCAGTTCTGAGCAAATTTTACTCATTAAAGATTGATGCTTTCAGCATCATATCTATCAATTCCATGAAACATAATCAGGAAACAGTTATTGCAAATGTTCAAAAGTACTTCAGACAACTGAGACCATCGATCTTGATCCGAGTAGTAGACTGAGGTCAGGCCAACATGTGGATCCAGAGTCTGAAGCGCTCAAATATGAACCTTCAGAACATGTTTCCACCCAAAAGGTCAACCAAAGAATTAGATGAAACACTTGGATGAAAAGCTGACCTTTAACCTAGAGGCTTTTGCTATACAAACCAAGTACAACTAGCAGTTAAGATCTTCTGAGAGCTTCCAGGTTAGAATTAACATAAGGCCACCTGCCGCTCAGTCCAGCGGATTGTCAGTAACTGAACAATCAGCGGTTTGTTTGGGCAGCAATTTGTCCAATAGTAAATGCCCCTTACCTAGAGAGGAACTGAATCTCTGACAAAGTTGTCAGGGTTTATCATTACAAACATGCTGCAGTCATAGAGGTGAGGTTGAAATAATCAGAAAAAATTATTAACAGTTGTCAGTGAGGAACATCTACATAAGCCACACTTTACTAGAGCATTTAGAGCACAAAATAAAGTTTATTCTATTAACAAAACTCAGTCTGGGAAAATGTCAAAGATAGATTAATGCCTGCAGCCGACCTCATGATTATATGAATAAAACTGTGATCAATGGTATAACAACATGTTTGTCTGTCTTTTGTCATCATTACATTGTATATTTAGTGGTTAAATCAAAGATTAATGCATAGGGCAGAGACCAAAGCAATAAATATGAGCTGTGGCTACAAATCTGATTTCATTAAAGTTTGTAAAACAGCAACTTTTCAGGCATGTGGTAAAAATATTCATACACAGCCTGACATAACATGATGAGGTTGTGTTCAGATACATATCACTGCACAATTGCTCACCTGCTGTTTGTAAGTGCTAAATCGCCAGAAACAATAGGCTGAGAAGAACAATGACAGAAAACATGGCTGGACAAATACTTGGAAGATGAAAAAAGACATTTAATAATAAGAAATAGCCAATGGGATATTGAAGATAAATATAAAAACCCTCCCACCCTCACCTCTTTTACAGTTTGGTATGAAACACAATATTTTTTTTTGCAGAACAATTTAGCTCTCCTCACCTTCTCAGGCTTCAATGTCAGTTTCTCCATGGATTCCCAAAAATGACTTCAGGGACCTGACATATATTTTAAGTCTTGACTTCTTTGCCCTAAGAAGTCGAGAAATATAATGCCTCAACAAATTTCTGAGGTGATGCAGCGAGTTTTACTAACTTCACCGTATAGCCAATTTTGCTTGTCATGTGAATTCATCTAGAGAACCAGATCTGAAGTGAACAAGGTCAGATAATCCTGAAACTTTAAGATATGGAAACCTTTCTATAGGAACACACCTTTACTGTGGAGGATGGATGGAGAGTTCTGGGTCAGTTCAATCTTCTGCAGCATGCCATCCTCCTGCAGCACAGAAAAAACAAATGAAAACCTGGATCAAATGAGTGCTCTGAGGTTTACCCGTTAGCAGAGGTCCCCTACTAGTTTGTTGCTGCAAGCTTTCTCTTTAACGCTGTTCCTCTTGTTCTCACTGAACACCAAACCCTAAGTAACAGATATGGAAGATATGACTGCAGCCTCCAACTTCAGCTCTGCTCCCACACACTCAAACAGACCACAGCTTACCTCTACTTCATTGCTCTTCCTTTTCCTCTTCACTGTCTTGGAGAGCTTCTTCCTGTCAGCCATGGTTGACTGCAAAGAAGAAGCACAAACATCCTGAAGAAAAAAAAGATCTCCTAAGTTTCTGGAGCTGGATTGCCAACAGACTGTGACACAGACATGATTACAGTAGCAGGATTCCTGCATAGTTTTGTGTGAAAGATGCAGTAAAGATGTCAAAGTGTTGATATGAGCTTGCCCCATGGAGGCTCAGCTCATTATTTAAACATTTTAAAAAGCAGCAGACGCAGAAGAAAAAAAAACTGTCAAGCTTGTTTTTGATCAAGAGCAGAAAAATATTGTGTCTGAACAGAACTCTGAAGGCAAGGCAGAACGAACTGTTTTGTAGTAAAAATAAATATCCTAAAAGTCACAGCTGAACAGCCGTGACTATACATAGGCCTGTCACGATAACAGATTTTGCTGGGCGATAAATTGTCTCAAAAATTATTGCGATAAACGATAATATTGTTTGAAGACCTTTTTTCATTGATTTATTGGAAATTACGTAATAATACATGCGATTTCCTGCCAAAGATAGAAACACTTTACTTTCAAAAGACAGTTGACACTGGGACTGATACACAAAATAAATAAAACAACCAAAAATAAAATAGATTCTCAGTCTCCATTAACAATAAATGTACTTGAATAAAAACTATACAACATAAAGCCAAAGTGGAAATAAATACTGCATTCAACCAAAAGAGTGCAGATTATGAAGTCTGTATAGTATATTGGGCTTCAGTAATAATTAGATTTAAATAGAGAAGATGCAATAGTTCAAACTACAGGATTTTTTACCCAGAACGACAATCTGAGAACGTTCTTCGTTCTGAGATTGTCCCTTGTGTGTTATGGTAGATCGTTGTGGCCGCTCTGATCTAAATCAAGGATTTATCCAGACTGGGAGAGTGACGCAACCTGTTGAATGTGACCGGTAGCCAATCAGAAAGCGCAGATTCTCCTCCTGCTTTCTGAGGGGAAACACGGAGGGAATCCCGAACAGCTGACACGATGCAACCCGAAGTCCAGCAGACATCGGAAACAACATGAATGTTTATTCAACATTTAGTGCAAAAAAAGTATAAATAACTAGGGGAGGAGTTGGAGCGAAATTTCTACCAGAAAACCCGGTAACTTTTCAGCTGTTCTTCGTTAACATGACATAAATAGGTTATAATGATTTTCATTCAGTCAGACTGACACTCGCCACATGCATGACATGTAGATTGTAGTAAGGAATTGATTAATGCCTGGTTTCAAAGTTAGTGAACTGGACTTATTATTTTGTGTCCATTGTTGGACACAACACGGTTCGATCGAACCGTTATAGCTCAGCTTTCTGTCGGCTAATGTGTCTCTCAGGTTTTGATAATGGGCCGACAATCGGCGACATAAGATGGTGCAGCACGCGCTGGGCATTACACTAAGAAATAAGGAAGGGAGGGTCAGTGGAGTTGAGCCTTTTTTCATTCATTGTCATCAACAGTAAGAGAAGAAGGCCTGAAGAAACGATATAGACAATAATTGAAATGACGTCGATAGTTTTAATTTATCGTGCGATTAATTGACTTATCGTTTATCGCGACAGGCCTAACTATACAGCTGCATCATCAGCGAGCCCCACTCTCCCCTCACCCCCCATCAGTTTACGTCTGATTGCCGTTGCCAGGCGACATTTCAGCTGCCGCGCTGTGAAGGCATTGCAAATGCCAGCATGCCACAGCAGCAGCCAGTTTGCCATTTACCCAAACAGAGGGAGCCTGAGGCCTTCCTCTGATGCAAATTATATCGATGGGTTGGTCCAAATGGTTTTCCACTTGAATCCGCTTCCTTTGAGGATGTCTCCAACCAGCACTCACTGAGAGTGTCTGTAATCAGAACTGTGACGATAACAATAATAATAATAATGGAGGAACTGGGTTCTTGTCTTTGTTGGTTAAGTTTGATGGTGTGTGCATGATCAGCAGACCTGGTTCTTCTCTGGTTAAGGTAAACAACTTTACCTGAGCATCTCTGTGCAGATTCTCCCCCTGCTCTTTTCTCCTTCTCCCATGCAGCTTCCCCCCATTCTGATTCTCCTTTTCCTCCTCTTCAACCTCCCTGTGAAGTTTCTCCTTCAGGCACTGCAGCTCTTAGAGTGAATACAGAAACAGAAACCAGTTCCTGACACTGAATAAAACATGAAAATTAGATTTCTGTAGGTTTCATAAAAAGTTTTTTGTCATTCAGTTGTACATGTACAAAATGTACGTATTAAAATTTTGTTGCAAGCCTCCAATAATAATAAAAATAAATAATAAAAGTATCCATACAAAAATATACAATACATTATTACATTAATTGCAGTCTAATGCCTGTTGTAAAATCTGGTTGTTCTGCATTAGAAGCTGCTGAACCTTTTCCCAGAGAGCAGCAGAGAAAACAAACCATGCTGAGGGTAGACGGTGTCTTAAAATTGTCTGAGCCTTGGACAGGCAGCTTCCTTCCAGCTTCCAGGAAGCTGCCTGTCCACAGTCAGGTCCCTGAGCTTCCTTCCATCCTGATGATGGACTGAGCTTCCTTCGTGATGATGGAAGGAAGCTCAGTCCTGATGATTCTAGTCTCAACTGTCCTTACCACTTTTTCTAAATATTGCCAGTAAGCAGCGTTGCATGCTCCAAACCATACAGAGATGCGGCTGTGGTAAGTATATTCTCTATTGACCTACAGAAAGTGGTGAGGATGGCAGGAGGGAAGTTTGCTCTTCTCAGATGTAAAAAGTGCAGACATTATTGAGCTCTCTTCTCCAGACCAGAGGTTTGGAGGGACCAGGTCAAAGTGTGAGTGATCTGTATCCAAAGGAATCTAATGTTCCTGATCTGCTCCACTGTGGCATTATTGATGACTTGGCAGATTTTTTCTGAAATCAACAATTTCTTTTGTTTTGTTGACATTAAGGATTAGATGGTTTGCATCACACCAGTCCACCAGATGTTTTAGGTGAAGCTGACACATAAATCTGTGTAATTAATGGTCCATTTGATCTGGAAAGTTAAACTGTATCCAAAAAAAGATAAGCCACCTTCTGATAACCCACAGAGTAAGGTTTGAACTTTAAACTGAAATTTCACTCAGTATACTGCAAATCATCACATTAGTGAGTGAAGAGATGGTTGTCATGGGAAACTAGAGTTTGTGTTTATGAACAGCAAAAAAACTGCTACCCTGAAAGCACAAGATTTTGGTTTTATTATTGTTTTTTTTACTTTGAAAAAAATAACAATGTCAGTTTTTACTCTTGCATTACCAAGCATTTTTAGAACAAATCAAAGATCTTTAAACTTGTACCAAGTTCATTTAATCACAAATATTAATGCACTAATAAGCACATCAGTAGGTAACTTGGGGTTTGTGCTTTGGCAAAGGGCACATTGGCATGTATCAAAAGGAAAGAGGAATCCAACCCACAACTTTCTGACTGAATAAAGTTTGATTTTACTGCATCAATCAGAAATATCTGATTGGACTAAATTTATTCATTAACACCTGTAGAACAGCTGTGACAAGTAGTGGAAAAGTAGTTTTGCAATCTGAAAATTGTGGGTTCGACTGCCCCTGAGCAAGGCACTTTATGAATCTGGGATTGAATTGGGCATTTTAACATCTTCACATCTGTAGGAAATCTATTAGTCAGTGACAGAAACAATTGAAGTTGAAGTGTGGATCCTGTGGGCGGAGCTTGATGAGGGTCATGTGACAGTGAATGTGTGTGTTACCTCGCCTCAGAGTCTCTGCCTGCTGTCGGCTGTCCTCCAGTAGTTGCTCCTTCTCCAGCATGACTCGCTGCAGTCCTAAAGCAGAGGACAGGTATCAGCCAATCAGAGCACTCCTATCACTCGGGTCGGTTCTAATCTGTCCTCAGTGTTTCTGTCTGAGTATCCAGGTGTCATTCAGACTGTAACCATCAACACATCCATGTCTCTGCACCTCCCCCTACCTGCCACCTCATCCTCCAGTCTGTGCTGCAGAGCTCCACCCTTTGACTCCAGCTCTGCCCTTAGATTCTGCTGTTGCTGACTCAATTTTGTTTTTTGATTTTCCAATTCCTGCCTGAGCTTCACACAGCTGCTGTTGCTGAAAGAGCAGAGTTCACAGGAGGTCAAACAGAGGTCAGAAGGTTGGCATGCAGCTGGCTGGAGGTTGTGCTGATCACCTGAGAGCCAGCTGCTCCACCAACTGCTTCTTCTCTTGCTGCAGCTCTTCCATCTGTTGAGAGATGTGAGCAGAGCTCTGCTCTGCCGCTTCACTCTTCTTCTTCAGCTCTTCCATGGCAACCACATTAATGCTGCTGCTCTGTTCCTCCTGCTGGTGAATCAGTCAGTGGATCATCAGGAGCTATTCAACAACAACATGATTCACTCATAAAATAAGAAAAATAACCTGGACTTGCTGTCTCAGACACGTCAATTCTTCTGTGAGACTCATAATTGAGCGAGAACTCTCCTCTAATTGGTTCTCTACGTACTGAAGGCGTGACTGAGTCAAATCTAGCCGCTCTGACTGGCTGTTGCACGTGTCAGTCTGCTGTTTGAGCTGCATCTGCAGGGCAGTTACCTGGGGAACCAGCATAATGAACAGCTGCAACAAAAAACAACCAGAGGAGGAGGAAGACAAAGAGGAGGATAAAGAGCAGCACCTCAGTCTGCAGCTGGAAGATGCCATTCACAAGAGCTTTGTTCTCCTTCTGCAGCCTGGCTGTCTCCTTCTGCTCCACCTCCAGAGACGAAAGCGCAGAGCCACAGGTCAGACACTCATCCAGATCTTTAGGAAGATGAGAGAGAGACAAGACCATGGATTAGTTAAATTAAGGTTGGTTCAGGCACAGTCGCCCTTTCCATTTCTCTGCTCCTCTGGGTCTCTATTCCACTTTTCTCCACTGAGAAACCTCAGCGTGAAATTTGAGGAGGATTTTAAATTTGAGTGAGCTGTTAGCCAAGGAACAGAAATGCTATATCTTATAATTAAGTCATTGATATGACTCGTTTGAATAGCACTTCTCACTTCATAGTGGAGGATGAAGAGAGCATCCTCCACTATGCTCTCTGTGAAGGGCATAGTGGCCTCATGCGCCAATAAGGTGATAATCCTATTGGAATATTGAAGCTTCATAGTGTCAAACTGGCACATTACAAATGTCACAAACAAACATTAGCAATTAGGTAAAATTTCAAACGTCAACAGAGTCCACACCTCCAGGAAGCAATGGTTTGTCAATAACAGAGTCCAGACCTTCTGGAGGAAGCAAAGTGTGAAATGTTACTTTCTGTGAACACTGTGTGATTCCAAAGAAAACAGTGAAAATAATTATTTTAATATGTTTTATCTTAGGTTTGATTCCTCTGATTTTAGTAATGAGATTTTAAATCTGAAAAACAACCTTCTTTGCTGTGGTCATATCCTTTTTGACATTACTTCAGTGGTTGAATCTTTCAAACATTGTAAGGTTAGGGATTGTAGGAACAACTAAGACATGCAGGTCATTGTGTCCAGAGGAGTCAGGTTAAGAAACACTGGCCTCGAGGAACATTTAGCTCTTACCTGTCAGCTCCTGAACCTTCTTTTCTAACTCTAAGTTGTCGTTCTTCAGCTCCTCCAGCCGACTCCTCAGCTCACTGATGGTCTCATCTTTCTTGTCGTTTTCCTCCTGCAGCCTCCAGATTTCTTCTTCCAGGACTACTGAGAGGAGAAACCACATAAGCCACTTTATATGTCTGTCTGCGCGCACAGAAGAAAGCTATGATCTGGTCTTTGGTTTTTATTCTTTATTTCAAATTTATTTACAAAAAAAGGTAACCAAGAAGCTCAGGATTTTTTAAGATGATGCAACTTGAACCATCAAACATGAAGCTCATGTTTGATGAACAGAATCTGCAGAGATAACTGTACACCAGTGGAAAGAGTATTAGTTCATACAGACAATGATGATGTTAAAGGGAGGTTTTCTAAGGCAGTGTCTCCCAAAGTGTGGGGGCCGCAAAAAAAACAGTTACACAAAAATGTTTCACTGTAAAGATTGTTTGTAGTGTGTTTTGTTACAACCTGAAGTGTGAAATAAACTTTAATAGAGTTTTAAAAACAAAATATGTGTATTGGTTTAAGTCTGGTTGAACAATGTGTGTCCAGTTGATTTTTTTCTTCTTCTTTTTTGGGGGAATATTATTGCAATCCATGGGGGGAGGGGCAGAAAATCTTTGGGAACCACTGTTGTCAGGTAACATATGCAGTGACTGTCATGGATGAAACTCTCAGGGTTTTTCAGAGGAAACATAATTGTGATCAGAGGAAATCATCACACCTCTCTTCTTGACTGCTCCTCCTCCCTGCCCCTCTGCGTCATCTCGTTGGCGCTTACAGCTCTCCTTCCTCTCCTCCCCTGCTCTCTGGTCCTCTCTAGTCCTCCTCCCACAGGTACAGATCGCCAGTCTCTGAAAGACAGCAGCATTCTCTCAGATGTTAGAAAACAAGAGCATCAGAAGCATGAAGTTTGACAGAAAATAGTGAGAGGAGGAAGCAGCAGAGTGTTTACGTCTTGTGTGGCGTTCCTCAGGTCTTCTTGGAGTTTATTGATGATGTCCTCTTTCTGCTCACAGACTGCTGACAGTTCTGAGAACCTTTGCTGCTGCTGCTCCAGACTCTGATGAAAGCAACACAGTTCTACCAGTTAAATAAGAACAGAGGCCACTGTTATCTTGTTAAAAATAACAGAGGGAGTAGAATCTCCTGCATGGGCTCAACAGAGCAACAATGTGCAGTTTAACTCTTCTTTGCAGCTGGTGAACTCACCTGAAGCTTAACTCATCCTTCTATGTGTGTAAGTGTGTGTCTGAGGGACAGGGGGATAAAATTAAAGTGGAAAGAGGAAACTGGCAGAACGGTTGGGATGGTGCCACATATCCATAGGTGAATCCTGGATGAATGGAGGGATGATGAGTCCTGATCAGCAGCACAAGTGATATGGAAAGCATGGAGGTGAACAAAGGGCACTCATATTCCTAGACCTGTTTTAACCCTCTGATGTGTAAGTGGGTCCTTTTTGACTCGGTGAGGTCATCTTTTTGCAATATATTTGTAGTGAAGTTTTCTTCACTTAATATTCCAGGTACTCCTCAAAAAATATGTTACTGATATCATGCAATTCACATTTTTAGTTTACCTTTTATACATTTTTAGAAATAGCATGTTTTATATTACTATCCCTTTCTTCTGTGAGTGGGTCAAAAATGACCGGCATTCATTTTCTATGGAATTAAATGAGAATCTTTGTTACCAACTGTGGCCATCAGGAAAACATTTTTTTTTTGTGAACCATACACACTGAGTCCTAAGTGTCACCCCTGAGTACACTTAGTACTCACTTATATGTAAGAGACACAGCAAGTCTGGTTGACTTTGGGCTCAGGGGGCTAGGGTTAGGGTGACTAACCCTAACCCTAGCCCCTAAAATAATCGGGGCAGCTGACCCCGATTATTTTAGATTTTCTTACTGACGGCTCCAGTATGTCCTGGCCTGGTGTATTGACAGTTGCTTGAAGTAGAAAAAGTAACGACTACTTTAGGAGTTATTTTGAAATCAGCTGCAGAAGTTCTACAGAGAACACTTTTTTTTGTTCAAACTCATATGATACTGCTGTCAATGCTCATTTCATTTTCACATAATCTCTACTCCACAGTTCACAAAGTCGGTCTGTCTCAACACTTGCCTTCATGGCTTCCTGCAACTGCTCATGAGACTGCAGCTTCTCTAACCGCAGCACCTCCAACTCTGCAAGCATAAAGCAGCACAAAAAATACAATCATGAGAAAGTCTGTCATGTAAAACAGTCTAGTTCTAAATGAATGGTTCAGTTCTCATGTTGTCTTGTTTCCTTCCAGTATGTTAACAAGGTATTGATCAACAGTTTTCCAGTCTGTCCAATAGGTCCTGGTATTTACTCTTTTCCAGAAAAATGAAATAAGATTCCCCACAGGGGAGCTGGAATTTCTTTTAGATGTGTTTAAATCTGATGGGCATGTTTGCATCTATTGTGTATCAAATTGTCTGCAGAGTATGTGTGTACCTGCAGTGTGTGTCTGTTCAGACAGACAATGTTGGACGCTCTGAGCATTGTCTCTGATCTTCTTCAGGTCTTCAGTCATGGAGCTGATGATTCCCCTCAAATCCGCTGCCTCCTGACAGCCAATCAGAAGAGAAACTAGTCACCACCAAGGCTCCATGTACCTGCTCCACTTCAGACTAAACCCTGCCCCCCGCCCCTCGACGCAAACTATGATGTACATAAGTTTAGGAATTAAAATTGCTAAGGAAGGTTAATGCAGCACTATGAAACTTTATAAGAATGTTTCTTACATATTTCTTTAGACTGTCACCATGTAGTTTGTGAGAGACTGTTATGGGACAGATAATCCGTCAAAAAATAATAAATAAAAACCTAGCTTCTCCACCTTCTTTTAGCACTCCCATTAATAACTGCAGAAATACATAGTCAATCAGAAACAACCAATCTGATTAGGGCGGTCAGTACGCATTGGACACAGCCTCCATATCGCCACTGCTACCTTCTATGACCTGAAGAACAGTTCCACAAGTAAAGGAATAACATCCCAGCAAAATGTAGAGAAACTCATCCATGTATTTATCTTTACTCTGTTGCATTTATTACTGCAACAGTGATCAACAGTTTGTTTTAGGCAAACAGAGGTCTGCCTAAAAAAAAAAAATAAAAATGTAATTGGAAAGCTGCAGCTGATCCAGAACCCTGCTCCTGGCTTCCTCACTGAGAGAATAGACTTTACTGTTAGTTTACAAATCACTGAATGGTTTAAAACCACAATACATTACAGATCTACTGTTGTTGTATCAACCTTCCAGACCTCTCAGGTCTTCTGGTTCAGGTTCCACTCTGCATCCCAGAACTAGAACCAGAACCAAAAATTAAGAAGCAGCATTCAACTTATATGCACCACAAATCTGTTTGGCAAATGTGACTGGCCACGACAAAGCCACGAACACTTCTACTTGGACGTTTTGAGTCATTTACAAATTGTGAAAGTGTGGAGTCTAAGCATTCTAATAATGCCAAACACAAAAATAAAGAATTTGCTCTTTACTACCAAGTGTTATCTGCATTGAGAACAATTAGGACTATTTTTGACTGAAAGCACAATTCAAGAAAATAAACTGAATTTTTTGTTTTACAAAAACAAAAAATCCTTTTCTGCACCATTACATATAAAAATAATACACCCATTTCTATCAGCTGTATTTATATTTTTTATTAAATGAACTTCAAAATAGCTATTGACCTGAAAATAGAGCATCATTTATTACCAAATATAATAACAAAAAACAGTTCTGACTAACTGGAGCGATTCCAATTGCTAACCTTTCAAAGGAATCCATTCCCTAGTGAAGGACACCTCAACACTCTGCAGCTTCCCCCGAGTAGTCCTGGAGTTGTTTTCTTTTTACCAGTATCTGTAGCTTTTCTCTTGAGTAACGAGATCTTGAGCAAAATTCTGTTCCCTGTGTTGTGAGCGAGCATCGCAGCCAGAGAGACAGATCTGACCATTTTCACGATGCTTCTGATCAATTTCTCTGTAAAAACAACTCATATAATCATGTTGAGGTTGTAACATTCAGTTTAATCGGCAGCTGTTTAAAAAAGAAGAAATAACAAAATTGTGAAAAATAAATAAACAGGATCTTCTGTGTTGTTATTTTAATCACCAAGAGTATCGGTCTTTTTCCAACTTTTGTCACTTAAGCCTGACAAATAAAAGTCAGTCACCAAACACAGGTTTCCAACACGTCATGTGTATTGATCATTTTTTATTGCTGATATCAGAGGATAGAAACTGGCTGACAGCAGAGGACAAAAATTAAGACTTCTTGAAAAGATGAGTAGAATTTCTGGTAAATCCCATTTTAATGTAAAATATGACAGATTTCTGGATTAAGGAAATTAATACTATACTACATCCTATCACACATAACATTTTATGAGAATTTATTTCCCGAAGTTATGGGGGAGGAGAGGAGAGACTGGATATTTCAGCAGCCTGAAATAATTTGTTCCCCCTCCATAAAATGGGAACAAATTAATTTACCTGCAGGTCTTTATTCCTTTAATCATCAACAATAAATCATGTAGGTTTGAAAACATTTGCTCTTTATTTGGCAAAGTTGTGAGGGGGAACCATATATTTTTAGCTGCCTGAAATAAACTGTTGCATTTTACATTAAAATGGGATTCACCAGAAAGTTGAGACTCTCATTTTTCAGCCAGTTTCCATCTTCTCATATCAGCAATGAAAAATTATAAATACAATACTACATTTGAAACCTGTGTTTGGTGACTGACTTATTTGTCAGGCTTAAGTGACAAAAGTTGGAAAAAGACAGATTCTCTTGGCATTTAAAAGAACAATACAAAGCAGTCTAAGACCTTGTTCATTTATTTATTTCACAATTTTGTTAGCTGAAACTGAACATTACAACCTTGACACAATTACGTGTTGTTTTTACCAAGAAATCGATCAAAATCACTGTGAAAATCCATCCAGCTGTCATGTGTGCTCCTGACTCGGGGAACAGATTTTCACAGGGGAACCGAATTTTGCATAACACTGGTTTTAAGCCTGATTTACATGATTATTTTCAACACAATCCTTTGGTAAGCCAACTACAGCATGGTACTTTGACTTCATGTCACGGTCGTTTACATGCAATAACTTGTGGAACAGTAGGGGACTTTCAGCAGCTGCTGAAACATTACGCCACCTGTGAAAATCACATTGAGCTTTGCCAATACTTACTTAATTGCAAGTTATTTCATAATGGTAACATCAACAATGCATCTTCACTTGTAAGGCTGAACTGAAGGGGAGATTGTTTAATGGTTACAACACTCCATAAAAAAAACTACAGAATTGTTTATGTGTGCCAATGTTTGTTTGTTTTTTGTACCGTAATTTTTTTCCTCTGAGGATTTTTGTTGGCTCTAGTGGCTCGTAATTTTTGAAAATAGCCTGACAGGAAAGAAGGGATGGAGAGAGGGGGAAGACATGTGGCAAATGTCGCCGAGGCCGGGTTCGAGCCTGCGACGGCCGCGTCCAGGACTAGGGCCTCCATGCGTGGGTTGTGCTAACCCCCTACGCCACCACAGCACACCCTGTGTGTGTGCCAATGTTGTCTGGAAAAACTCGAAATAGGATTTCAGAGTTTGAACCCATAATAATACTGGCTAAATTGATTTCAACTCTTAAGTATTTAATATGTAGGTGTTTTTATGAGAAAGTGAATCTTTCAAATCAATTGGAGAAGCAATTCTGATCATATTTCACATTTTATCGTGTCATGTAGCGCAGTCTTTGTCTTGACTCTGTCTTGACTTCCCTTGATCTTGGTCTCGGACCCTAAAGGTCTTGGTCATGTCTCGGTACATTCTGGTCTTTGGCCCTGGGTCAAGTGGTCTTGACTACAACACCAGGTTTAAGTATTGTCTGCAATGTCTTCCAGTAACATAATTACTCAGCAATATTTTAAATTTCCTGTCAACTTAACATCTTTTAATACAAAACCCAAGCACCCTGCCTCTGTGCACCTGGGAAACTTAGAACTTTAGTTTTGTTTTCTGTTCAGCTGGAGAAAGTTATGGTATAACCATACCTAGCAAGATTTCTGGGAGAAACCCAGATGCAAGTTAAAAGCTATGATCACAGAGTTTCTTTATTTCCTGTGAGATTTTTAATTGAGTCTTATCATTTAACTTGCAACAGGTTTTTCCTTTCATGGTCAGATTTTCTTACTAAATATGAATAAAGCTTCTACAAATGACTCTGGTTGTGCTTTAGTCCTCAGGGAGAAAAATCAGAATCTGTAGGCAAGTCCTCAAAGGAAATTGGCAGCCTGTCAGAAAAAGCCTAATCGGAGGATCTTGCCTATTAATTCTAAGAGGAATTCATGAAAGCACAAAATTTAAACACCCCTTGACATACACACTAGTGTGATTCACCTCCAGCTGATTGAACCTGGTCATAACTTCAAATATGCTCTTCTTCTCCAGTTGTTTGTTCTCTGACAAAATCTTCACCTCCTGAACGTAAACATCAACTCAACAAAATACTGCAGAATGCAATGCAGTGCCCCAGTTTTCTCACCATGTAGCCATCATTGCTGGATGTGGTCAGGTCGACTGTTTTACTGACAAGGTTTTGTAGGATCTCCACCCTCTTCTCAGCCCGCTCCTCCAAAATCTCCCTCTCCTTCTCCAGACGCTCGCTACCAAAGAGAAGAGCTGCATTACAACAGGACCTCAGCAGCAGCAGGCGATCAGAGGTAGCCTCACCTGTAGTCTTTCTCCATCTTGTTGAACAACTCCATGAACTCAGAGCTGACTTCTTCTCTGATTTGAGCTTCCAGAACCAAACGGAGTGCTGCCTCCTGATCAGACAGAGGCACACAAACACAAGTTTGTATTTCTAACAATATTTAGTCCATCCTTTTACACCAAACCATACAATTCAGCCCAAACCTTAACCATTAACCAAAACTGAAAGAGCAGAAGCTGAAGGAAACTCACCTTCACCACTTCCTCCTCCATAGTCTGGTCCCCATCCTCCTCCGCTCCACCCTCCAGTACTGTTCCCTCCAGTACACTCTCTTCCTCTTCCTCCTCACTGTTGTCAGCCTCCAGGACATCTTCCAGGCTCGTATCCCAGGCAACAAGCGAGCTCCTCCTGCCCTGGTTCAGCATGTTTCTGCGCTGGTCGGCTTCATCGATGATGAGAGACAGCTCCATTGCTGACTTGTGGCAGGCACTGTTTTCCAGGGCAAGGGGCTGGGAGGTAACCATCACCACCTTGACAAATGAGGGGAAGTGCTGCTCAGACAATGCATGTGTCTTAAACACATATATTTAAGACACATATGGTGGGAGCACCATCTAAAGAACTTCAAGTTATGTAAAAAAAAAAAAAGAAGAAAAAAACAGGATATAGTTGACCTAAAATACAACTACAAATCCAAACCACATAGAAAGATATAAAAATATATAAAGCTAATTATTCTGATGAAGAGTCATTCCTTGAAACATTACCTTAGTGCCACACCCTGGTAATGTTATACTATGTCTTGACATTTTTATTATTACTAGTAGTATTATTATTATAAAGAATCCTATAGATGCCCATTTCCGCCACTCTGTTGAAAAAAATAAAATAAATTATCTCATTATAATGAGATAATTTATCATCTCATTATAATGAGATATAGTTATTATAATGAGATATAGGCATCTCATTATAATGAGAATTTATTTTAGGGTTAGGGTTACAACACACTGATCTCTTGTGTTGTCCGCTGGGAACCTGAACGTCACATACAAGGACATCATCAATTATGTTCTAATCACAAAAAAAAAAAAAAAAAATGGAGGAGACTGGTGACCCAAACTGGTTGAGCAGACAGGAATTACAATAATTATCATATCTCATAATGAGATACTATGTATTCACTAGAGATACTATCTCATTACAATGAGATAAAAAAAATTAAATAAATTATCTCATTATTTTTTTAACAGAGTAGCGGAAATGAGTTTTCATAAATTCCTAATAAGGTCATATGACAAGTTAGAAGATGATGGCAACTTGTTTGTATTGTATGAAGGGGGTGTGCAGTCGTGGGAGTGGCACCTTCTGAGCCAGGGCGGAGAACTTGAGGACGTTGAGCGTCTCGTCAAAACAGGAGTAGTTCTGGTTTATGTTGACCACCATGGACACGCGGCCAGAAACACAGAAGAAGAACTGCAGGAAGTGGGTGAGTTTGGACTCCCTGAAGGGAATGTGATGCTGGAACCTGCATGGAAATATCAGACTGAAACTGCTGTGCTGCAGTGCAGTGACATCAGAACAGCATCAAATACTGGGATCGTACTTGGCATTCTGATTGAGCTTCATGGCGTTGATGCACTTCCCTAGTGTCAGCAGGGAGCTGTTGATATTTCCAGCCTCCTTTAGGCGCGCTCCGGTGTTGTGGGTGCGAGAACAGCGTTCCGAGCCAGCCAAGTCGCAAAGAGCCAGTCTGAACACAGAACACGAGTCAAACCAGGAAGAATACCTCTGGAACAGAGAGAAGGGAGGACGACTCACTCGCTGATGCCAAGGACTCTTGGAACTCCGACATCATCAATCCGGAGGATTCTGATGGAGAAGATGCTGTGGCTGCAGAAACAATAAACTCTAGCTCAGTGTTCACATCTATGCGTGCTGCAGTAAACACTGGAGCCACACTGACCTTCTGCTAGACAAATGGTTCAGTCTGGTAGAAGATAGACTCTGGTTCCTCTTCCCTATCTTCATTACTTTGTATGCCTCCTCTGCGCTGTTCACCTGGATCCAACGCAGGTCTGCACAGAAAGCAGTGGTCAGCACTGGAACACTGACCAAACCACAGCTTCAACAACAAAAGAATGCTGTGCAGGGTGTCAGAGGTTATCAATAAAAGCTTGTGTGTAATCTTTATTCCTAACTGAAAGTTGGAGTGAAGAGAAAACCTGGAAGATTTAACAGGAGGTGTGAGCTCCCCAGAAAGTCGGCATGTTTGCCTGCAACCAATTTCCAGCTCAGAACTCCTGCAGTCAAACTGAAAGCAGGACTAAAGTAAAGACCCCTTCAGCATGCTGAGGGGATTAGGATTCTTCTTCCCTTTCAGGATTTTTATGTAACATTTAAACTGGACATAGCTAAGGTCCCAAATTATGTATGCACTATTTAAATACTCTATCAGTTTAATACATCTGTGTTGATAAATTATAGAATGAAAACATCAGCATCTGGATCATCAGAATCTAGGTTTATCTGGAATCATTAATACCTTTTATGAAGGAGTTCCCTTTAACATCCTGGGACAGACGTAGCACTGTTCTCTTGTGTTGTCCGCTGGGAACCTGAACGTCACATACAAGGACATCATCAATTATGTTCTAATCACAAAAAAAAAAAAAAAAAAAAAAAAAAAATTTTAAAAATAAAAAAAAATAAATAAATAAAAATAAAAAAAAAAAGGTGGAGGAGACTGGTGACCCAAACTGGTTGAGCAGAAAGGAATTACAATAAATTAGAGTACAATAAAAAACATAATTAACAGTAAATGTACATTTAATTTGTAAGCATTATTTTTTTATCTCTACTAACACTTAGAATATAAAATGTTTTTAAAATACAGGGGTTGGACAATGAAACTGAAACACTCTCAGTTTAGTGTGGGAGGTTTCATGGCTAAATTGAACCAGCCTGGTGGCCAATCTTCATTAATTGCACATTGCACCAGTAAGAGCAGAGTGTGAATGTCCAATTAGAAGGGTAAGAGCACAGTTTTGCTCAAAATATTGCAATGCACACAACATTATGGATGACATACCAGAGTTCAAAAGAGGACAAATTGTTGGTGCACGTCTTGCTGGTGTATCTGTGACCAAGACAGCAAGTCTTTGTGATGTATCAAGAGCCACAGTATCCAGGGTAATGTCAGCAAGAAGGACAAACCACATCCAACAGGATTAACTGTGGACGCAAGAGGAAGCTGTCTGAAAGGGATGTTTGGGTGCTAACCCGGATTGTATCCAAAAAAGATATAACCATGGTGCCCAAATCACGGCAGAATTAAATGTGCACCTCAACTCTCCTGTTTCCACCAAAACTGTCCATCGGGAGCTCCACAGGGTCAATATCCACGGCCGGGCTGCTATAGCCAAACCTTTGGTCACTCGTGCCAATGCCAAAAGTCGGTTTCAATGGTGCAAGGAGCAAAAATATTGGGCTGTGGACAATGTGAAACATGTATTGTTCTATGATGAGTTTACCTTTACTGTTTTCCCCACATCCCGGAGAGTTACGGTGTGGAGAAGCCCCAAAGAAGCGTACCACCCAGACTGTTGCATGCCCAGAGTGAAGCATGGGGGTGGATCAGAAACAAATTCAAAAATACTTAAAAAAAATGCTTTTTGTTGTAAATATTAGTATTATATATTAGTATTTAGCGAGTTATGATTGATGAAATGTGCTGATACATCATTGCACCTGTCAAACAAAAACGTAAAATTCTGCTTTCAGATGAACATGTGTGATGGTTTGGGCTGCCATATCATGGCATTCCTTTGGCCCCATACTTGTGCTGGATGGGCGCGTCACTGCCAAGGACTACTGAACCATTCTGGAGGACCATGTGCATCCAATGGTTCAAACATTGTATCCAGAAGGTGGTGCCGTATATCAGGATGACAATGCACCAATACACACAGCAAGACTGGTGAAAGATTGGTTTAATGAACATAAAAGTGAAGTTGGACATTTCCCACAGTCACCAGATCTAAATATTATTGAGCCACTTTGGGGTGTTTGGAGGAGCGAGTCAGGAAACATTTTCCTCCACCAGCATCACATCGTGACCTGGCCACTATCCTGCAAGAAGAATGGCTTAAAACCCTTCTGACCACTGTGCAGGACTTGTATATGACATTCCCAAGATGAATTTACGCTGTATTGGCTGCAAAAGGAGGCCCTACACCATACTAATAAGTTATTGTGGTCTAAAACCAGGTTTTTCAGTTTCATTGTCCAACCACTGTATATGCTTTTATACTACCCCCAATTGCATCCAGATCCTAAGCCAAACTTTCGGAGGACATCACAATCTGGAAGTTCAAATTGTCTCAGTCTGGTCTCCATACATATTAAAACAGCATGAACAAATGTGAAACATTTCAACCAAATCATGAACCCCATACAGAAACTTATTCCTTTACAGATCTAGGGCTACACAAACTCTAGAAGATATTTGACTCCAATTATACTGTTGAAAATTGCAAGGATGGTATCAATTAGAACACATTTTCCACATGTGGATATTAAGAGCAGTTTGAGTCATTCAATCTGGCCAAATGGTACGGGGGAATTTTTCTGTTATAATCCAAGAGCACAAATTTCAGATGAAAACAGGATTTTGTCTTTTGTTCTCAAAACTTGTAATACTTTTGCTTACATTTTCATTTTGAAAGCAAAATGAAGCAGAAAACTTCATTTTACAGGTTTTCTTCTCAAAACTTCTAAGGTTTGTACTCAAAACTTCTTGCGCTCACGCTTAGTCTCTGCTCTGGCTCTCTGCTTGCTTACGAAACATGGAACTGCCTTTTTGTCACAGTCGCCTTGAAACCTCTCAGTCAATAGAATGGAAGTGTTGTGATCATTTCCTTCAGGTGTGCCTGTGTGGCTACTATTGATTGGAGCAGAAGCCTCAGCACTGCAGAATATTTTTGTTCATATTGATGGACTGTTGACATGAGATCTCTGGGATAACGTTTCACAAGTAAGATGGACATAATACTGTTTATATTTTGTGCATAGAATATTTCCATGCTGCATTTATGTCCACTGGCAAAATGCCAGCTAATATTAGCTACAATAGGTGTAATACCGGGGTTCAGCACGCTATGAAGGCGAACTGAGAATTTGTAATTCTTTCACTCTGTGTAAAGTAAGATAGCTCCCGTTTTTGTTTTGAAGGTTTCATAAAGACAAATGATGTGAGGAAGAAGTGGGAAATGTCTTATAGGAGAGACGGACTCATTGCATCGCAAGAATGAATCTCAGCTGCTGAATCTCTCTTCAGCTACAATTCCTTGGCTGGAAAACATTAATAAAACTTATATAGAGATTATGTATTTACACATGTGCATATAAATATGTGTAATTTACTACATATTTGTCAGGTTCTGTGTTTTTTCTGTGTTTTATTCTGAGTTTCTGTGTCCTGAGTCTTCCCTTTGATTGTTCCCAGGTGTGTCTTGTTCCCTTGATTACCCTCAGTGTATTTAGTCCCTCCTGTGTCCTTTGTTCCTCGTCGGGTCCTTGTAGTAAGTTGTCGCTAGTTTGTTTTGTGCCGCCCTTAAGACCAGTTGCTACCGGTGTGAGCCCTGGCTTCCGCTCAGCCGCGCTGCCTGGCCGCGGACTACTGTTTGGACTGTTTTTCTGGACTGTTTCATTAAAATTATTCACTATTCACATTACCTGGGTCTCCAGTGCTTGCCTCACCGCCTCACCTCCACCACCACTTCATGACAATATTTTTCAGCATTAACCATTGTTTAATCATCTTTATTTCTCTATGATTGCATTATTTTGTATTTTTATATTTATATAAATATGTATTGATATTACTAAATATATTTTAAAAAGACTGGTTGCGTGCTTTGTAAAATGCTCATCATACATCAATATCAAAACATTCTATTCCAAATCTATTCTGGTTTCTCTACTAAGAATAGTTAAATATGCTGAACCACGATTTAATCCAATTCAAAAATACTTAAAAAAATGCATTTTGTTGTAAATGTAACTATGATAGCTGTTTGAATAACATTTAGAGCAAAGAAATATTGAAAATCTGTTTAGTATTTAGCGAGTTATGATTGATGAAATGTGCTGATACATCATTGCACCTCTCAAACAAAAACGTAAAATTCTGCTTTCAGATGAACATGTGTGCTCTTGGATTATGGCAGAAAAAAAAAATCAACCATAACAGAATATTATAATATTCAAGACATAAAAATATCACATTTGAAACATAATATCTACTTTATATTTCATCCAAACCATCTCTTGAGTTTACATTTCACACAGAGATAATGCAACAGATGCAAAAGCAAAAGTTAGGAAAGAAACTGGAAGCCAGAGCAGCAATCTAATCATACTGAAAACCTGAATATGACTTTAATCAGAAGCTGAATTTGTTGTTTTCATTTGGAAGAGTTTAGTCATTTTCTCAATTTCTTCTTTCTCAGCTTCTTTTTGTACTTTACAGTGACGTATGAGCTTAACACCAGTTTGCTACCTGTTCCAGTAGATCGTGGATGTTCTCGTTGTAAATTTCACAGAATGAGACCCAAACAGAAAAGCGAACAGTTGATGGAATTTCCAAACAGGAGTCTGCCTCAGCAATGCTGCTCATGCTGCCATTGCTGCTGACAGAGGAGCCTGGACACAAAAACACAAACGGTTTACACTCTGCTGGCTCTGAAACAGATGTGACTTCACTTCCACAAAATGAGTTAACAGATACATTTAAAAAACTGCAGCGTCTCTCTGGTTACTGTAGCTGTTTCATGGCACCGGAAGAAACCTTGAAGTCAAGGTTTCTGTAGAATAATCCAAAATATGTTTCAAAAACTGACCTTCAAGTGAAGTTGATTTCCCAGTCAGACTCTTGTCACTCTATAGTCAAAAAGACATGACCACATCTTGAGCAAACCTACAGCTTAGTCGGAGTCATGATGAAAGAACTCATGTCTCACCTCTTTCAGCAGCTTCAGCAGGTTCTTCTTGGTTCTGATCTCTGCTGCCTCCTGTTCAGGGGTAAGTCTACTGAAGTCTCTGCACCGCTGAGGCTTCAGATCACTGCGGCTGTACAGATGACCCTTTATGCTATTAAAGATTACTGATAGAGACCTGGGAAGCAGCCCAGAGTTGTGGTCTGGCCCTAAGAGACAGACACATGGTCAGAGGGTGAGACTAGGAGTGCACCGATTGCAGTTTTTTGGCCGATTGCATATTACCAATCTTTTGAAAAGCTTAATCTGCTGATTCCAATTTTGGCTGATACCAATTATTTTTTTGTCTGAAATGTTAGTCAGTATAGCAAGAGTTGGCAACAGTGAGGTCACCATTGTTAATTGTAAACATGCAGACATAACTTGGTGGGCTGGTCTGTAAGTCAAACCTTTTTGACCGGAGAGCAAAAGAGGACAGAGTTGATTCTCACACATTTGTTGATTCTCACACATTTCCCAAGTTAGATAAGCTCAGTGGATAAGATCGGCTTCATATGTAAAAATCAGCTGATCACTGGTCTCCCTAAATTAAGGAAATTGGCACCGATAAATTGGCTGGCCTATAAATTGGTGCACCCCTACATGAGATACATGCACAGATGGCCAGCTTAATCTATTGCTCACCGAGGAAGGTGAAGGTTTTTCCAGCATTGGTGACTCCGTAAGTGAACACTAGACAGTTTCCTCCCTGCAGAGCATCCTGGACCAAACCACGAACTGAACCTTCAAACACAGTCCTCTGACTGGCTTCAGGGCCAAACACCTAAACAAGACAACATTAAGAACACAAAACACCTCCTGACCCCACTGCACAGGGACATCATGGGTACCTGTGTGAAGGTGAACCTCTGAGCAGTCTGAGGGAGAGACTTGTCACTCTGCCGATTCGGCTGACAGAACCTGGGAGCCCTGATAACCACAGATTTGGAACCCTCAATGGTCACACAGTCCTAGAAAAGAAAACAGCTGTTAAAAGTCAAGCTTGTGCACAGACCTCAGGTCATTACTAGGCAAAAACACTGACTGTTTTATGTCAGAGCCAGATGGAACAGTAAATTAGCAAATAATTTCACTTATTATAAAATTTGTGATCTTGATAAAATAGTTCAAAATCAATTCATCACTTTTAAATAAGTCTGGTGGTGCTAAATCAGACAGTGGTTCTATTTCATCCCTACTGACCGCCAGAGGGCGGTGCTGAAAGCACTGAATGTTCCCTTCGCGCATGCACAGTTCGAGTAATAATACCAAAAAAGTCACACCTGTGACATATCGGATGATTAATCAGAGGCTATATAGCATGAAGTCATGCCATACAAACCCTCGCGTGTGGTTCGCTTTGTATGGCATCGGTCTTTTGGATTTTTGGATATTTTCGCTGTCGTTGGAAGCCCGACTGCCTGTTGGCCGGAGTAGCGGTGTGTCGCCCTCCTAGGGCTGCGACGGATACTGCCCTAGGCAACCCTAGGCCTCCTAGGACTGCGACGGATACTGTTTGTTGGAGCTTCGCTAACGGTGTTAGCCTTTCTCAGTTTGCCGTTTCGCTTTAATTGGTGACGGTTGCATCTCGCCCCCTCTCCCAATTTTAGCCGAACCTTGCGGCCGGTTTTGTTTTTACTTTGCTTGGTGACGGGTGCCCTTTTTTGCCCCCTCTCCCGGTTTTTGGATTTTGGTCTGCGGCGGCATTCGCGCCCCTTCGCACATTCTTTGTCTATTTTTTCGTCCTGTGCTGGACGTGGCTGGACCGCGTCTGCTTCTCGTGGGTCTGCTGTTTTCTTTTTCTTCTCTCTGTGACTGGTGACGGTGGCGTCTCGCCCCCTCTCCCAGTTTCAGCCGATGTTGTGATCGTAGTTTTGTTGGATTCAGCCTGACTTCGTTTGCTGCTTTGATTGGTGACGGCTGCGTTTTCGTCCCCTCTCCCGATTTGATTTTTTCCTTGCCCTTTGTTCTGGGCATAGCTGACGGTTTCAGCCCCTTTGTTGCTCTTTTCCTGTGATTGGTGACGGTTGCCTTCTCCGCCCCCTCTCCCAATTGTCTGTTCTGTCTGCCTGTGGTGGGACTGGCTTCGGTTTTGGCTAAGGGTAGCTCCCACTGTTAATTGCGGTGTTGTGCTTACAGATGGCTTCCTCTGTAAGGCATATAATGCCGGCGCCCGTGCCGGCCGCCTTCGCAATTCCTTGGCGCACCTCATGTTTGCCCTTTCTGGGTCCCTTCAGGATGCCAGTGGGGCTGATGCGGCTGTTGGCTTTAACGATGCGGTGCTTCAGGCCTTTGCGTTGATGACCAGGGAGCTTGGGCGTGTGATGTCTTTTCTAGTCCAGGCTCGCCGACAGGTCTGGCTGGCTCAGTCCACGTTGACTGAAGCATGCCGTAGGACCCTCCGTGATGTTCCTGTGATGCCAAAGAAGTTATTCGGTTCTGCTCCCTTGGACGCACTGCAACGTTCTGTTCAGGCGCGGCAGACTAGACAACAGCTTTCAGGCCTCAGCAGGGGGATGCCCCCTCCTCATGGTTCGAGGCGCCCATCGGCTGGCCCCAGTGTTCGGCCGCCACCTCAGGGTTGTGATCGGCCTGGTGGATTTCGTCCTCATGCGGTACAGCAGAGATCCAGGAAGGACTTTCGTGTGCCAGTCCGTCAACCGACCTGGCACTCCCGGGCCGCAAACTTTGGCCGCCCCCCCCCCCAGATCCCCTAGGAGTCTTGGGGAGAGAAAGTGACTCCCCCGGGCCAGCCGTCAGACGTTTTTCTCATCAGCAGCTCGGTTACTGGGCTGCTCTTGTTGTGGATCCATGGGTGGTTGTCACTCTGACCCATGGTTACCGGCTACAGTTCCGACGGCGGCCTCACATCTCACGCCAGGTCAGGGAGACCATCATCACCGACCCGGTGAGAGCTAAGGCCTTGGACCAAGAGCTTTCCGCCCTCCTGGCCAAGGGTGCAATCGAGGCGGTGGATCCTCTGCGGCAAACCAGAGGCTACTATTCGACCTATTTCCTCGTGCCAAAAAAGACTGGTGGATTTCGTCCCATTTTGGACCTCAGGGGTCTCAATCAGGGTTTGAAGGTCCTGCCATCGCACATGCTCACAACGGTTCTTCTTGGTTCTGATCTCTGGTGCCTGCTGTTCAGGGGTAAGTCTACTGAAGTCTCTGCACCGCTGAGGCTTCAGATCACTGCGGCTGTACAGATGACCCTTTATGCTGTTAAAGATGACTGATGGAGACCTGGGAAGCAGCCCAGAGTTGTGGTCTGGCCCTAAGAGACAGACACATGGTCAGAGGGTGAGACTAGGAGTACGCCGATTGCAGTTTTCTGGCCGATTGCATATTACCAATCTTTTGAAAAGCTTAATCTGCTGATTCCAATTTCGGCCGATACCAATTATTTTTTTGTCTGAAATGTTAGTCACTATAGCAAGAGTTGGAAACAGTGTGATCACCATTGTTAATTGTAAACATGCAGACACGAGGGCAGAGGTTCTTCGGGCCATGATGGAAGGGGACTGGTTTACCTCAATCGACCTTACGGACGCTTACTTTCATGTACCTTTTGCGGCAGATCATCGCCGTTTTCTCAGGTTTGCCTATCGGGGTCGCCACTGGCAGTTCCGTGTGCTCCCGTTCGGCCTCTCCCTTTCCCCGAGGGTGTTCACACGTTGCGTGAAGGCAGCCCTCTCTCCTCTGCAAGCCCGTGGCATGAAGGTGCTGCCATACCTCTACGATTGGCTTCTCTGCGCCCCGTCTCGGGAGCAGGCTTCTCGCGATACGAGTCGCCTGCTCGCTCGTGTCCCGGTTGGGCCTCCGGGTGAACTTGGAGAAGAGCTGTCTGATTCCATCGCAGACAGCCACTTTTCTGGGAGTGCGTTTGGATTCTCCCTCCATGATGGCCTATCCGTCTGTTCAGAGGGTGGACGACATTCTCCAGCTGGTGAGTTAATTCAGGTTGGGCAGGACCCTTCCTTACGTCACCTTCTTGCAGCTGCTGGGCAAACTGACGTCGGTTACTCGGGTTGTGCCCTTGGGTCTGCTGTCGCTGCGCCCTTTGCAGAGGTGGGTCAACAGCTGGAATCTGGATGCCAGGCTTCACAGGCACCGCAGACTTGTGGTGACATGGCTGTGTCTTCGGGCCCTGCGTCTGTGGAAGGACAGGGCCTATTTGTTCAGGGGTGTGTCCATGGGGGTGGTTGTGTGTCGCAGAGAGGTGGTCACGACAGATGCCAGTTCTATGGGATGGGGCGCTGTGTGGCAACACCGGGCAGTTCAGGGCCACTGGTGTCCACGGGATCGCTCCAGGCATATAAAAGTGTTGGAGCTGCATGCTGTACGTTTGGCTCTCAGGCACTTTTTGCCCCACCTGGTGGGGAGACATGTCCTGGTTCGGTTGGACAACACCTCCGTTGTCTACCAGATCAACCACCAAGGTGGCACCAGGTCAGCGCAGCTTCTGAAGGAGTCCCAGACTCTCCTGGAATGGGCATCGGTTCACCTGTCCACCCTTCAGGCGGTGTACTTGCCGGGGTTGCATAATCAAGTAGCAGACTCCCTTTCCCGACAGGCGCCGGCTCCAGGAGAGTGGTCCCTCCACAGCGACGTGGTCCGCCAGATCTGGGGCCTTTTCGGTCAGGCAGAGGTCGATCTGTTCGCCACAGAGGGCTCGACTCATTGTCCTCTTTGGTTTTCCCTTACAGGGGCCGCTGGTGCGCTGGGCCAGGACGCCTTGGCCCATCCTTGGCCCAGGGTCCTTCCCAACCCTTTCCCTGATTTGGCCGACTCTTCAGAGGGTTCTCGAGGAGGGCCACAGGATGTTGCTGGTAGCTCCGTATTGGCCGGCACGGCCGTGGTTCCCGCTTCTATGGAGTCTGTGTCACGGTGTCCCGTGCTGTTTCCCGCCCAGGAGTGATTTGCTGTCTCAGTTGTGGGGTCAGATATGGCATCCCGATCCTCACCGCCTCCGGCTGTGGGTGTGGCCACTGGGAGGCTTGAACAGCAGCTGACTGGGTATTCGGGTCCTGTCAGGCACACCATTTTGAGTGCCAGGGCTTCTTCCACTTGTCAGCAGTATGACAACAAATGGCGTCTGTTTTCCCGGTGGTGTTTTGCCCGTAATGATGATCCGGTCACCTGTGGGGTAACCACTATTTTGGAGTTTCTTCAGTCTCTTCTTAATAAGGGCCGCTCCCCTTCGACACTTAAGGTCTATGTAGCGGCTATATCGTCTTGTCATGCTGAGGCTGATGGCTGTACAGTGGGGAGCCATAATCTTGTTTCTCTTTTTTGCATGGTGCTCGTCGGCTGCGCCCTCCAATGGCCACACGAGCACCAGTTTGGGACCTGTCTTTGGTCCTCACTGCTCTGTGCCACCCTCCATTTGAGCCTTTGGTTCGGGCGGACCTCAAATGGTTGTCATGTAAGACTGCTTTCTTGTTGGCTATTGTCTCAGCTAAGAGGGTCGGTGAGCTACATGCTCTTTCTGTCAGCCCGTCATGCCTCAGATGGAGTTCTGATGGCTCTGGTGTTACCTTGTGGCCGAACCCGGTGTTTGCCCCTGGTGTTTTCTCCTTCTTATTGTAACCAGCCATTGAGCTTGGCGCGCTTTCGGCCCATCTCAGGGGACGCTGGTGATGGTTCTGAGTTGCTGTGCCCAGTGAGGGCACTGGAGGCCTATCTTGCAGCCACTGCTGCTTTACAACGCTCAGACCAGCTGTTCTTGTGCTATGGAGGCCCTCGATTAGGTTGTCCTCTGTCTAAACAGCGTCTCTCGCATTGGATTGTGGATATCATCTGCCACGCCTACACTGCTGGACACCACCCCCGGCCGGTCGGCGTGACGGCACACTCTACCAGGAGTGTTTCCACTTCCTGGGCTGCCTTGAGAGGAGTTCCACTGGAAGCTATATGTGCTGCTGCATCATGGGCTTCTCCAAGCACATTCACTAGGTTTTACAACCTCTGGAAAAGGTTCTTCTGGGCCTTCTCAGTGAGGTTTGTGCTTGGATTCCTTGTGACATCGCTGGTATTCGTCATTAAGTGCTTTCAGCACCACCCTCTGGCGGTCAGTAGGGATGAAATAGAACGAAAGTTACGTATGTAACTACGGTTCTATGAATCCCGGATGACCGCCAGAGCTTCTCTGTCACTCAGAATCCTTGCATTTCGCGAGAAGATTCTGTAGGAACAGAGCATCGGATGACTTCATGCTATATAGCCTCTGATTGATCTTCTGATATGTCACAGGTGTGACTCTCTTGGTATTATTACTTGAACTGCGCATGCGCGAAGGGAACATCATCCGGGATTCATAGTACCGTAGTTACATACGTAACTTTCGTTTTCTGTGGTTACCTGGGACTCTCCGCTGTCGCTTTCAGCTGCAGTAAAAGGCCGAACCCTTAGGTACACATGTAGGTTCTCCGTCTATGAATGAATGTTTCCAACCAGGAGAAATGTGATTTTCATCAATCTTCATCATCAACATCATTAGAGTCCTCTTCATCACCACAGAAAGCCTGGTGGACCTACCTGTTGTTCCACAGCCTCCAATTCACCCAGCAGGTTTCTTTTGATATCCTCCACCTCCACTGGTCCTACTCTCTTCGGTATCCCAGTAAAACATGACTCCATCATTTTTTGCGAACAATCACTCCTCGCTCCTGAGAGAAGGGAATTCCATTCACATAATCACTCAGAAGACAAAATTTGGAAAAAAAACACACGGTAGGGTAACACCCGATGGGTGAAGATTTAAACCATCTGAATCAGATCCAGAGCTGTATCAGATGGGAGGTGAATTGTAGACTTTTAAAATTGGACGAAATTTCATCTGAGTTCTGTTAAGGTTTTAAATTACCCGTAAACAGAAGGCCAGAAAAACATCCCAGAGATTACCTGATGCTTCAAACAGCACATAAAATCAATAACAAATACCAAAAGAAAAATATACTTGAAAAAAATGTTACGATCCATTCTTTGTTGCAATAGCTAACCCGTTTCTTCTTGTTGTTATGTTTATTGGCGGTTGGCAACAAACTTTAAGTAGCATTACCGCCACTTACTGGTATGGAGTGTGGCTCATGCTGGTCTAATTCTCTCTATATATATATACCGTATATATACATCTCTATCTCCTTTCTATATCTATCTATCTATATATATATATATATATCCATATTTATATTCTACCCATCTATATCATATACACATTGACCCCCATACCTTCTCAATCAAATTCTACTAAATAACTTAGTTTCTTTAAAAATCGAATAACTATTTGTATATGTTCGCTCTCCAAATTCTTCCTCAAAATATCTACTAAATTAAATTTTTTCTTAATACTTTCAAACTCTTTCTTCATATAACTTCTCTCTCTTTCGTATTTATTACATTCTAACATGTTCTATTGTTTCATGTTTTCCACAATACTCACATTTACCAGTTGCATGCTTTTGAATTCTAAAAAGTGTATAGTTAAGTCCCGTGTGCCCAAATCTTATCCTTGTTATCACTCTTTCCTCTTTTCTATTTCTTCTTCCCTTTATTCTTTCTCCTACCATCTTCTGAATTTTATAAAACCATCTTCATGTTATTTCTTCATCCCACCTTTTCTGCCATTTTCTATCAGTTTTTCCTTAATCATACTCTTTCCTTCAGCTTAACTTGTTTTATGCCAATAGGGTTTTGAATTGCCCCCTTTGCTATTTTATCTACCCTCTCATTTCCTTCTACCCCAATATGTGCTGGAACCCAAACAAAATTAACTATCAAACCCTATATAATGCATGAAATATTTCTAATAAAATGTCCATCCTGCTATCCGATTGCTTATTTTTAATACTTAATAATGCAGAGCTTGAATCTGAACAAATTATTGTTTTTAATGGTTTTATCTCTTCTACCCATTGTAAAGATATTAATATTGCCATCATTTCTCCTGTGTACATCGATAATCCATCTGTAATTCGTTTTCCTATTTTTATATTGAATTCTGATACTACAAAAGCTATTCCTACTTTACCAGATATTGATATTTGAATATAATGATAATAATTGTTTAAATGTACCTGTAGTGAACTACTATCAATGTTGAAAGATTTATCCCGTTTCTTTTCCATTATTGTCATATCTACTATTGCTTCTGGTAGAATCCATGGTGGTATTACTGATGTTGGTGTTGTATGACTAATTTCCAAACTACTCATGTTAAATTATTTTATTTTACTTTCAATTGTCCATCCAAGACTCCCCGTTTCTTTCGTTTCTTTTTCCCAACATGGTTTTAAAATTTCCTTAGTTGGATGATCCAAATTATTGCTTTGTAAATTTAGCCAGTAATTTATTTCCAATCTTATTCTTCTTAAATCTAACGGCATTTCTCCCATCTCTACTTCTATTGCTGCTCTTGGTGTGGTTTTAAATGCTCCTGTACATAATCTTAATGCCTGATGTTGTATTATGTCTAATTTAACCAAATGTGCTTTAGCTGCCGAACCGTAAACAATACAACCAAAATCTATGTTAGCTCTTATCATACCTATAAAAAACTGTTTTAAGGCTTGCCTATCCGCTCACCAGTCACTGCCAGCCAAGCATCTCAAAATATTTACGATTTTCTTATATTTATCTACAACTTTTTGGATTTAATAGTATTTTTAATATTATTTTAAATTCCTCCCACACAACTTTCCTCCTAACTATCCTTTCTTCCTCTGAACTACTTCCTTCCAATTCTCGTTTACTTCCTTGACTGTCACCAATTCCCTTTCCTTCGTCTATTTTATTTCTTCCATGTCCTCTCCCCACTGGCGTCCACCCATCAAAATCCATGTCTTCCTCATCTCCTATCTCCATTTCCAACTGAACCATTCACATACCAGTTTATGCTCAATCCGCCCTTTTCAATTTCTATATGCTATTTGTTTTCCGCCTTACTCCTTATTTTCCTCCGTCACCTCCAACCCGCCTCTCCGTCCTGTTGCCGTCAAACTGAATCAAACTCGATGCGGGAAGCCGTCTTTAGGAGGCTGCGTTCCATTAGCTAACCTGTTTCATCTGCGCGGTCAACGTTTAAACTGCAACAATCGGACCAATCCCCGAAAGAGACGTCACTCAACGCCTGAGCGCCATAGTTTGAAATCTCGCGAGATTCGTCTTCTTTTCCTGTCTTCTTCTTCTTTAGGTTTTAACGGCAGCTTGCATCCATTTTTGTTACACTACTGCCATCTATTGGATCCTAATCATCTCTCAAATTCTCAAAATAATCCCAGTTTTTTAAAAAACGAAAAATTTTCTTCCTCCCCTCATTACTATTTAACTGATCAACCACTTTTCAAACTTCAATTCCCCAGTACAACCTAATTCCAATATTAATAATTTTCTTTCATTTTCATATTTTCCACAACTAATAAAAACATGTTCCATTGTTTCTACAGAATCACACCAACTACATAAACCAGTAGGATGTTTCCCCATCTTATAAAGAGTTCCATTTAATAAATTATAATTACCTCTACCTTTCTATTTAATCCTCTAACCCTTTCTACATCAACTGTATTTTGAAACCTGTATATATGCCTTCCATTAATTTCATTATCCCACCTAATTTTCCATATCTTTTTACTTTCTCTCCCCTCTGATTTTGATAGCTTTACTAACATATCAATTTCTTCTTTTTTAGTAGCCTTCTTCACCAATCTATCTGCTCTTTCATTGCCCAAAATACCTACATGAGCAGGAGTCCAAAATAATATTACATTTTTATTTTGTTCACATATTCTATGATGAACAGCCATAACCTCATATAATATATTTTGATGATTACTTGAACATCCCTTTTCAATACTCATCAATGCTGATAATGAATCACTACAAATTATAAATTTATTTCCTTTACTATCCTCCACCCATTCTAAAGCTAATAATATAGCACACAATTCTACTGCATAGATACTCAACTAATCAGATGTTCTTTTTGAAATCTTTATTTTTAACTCTAGAATCACAACTGCTTGTCATGTTCCGTGTTTTTCTGTTGTGTGTATTTGAGTTTTCTGTGTCCTGAGTCTCCTCGTTGTCCTGTCTTCCCCTTGATTACTCCCAGGTGTGTCTCGTTCCCTTGATTACCCTCAGTGTATTTAGTCCCTCCTGTGTCCTTTGTCCCTGGTCGGGTCCTTGTCAGATTGTCAGATTGCCTTTGTCTGCCGTTGTGTGTTTAGCCGCCTGTATGACCAGTTGCTACCGGCGTTGAGCCCTGGCTTCCGCTCAGCCGTGCTGCCTGGCCGCGAAACTACGTCTGTGACTTTGTTGTTGTTATTGGGCTATTTTTTATCATTAAATTTCCACCATTTCACTTACCTGGGTCTCCAGCGTCTGCCTCACCACCTCCACCACACCATTTCATGACACTGCTACACTAGTTACTTCGTTTTTAGAATCTTTTGAACCATCAGTATAAATCTGTACATAATCACTATATTTATTTTGTATTTGATGATAAAACTCTTGGCACATATCTATCATCTTTTTCCCCTGAATATCTAATAGTGACTTTTCTACATTAATATATTTCCATGACCATGCTGGTCTCATATGCCATACTACTGTTTGACTGAATTCTTTGTCAAATACATTAAATGTTTTTGCTCTATCATCTCCCACCCACCCAAAACTATTACTTTTCCCCTTTCCTCTTTCCCAACAATTTTGTAACACTTTCTTAACTGGATGATCTTCATTTTGTCCTTTAAACTTATCCAATAATTTACCATGATCTGCTGTCTTGTAATACATAATGGCATCTCTCCTGACTCTACTTGTAATGCACATACTGGAGTAGATTTAACTGCCCCTAAGCAAATTCTCAAAGCTTGCTTGAATAATATCCAATTTGTTTAACCTAGTTTTGCTTGCTGATCCATACACCACACTCCCATAATCTATTCTAGATCGAATTAATGACACATAAATATTTTAGGTGATTCAAAGTTTGCACCCCATGTCAACCCTGTCAAGCACCTCATAATGTTAAGAACCTTTACTTTTTTCCATAATGTGAGCTATATGACTTTCCCAAGTTAGTTTCTTATCAAAGACTACTCCCAAAAAATGAAAAACTATCAACCGTTCTAGTTCTTTCCCATATAAATATAATTTTTTATCAATTCTAACTTTCTTATTTGTAAAGAACATTACTTTTGTCTTCTCAATAGAATATTTAAAACCCCACTCAATTCCCCACTTACCTACTATATCTATACCTTCCTGAAGTTTTAAAATAAGATGTTCTATATTCTTCCCCTTTTCCATAATGCTCCATCATCAACAAATAGTGATTTCCCAAAACTAACTGGTATTTCATTAAAAATATCATTTATCATCACCGAGAATAATGTTGGACTTATCACACTTCCTTGAGGAGTTCCATTTTCTATTTGACTTTTGAAACATGAGAACCTATTTTAACTTGGATATTTCAATCACATAAAAATCCCATATCCAGTTAAACATACTCCCTCCTATTCCTATCTGGTGTAGTTTAATCAATAATCCTTCTCTCCATAACATGTCATATGCTTTTTCCACATCAAAAAATACAGCCACAACAGTTTCCTTATTAATTTGAGCTTTTCTAATATCATCTTCTAAATACAAAACAGGATCCATTGTTCCTCTCCCTCTACGAAAGCCACTCTGATACGGAGCAATTATATTCCTTGATTCCAAATATTGTACTAGCCTCTCATTCACCATCCTTTCCATCAGCTTACATATATTAGATGTTAAAGCAATCGGCCTATAGTTTTCAGGATTACTATGATCTTTCCCAGGTTTCTTTATCGGAATAACAATCGCTTCTTTCCATTCACTAGGTATTCTTCCCTCTTTCCAAATCTTATACAAATTTAATATCTTCTTCAAAACATCATCACTCACATGTCTTAGCATAATATAGCATACTTCATCTTTACCTGGGTCTTTTGGGTCTTGTTCTACCCAAAGCTCTTTTCAATTCACCAATAGAGAAATGATCGTTCATCAATTCATCCTTAATAATTTCCTTTCTTCTTAAAATTCCACCATTTTCTCTTTTAGTTTTCTCTCTCCCCTTTATTTCCTTATCTGATCATTTTTTCCCACTATGAATCTCCACAAATGTGCTTACTAAAATATCAGCTTTTTCCTTGTCATTTATTGCTATTATATTGTTTCTATTTAATATTGGATAACTCCATTCTCTTCTATCTCCCCCCATTTTTTTGATCATTCCCCAAACTTCCCCAATCTTTGTACTATTACCAATTTTGTCACAAAAATTTCTCCAATATACCCTTTTTGCTGTTCTTATTGTTTTCCTTACTTTAGCCTGTGATTTTTTATATTCAATCAAATGTTGAAAATTATGAGACTTTTTAACCAGTTTAAATGCTTTATTTCTTTCTTTAACCACTGTTCTACACTCTTCACTCCACCATGGAACTAATTTCCTCCTATTCTTCCCTGATGTTTTTGGAATAGACCTTTCAGCAGCTTCTAATATACCCTGACTAATCTCACGACTCATATAAATATAAATCATTTTTTATATTTGATATCTTACTTTCACATAAGTTATTAAATTTTTCCCAATTTGCTTTCCTAAATATCCACTTCCCTCCTAACATTTCAAGATTTCATATTTGGGCTTTTTGATTCTTCTACTTTTTCCTCAGATCCTTCACTCTCAGTGTCTTTCGTACTTTCCTCATTTCGCTTTTTCCTCTTCCTTTCAGCAGCTCGTTGTTTCTTTCCACCCTTCTCCACCTTCTCCCACTCTTTCCCTTCATTTTGATCATCCATCCCTTCCTCTTCACTACAGTCCACATTATTTCCGCCAGTTTTCCCCAAATCCATTTCATCCATACTTTAATTTAAGTCCCATTTATCCGTCAAAACTCAAATCCAAACTTTTCTGTCTTCGCTCTCAACCTCCGTCCAATAGCGTCGGGCGTCTCCCTCAGCTGTCCTCCCTTCTTTTCTTGTGGCGGTTGGAAAGCAACTTATTGTCGCTATCTGCTGGAATGGAGTGTGGATAGGGATGTTACATAAAATTCCCCATACTCCCCCTCCCCAAAAAACTAATAATAATAATAAATAAAACTTATATCCTTTCTATCAATTTCGTTTTCTCAAGATAACTTATTAAATAATAAAAATATTCAGATGTAGAATTTTTTTCCCAAAAATTATTACACAAACTTTTCTTTGAATAAAGCCACCTACCAGTTCTATCTTCTTCCCACTGCTTTGCCATCTTTCCTTAATCTTTTGTTCAACAATAGATTTGATTTCTTCTTTATTGTATGGAACCAATATATCAACATAACTATTTTTTGTAGCCTGTTTAACTCATTACCTATTATTCCTACATGCGACGGTATCCATGTAAATACAACTAATAAACCCATTGCCTGAATTCTATAAATTAATAACTGAATCTCTAATAAAATGACTAGTCTACTAATAACATGATTATTTTTAATGATTATAATGATGAACTTGAATCAGAACATCTTATACTTCTTAATGGACCAACTTCCTCAATCCATCCTAAAGTTAAAATGATTCCCACCATCTCTCCTGTGTAAACTGATATTCCATCAGTAATTCTTTTACATTTTTTAATATTGAATTCTGGAACAATGAGTGACACCCCATTATTGCTATTTGAGTTTTTTTGAAGCATCTGTATAAATTTGGACATATTCATGGTATTCATATTGTTTTCCTTCTGTTTTGTCTTTTAAAGCTTTAAAGAGGGAACGCAAAAGAAAAAAAATCCCATGTCCCCCGAAATAAAATCCCATGCTCAGTGGTAAGCTCCATGCCTGTCATGCTTTATGATATATTGTGTTCTGTTTCTTTGTTTTTCTTTGTAATTGTAAACAAAGATGATCATTAATTTAAAAAAAAAAAGAAAAAAGAAGAAGACTTATAGTGGTCCCCCTCCTGTTTGCTGCAGCGAAGTGTACTTGGATGAATTAGTTTTATTGATTCCAA